CGACGTTTTGAAATCCTCTGCAAAATCAAAATCGCACCACCCTAATATGTATTCTATTATATAAAGGGTAAAAAAAGCTTTAATCAAATTTAGTTTGACAGTAGCAAGATAAATTGTGACGCACGATGTGTAAAATATATTTGGTCAATAACCCATGAGAGTGAGGGGGAGAGACTAATAGACGGTGGCAATCGATGTAAAATTTTGTTACGATACAGCATTCGATATGTAAACGGTTCCCATCCCGCTTCCCAATCAGTTATCGAAAATGTGTGACATAAATGCTTTCGCAGCGACACCGAATTTGATGAAGCATTCACATTCACATATAATCAATCATATCATCTTATCCATTAGACTGAGCATCGCTATTCATTTCGATGGTTGAACGACACACATGTTTTTTTTTATTCATTCGTTCGGATCAACTGTATGGATATGTGCGTGTTCGTATGCCTTGCATTCTCTTTCCCCAGATTCTTCCGAAACAGTTAACTCAAAATTTCACACATAAATTTATCACTGAATGCGTCATTTGTTGTTACACTCTGCACTCAAAATTGGCAAAATGTCTAAACAAGCCGTCTATAGTTTACGGCAACCACGGCTCAGGTCTATTTACACGATTCAATTTAATGAAAATTTAGTCGGTGGCGAGAGAGAAAGAGAAATATTATATCGATTTTGAATTGGTTCGGCATCAAATTGCATCGTATAAAGAGATGACGAACATTAAATTGAATTTTATGCAAAAATCGTTGTACAAATTTCAGACACTTAAACGTAGATAGTGATGTATATATGTTTGTATATAGAGCAAATACTTTGGGGTTTAATGCATTGGATTTTTGATGCGCTTACGCACTCCGGCGCACATTATACATCAGAGCAAATGGAGTTAAAGGTGAATTTGGTGGTGCAACGGTATGATATTGTGAATGTGAAACAATTCAACGGGAAGGTAAGAAGCGAGAATACTGAGACCGCTCTGTTTAACAATCTGCAAGACTAGCAATATACTCTTTGGCTCGATCTTAAGGGAAAATACTGAACAGGATGACGGTATGGATTATAATAAATTTAATACGTCCATCTCGGTGTGCATGTAGTGAAGCATAAATTTCCCTTATATATTAACGACACAAAGACAAAGCGAGAGCGAGAGAAGGAGATTTAACTGAATGCGTTTAATTTCGGTGATGTTACTTGCAACATCAAGTCAAGCAATAGGACTCGTGTCGTTCGTATGAGAGACGCTGTACACGTTCGCAATTCAATTCAAAACTTGCATTCGGTATACAGTCGAAACCAAGCAAGTCGAAAGACAAAAGATCAAGCCAAAGAAATGAGAGAATGGAGAAAAAGGAATGGAAAATATCGACAGTAACGACCAAGTGTATTCTGAATAGTTTAACATATTGATCCCATGAGAACAGTACTGTTTATTTCATAGCCACATGCACTTACTCAACAAGAATTTAATGTAACAAATTAATTAGCTTTTAATGGCTAAAATAATTTATAAAATTTCATTCGTTCCTTTTTCTTTTGGTAAAGAGGGTGGGTGCGATTTCGAGCGTCGACTCATTCTCTCTGTTCATAATATTGGAGTCATACTGTAGCGAATTTGTACTGCAAAATGATTACGCGAATATCACTCAATTTTCCAGCGAACATAAATCGAAATTCAATTGATTTCTGGTAGCACAAACAGTGCGCGCTCAATTCACTAGATATCAAATGATAAATGCTATAAAATATCAAGAGAGCGCTCACTAGCTAACCACTAAGAAAAATGGTCGAAATTTGTTGTTGTTGTTGTTGTTATTATTGTTATTTCTGCGTATGTTGGCTTGTTCATCGGAATTGAATGAAAAATGATGCTTGATCTGATGGCAAAAAGAGAGCACGAAGCAAACAAAAAGTCACACTCTTGCTGCCTCTCCGTCTTACCATTTACACAACTCAATAGACTTTGACTTCAAATGACAAGCGAAAAATTTATAGTTGGCTGACTGTAAAGAATAATCTTGGATTTCTTTTGTCAAAAGCAATCGACAAATGCCGAAAAATCGAAAACTGAACTTCAATTTAGTTCAAATGACTAGGCATTCATCGTCGAATTTCCATCGTGTCTGTGCCTTTGCTCACTCTCTCTCTCTCACACACTCCCATTTTCTCTTTCTCTCTCTCGATCTCCGAAAATGCACATTCCAATTCTAATTAATAGAACCTTTTCGTAAAATACTGAAGTTTCGATGTAGTATGCCGATGGGAGAAGGTGCTGATGGAAATTTCCGCTTGCGGTTGAAATTGGCCAACATTTTTTTTCCGTCTCAGCTAATATTTGGTTTTTGCTTGATTCAACACTAAATAAAGTGCTTCGTTGCTCTACAGTCAGAAAAAGAAGAGAAAAAACGCGACTCTTCGAGAAGACTTTATTGAGCTAGATATGCTTGAAATAAAATTTCTATGCAAATGTGAAGGAACCACGACGAATCAAGCCCCTCGATTTGGGTTGGACTTTTGAAGCGTGTAGTTAAAATAAGCATGTATGGATCGAATGGTTTCGGAAATTCCATTTCGTAGGCACTTTTAACCGTTTCTGATTGACATTTTGCTAAAAAAAAAAAGAGAAAGAAATCGGCAGCGGCAGCAGTAATATACCGACCGTTTCTTTGTCCTATGTCGTGCATATACCCAAGATCAAAGTGAAGTAAAAGTTAAACTCTCTGCGTTATTTATTCTCTTCTCTCTCGTTCGGGCAACTTTTTTTTTGTTCCTTTTCCCTTTGCTCCTCCTTGCCGATTACTTTTCCCTTCCGTTCATAACTGATTACTTTGGGTAACATCTGTGCTTAGGCAAAATACCATACATCGAACGCATGAAATGCTTCAAAGCTGGTCACATTTCAATTTCACCCAATACAATTACAATGATGCAATAAGCTATACAACAGCAACACCGAAAAAAAAAAAACGAATCAAAGAGAGAAGAGATTGAATGCATTGCCATGGCTTGAATAAATATTAATTTGGCGTTTTGTATTGATGGCTTAACACGTTCAATCCGGTTCGCTTTTTGTATGATATTTCGTGTGAGCTCAATTATTATTAGCAAGCAAGTTTGTGTGTCTGTGTATGTGCAAGCGCGCGTCCAGCACAATACAACAGCAATCGACAAATATGTACTATGTACACAATGCAATGGCACAAACTGCACAAAATTCTTTTTGTATTGTTGCAAATGCATTCAATTTAAATGTTTATTTTATATACAGATGCAACAAAACACATCTTGCGACTCGGGCACATATTGTTTGTGTTTGGCCAGATGAGTCAAATTATACAGAGTTGGCAACAAAAAATTTTTTACAATTGCATCAACCGATTGAAAGTCAAAATGCGTTCTGAGGCTTCGAAATGATTCGAATATTTTAAAATTTCACAAAACTACTTTCAACTTTTTTTTCGTTATTGGCTGATTGCTAAGAGCTTTTGAATGCAGCAAATGTCCAAATGAATCCATCGCATTGTTCCATTTATTGTTGATCAGTGTGTGTGTTTGTGTACACAAACTGAAAACTCAGGAATTTAAAATCCTGAGATGTACAAGAAAACATTAAATCTCTCGGGAAAAAAACCATTTTCGCAATAATCTGAACCATATTTCATATCAAGTATTTGCTTTGGAATTAAAAACCATCCTATCGACAGGTGATAGCATGTATGACAACATTTATATTGAAATTCATTAATTCGGATTGAATATTGATCAAAGTGGAATGAAGATTTTTTTTTGGAGTTTTAACTAAATAAAAGCATGAATGCCCATCATATGTGTTGAATTCAATTTTTCATGCTAATAATTCAAAATTCAGTTCATCCATTCATATGATGACAGAGACGAAGAACGATGGCAATTTGAAATATACGACATGATACATAGAAAACGAAAAAACAACAACCATGAATTAAATTGGGTGGCGGTCATAACGCCCCGGACGGACAGCATGCTTCTGTGTTTTTGATCTGTTGGTTTGGCCTTTTGTTTGTTGTTGGTAATCAGTGAAAAAAAAAATCATTCGAAAAAAGTACGATTCATTTAATACATGAGTGTATGTTATCGAAAGATGAATCGTGTTTCAATCCTGTGTACTAAATGGATTGGCGCAAATGACAGAGAGTGGATGGCAGACGAAAAAAATATGACTGAAATCGTGCATCAATCCATAAAAACCAGGACAACAACAACGGCAAAATAAATGCTGCTTCAGCAGAGTAAGAGCAATGAGGATAGCATAAGCTTGTATTTAAAAATTGTGCACATAAAACTGATTATTTTTCGATAATAATTTATGGGCGAGATGTCAAATGATGGAGAGAGAGACAGAGAGATAGAGAAAAAAAAAACATATTGGTTCAAGCTGGGTCAATGAGATGATAGTGTAAAATTGAACAATGAGCGAACTAATTATGATTTATGGCCTAAAAGCATTTACAGGTAATTCGATAATAATCTTCATGGCTAAACCATTTTTCCCCCTTCCATTACATGGCGTAAAATGTAAATTGTAAATTGTCAAAGATTAAGACAAGGTAATTAAAATTTAAATATTTCGGAAGGAATACCAAACGGTGTCCGTGTACACAAGAGTTGTGCATTGTCGTGGTGCTGGATTGGTATGTGTGTATGTTTGCGATTGGCCAGCCCACTTTCAACAATATTGGCCGTCAATAAAGCTTAATTAAAATGTATTGTTGTTGCCATCATCATGTCCTCAGCGGGATCTTGATAGCGAACAATCTACACTCCTAATGAACTCCTATTTTTCGGCACAAGTGAAATTAGACGATAAAACAATGAAAGTTGAATGACTGACTCATCCGTTTTTTTTTCTCGACCATACTCAAAACGAAAGATGAACAGAAAAATAATTAAGGGAAAGTGCTCCCGAAGTTTTTAATAAGTTCTCGTGATCATCAAATTTTTTTTTATTGAGGTATGGGTAACTGCAAATATTTACTGACGAGAGAAAAAAAACTGAATTAATCAACAATAAAGGAAGGGAAAATGGGAAAAGCCAACTGAATAAGCACCACTGAAGCGAAAAGGAATCCGTTTTTTTCGCTCTCTTTTTTTGTTTTAACTTTCGTTCATTCGTTCATCTGTTGTGATTTCTAATATATATTTTTTCCACTTCCCTTCAGTCTCGGTCCAGAGCTGGCAAAGAATTATCAACATATCGACGAACACATATAGAGATCCACGAATTTATTAAGATTTCGTTTTTCGCCCGCCGTACTTTTTTTCGTCTCCTTTTTTTATGCGGAGAGGCGCTTTCTCTCTCTCTCTCTCGAAAGAGTGAGTGTTGGCGTGAGTGTGCCTGGTATGATTGTGAATGTAAGCTTCGGCTGTTGAATATGTAATCAGTAGGCGAAACGAGAGAGAGAGAGAGAAATAGAGAGAAAGAGAAAGGATATTATGCTGTGAAACTGAACGAAAGAGAGCAAATGTATAGCTGGAATCCGTATTCAGTTGGGTAATTTTCTTGTGAATTTTATATTGTGCATAATGGCAATGACGATGGGATACACATGTATTATGAATTTCAAAGCATAAAATATGTTTGTGTATATTTTTATATTTTCATGTGAAATTTGGTGTTGTTGCACGGGGTACAACTCATATACTATATAGACAAAAACACATACACGCAAAAACACACCGTATGGGGTGTTGTGTATTTGCGTCCTGGCTCCCGTAGAATGAGGCGAGTGGATTGTGTGAGACGCGTATATTGTCATATATTCACCATGTAATATTGATGGGGAAATATACTTTTTTCTTGCTTATGCATCCGCTGCTAAATACTTCATATTTATCTATACGGCATGATGTGTGTTTGTATGTGTTTGGTGCCAAACTGGATTTTTTTCTCTCTCTCTCTCCTAGTTTGCCGTTTCCACGGAATGAGCAACGGCGCAAGCAAGTACAAAATTACATCCGATAAAATTATGACCATACACGCACAGCGACACACCGAAAGGAGATCCGCCAAAAATCTGGCTACAAAACAAAGGCGCAAAAATATACATTAACAAGCATTAAAAGGCATTTCGAAGCGGAGGAGTGGGAAAAGAAGAAGGCAAAAGAATACTTCGGCAACGTACTTTCGCATTCATTTCACTCATTTTTCTAATTCATTTTTGCCCCCCTTGATGATGCAAATTACAAAGTATCTCACAAAGTGATTTGGCAATGTAAAAGAGAACGCGAGCGTGTAACGAAAATAAAATGCCATGGAATATGAATTAAGTTGAAGCGAAAAATGAAGAATAACCCAGCCGGAATGGAAATTCATTTCCGATATATTTTTTCAGAGGGAATTTTGGATGGTAGCGCGAATGCTGCGTAAAAGAATGGAAACAGTTACTTAAGAGCTTTTCGGTGTGCACACCTATCGTAATTTCACCAAGCGTAAGATGATAATCAATTACCGCGCGTACCTCAAAAAATGTTAATATCGTAAAAGTCAATAGATAATCAGTGTTTTGTTTGCAACATTTATGAGTCAGGCTCTGACATTCCGTCTTAATAGCTCGCGTCCAAGCAACATAGCCATCGTAAAGGCAGCCCTTTTGGTACAACAACATCGATTCAATCCGTCTTGTATGAACAGACACGATGAGTTGAGGAAATTGAGAAATAGGATACGTTTGATATGACCCTTTAAATACCAAAACTGACCGAGTCTCACTCTTAAAAGCGGTTTCCACATTGCATTGGTATGGTTTAGAACTGCGTTTTTATTGACCGATTTGAAATTATACGCATGTTACCGTTTCCACATAATACCAGTGTATTTATATATTTTCAATGAGTGAGCAGAAAATCCAACGTCAACAGCGTCGTCTCATCACAAATCGCTGCCGCCGCCGTCGCCATCGTTGCTGTTTCGTAGGTACATTCTATAATGAAAGCGCCATCCTTTTATAGAGTATCGTTAAACTCTTTATTCGCTGTGTTCTATATTTACTCGATTCTTTCGAACAATCCGGTTTTCAAGTGAATTTGAAGTGCCTTGAGTATTTAATATAAATCAAATACTACTCACCTTTTAATGTTGAGCATCTCCTGGAGGATATTCCATTTCATCGCATTATGGTTGCTATCTGACATTTTTCCCTTGAGTTTCTTTCACACTTGACTGAATTGCTTCTATTGAGTTTGTTGTTTCAAGTAATTAAATCGATTCATTTGTCTATTGTTTTATATCTTTTTCTCGCTGTCGCTCTGTATCTCTCTCGCTCTTCTATTACATCAGAGCTGAATGGAAAATTTAAATGCTGGATTCTATTTTATTTTTATATTTTATGTTGACGTCATTCATTTAATTTGCTTAACTTTTGAATTTATCTTTTTGCAAAATGGAAATGTAATTAAAATACGACAAAAGCAAGGTTAGTTCGTTTGAAAGAGTTTCTATGTATATATGTATATATCTTTTTCTTTCTTTGTTATTTTGTTTCTTCTTTCTCCTCTTCTTCTTCTTCTTGTTTTATTTCTGTGTTGGGCTCAGTTCAGTGTGAGAGTTTGTGATTAGGTTCGTATGTGTTTTTCATTATCGTCTGTCTTTTTTTTTTCATCGTTCATTTTTATTTGTTGATGATTTTTGTTGCTGTATACGTTCTATCTGTGCTTTGTATTGTCGATGATGGCATTCACAATTGGAATTATGTCGCGAAATGAAAAGAAAAAGAAAAATAAGAACATTGAATACAATAAAGAATTAATTGAAATGTTTAAACATCCTTGTTTTGTCGTTTAGCTCTTTGTATAATGATCAAGTGTGGTCATTTATTTCATTTTTCACCTTTTCCACTTTTTCTTCCCGTTGTTTGTTGCTGGTTGTAGCGTTGTTGCCGTTACCGTTGCGCTGAATACTTGTGAGTTCGGCTTATCTCGGCATCGAAATCGCCTAGGCTTTTTTGTCTCAAGATGGGCAACGAGTGTGGGGATTCGTTTTGTTTCGTAGTCGTATCTCAAGTGGCAAATGAAATGATACAAAAGAACATGAAAAAACGGGAGCAAATGTTAGTCATCTATGTAAATTGACTATTGGTCACAAAAGGGCTACGTTGCTACGATGTAATAAACATTTATCTTAGTTGCTTTTGTTTTGTCAGTTTTTTTTTCTATTTTCCACTCTTTCATTTTTGCGGGTGTTTTTTTTTCTCGCCTGCTTCTTTTCTATATCAGCTAAAGCCTTTATAAGCCGACGAGCATCTAGCTGTGTCCACGCGCGCGGGTGAAAGTGAAAAAGAGAGAGATATCTATATATAAAGCTGAGAAAGCATGAACACGGCGACATTTGTAATTTGTCGTGTTCGTTGTGTGACTTGTTCATAAAGCATCCGTTCGCATTTTCAATTTCAAATGCTTTCTGTTCGAATGTGAAATTCATATAATGAAAGAAACAAGTTCAGTTAAGCGTGATTATTTCCTCGCATGTAAATATGAAAGCGAAACGTGACAAGCTTTATCAATAAGCTTAACTGTGCAAAGTTAATCTTTCCGCATAAACGAATATGCAAAAACCGCATGTAGCGACGAGAATATAACGCACCAGCCACCAGCCATCACACACACACACATACATATACATGCAATCATTCTGTTTCCATTCTACTCCCATCTACCCCATTCCGGAGGAGCGCGCGCGCTCGTCCCCACAAAATGCCTACATCTCTCATCGTATACACGATAAGGAAAATGAGTGAGAAGAACGGGCGTCTTGTATATCCATTGCATTGGAGTAAATGGGCAGAAAACAGTAGAAAAAAAACACAAGCAACACACAGAGCTAACACGTTCATGTACGCCATATACGAGGACACTGAAAATGATGGATATAGCGCGGCATCTCACCACGAAATAGATGAAATTTAACATAAGCTTCGTATTCTAATTCAGAACGAAATGGTCATAAAATAAAAATAAAATGAAAAAAAAACAAGAGAGAAGCGGAAAAAACAGCAGCATCACTCCTCAATGGCTATGCGAGTGTGAATAAATGGAAAACGCGCGTTCCTCTCGTCATTCTTTCTTCATTTCTTTCTCTTTCTCTGCACTAAGACACATCGTCTGTATCGCTGACATAAATGATGTCAATATGCGATTCAGATTTCATTCAAATGTCATGGAAATTCGACTGAAATGAAAGAAAATTAGAAATAAACACTGATTTTCTCTCCCCGCGCGGGCGCCTCCATGTGCATACATTCAATTTAGCCGTCACACGGTCTCATTCCTGATAAAATAACACTTTCAATGGAGCTTCAGCTCATATGATTCGTGTCATTTGCTCCGAAAAAAATCACATTCTCAAATGAAAAAAAAAGTAAACAGTCTGATATAAGTAGTGCTAAGACTTCAAGTTTTCAGTTGGCTTTGTTTCGCTTGGCTGGTTGGTCGTTCGCTCATGGGTGAGCTTGACCAATGCAGGCGCACAATCTGACGTGAAATGGGCCTTAATCACATTAAAGCTTAAAAGTTTACAAAGCACTTCTTGCAAGCAATCGATTCGCATTATTGTCCATTTTCCGTTGTCTCTTTTCTCTTCTTTTTCTATCCCTCCTTGATATTGTTGTCGTTGCTGCAATTAATTGTCAAAATGTTTACATTTCCGAGAGGGAGAACTTGATTAAATTGTCATTCCACAGTTACGTGAATTTAGATTTATGGCCATAATATCAATATTAATTGGAATACGGTACTTCAATTAATCGATCGCGTTGGAGCGAAATTGCGAAATAGTGCAATAGATTAAAATGATTTCTGCATGAATTGTGTAGAGTAACGGGGGAAACCACATGGCCACGAAACAAGAGAAAAAACACATGTTCAAAGGGCCATCATCAACACAAATAAAACTAACGAAAATCATCGTTACGACATGGACGCTGTTTTGGTTGCGTCAATTTGTTGTCCTATGATTGAATAAAAGCAATCTGACGGATTTTCATTCGGTTCACTGATTATTCTCTCTTTTTTTTGGGTTAAAAACAAATTAATCAATACATCTCGATCTCTCTCGTACTTTTTCTCTCTGTAGGCCTGTTGTGTTTTTGTGTATTCGTTCAATTTGCCGCTATAATAAATAGCAGCCGACGAAAATGACAACAAGAGAATCGGTCGGAAGACATTCGAACTGAAATGAAATGAAATTGTCTGGTGTTTTGTGTGAGTGTGCATTTTTACTATCAATTTTCGGTTGAAATCGCCTTTTGTCACGATTAGCGTTCATACTTTACCGAAAACCGATTTGAGCTATGCTAGTCCTCTCATGCCGTACATATAAATAAAAAAACGGCCCTAAAGGAGATGAAGAAGTTGAAAAACAGGAGCCGAGTTAGATTTCAAACGATGCCACTTCTCTTTTTTTCGGTTCCTCTCCCTTGTTTGTGTTTTCTTTCGTGTAAAATGTGCCTAAATGTAAATGATTCGATCAGTTCTAATCTTTTGTTCGTAGCCAAATTTTTTCATCTTTTCTTTTTTTTTATGTCGTTCCGTTCTGCATTTCTTTCTCTATCTATTAACTCTATTGAAATGCCATCGTAGTCACTATCGAATTTTCTGGTAAGTTTCAACTTTCGCATATTATTGATTAGCTGTCGAATAGTCGGTCGATTTACTTTAGCATGTCATAGTCGTATTCCGTTATTACTGGAACTGGACTGGTTGTGCGGTCAACGGAATTGGCATATTTATGTTTGCATCCACCCAGTATCCGCTGTGTGTGTGTGTATTTACCTAATTAATATTCATTGAATGTATTTTGTTTTTCTCTTCTTCTTTTTTTTCGTTGGTCTATTTGTGAATATGCGCTGGCCAATGCCTAACTAAAACCTACTCCAATGCTGCCATAAAAACTTCTTCTTCTTCTTAGATATTTGCATGGAGCTTCTTCAATTTCACTCGAATGTATGTGCTACTGTTACTGCTGTTTCCCTTTTTCGGTATTGTTTGGTCGACTTCTTTGTTTATCTTTGATTGGCATTTTTGTGGGATGTTTAGCGCACATGCTTTTACGAAGCCGCATTCTTTTGAACGCTCGCTCACATGAAATTCGAACACGAAATCCAAATCCCACAAAAATTAGAGTCTTGAACGAATGGATATATCAACTGCCTTAACATGGTATTTCTTTACAGTTTGACCAGCACCAAACCATATGGACAATTACTGACCGTCGGTTCAATGGCAGCTCCTTTTCAGCACACCATTTCAAACGACAACAACAACAACAATCCCAATCCGGGAGGAAAAAAAATTGCTGGAGAAAATTCGAAGCAAATGTATCTATCCAATCAAATGTCCAATGTTATAGAATCGAACTTGAAAAAAGAAATCGGTCTGTGTTTCAGATATTCTGGAATATGACTGGCCATTCGGTTTATGATGTTTTGTGCGTGTATATCTAACAAGTGTTTTGAGCCTCATTCCGGAGCATGAATCACCATGCTTTGTAAAATATCAAACAAAACACTTGAAATGGTTTTGGCATTCAACTTACTTTTTTTTTTCTATTTTCGTTGTTGACGAGTAGCTCTTTTATCCACCGTTTTTTATTCAGATGGCGAGAGGGAGAAAAGAACGAACGATGATGTCAAAAGGAAGCAACAGTGACGACAAACCAAAAAAAAACCATTCAATGTATTTCGAAACTTTCATTCACATTTTACCAATCTCACTGTTTCACAACTCATTTTTTTCTTTTTCTTTTTCAACACGATAACATTTCATCTTTTTCTGTTGGATTTCACACTTATCACACTGTGTTCAAGTCGTCGGTGTCGTTCTTAACTCATAACATTTCATCAATTTTTTTTTTAGTGTGTGGAAATGTTCGAATGGAATCGTTTCGCTGATTGAAAGAAAGAGCTCAACGAGACGCTTGAATGTTGCTCAAAAAAATGAACAAATTTCCGAATCGAAACGTCATATTATCGCCCCCGACATGTACAGCTACATGCTTCAGCTAATTTAAGCGAATACATTGCGAACAAATTTACAGGCAGAAAAAAAAAATTGATAGCTAAAAACTTAATCACTGTGATTTTATATTTGCGCGGAGAAACGAGAGTATTTCAATCGCAGCAACGACTTAATCAACAAACACTTTTAATTTTCTCTTTTATTTCATCGTGTTTTTGTGTGTGTGTGTGTGTTTTTATTTCCATCCCGAATTGTTTAAAAGTTGATTTTCGATTAAAATTTATTTCGTTCGAGAGTCACTCACTTCTCTATCTTGGTCAGTGTTTGCTTCTGAGGAAAAATGTGTCGTTGTGCAAATTAATGATGAATTTTTCTCGTCACACACACAAAACGTCAAAACTGAACTGAATATGGGGAACGCTTTTCCGAATTTTCACATTTTCCACTTTACTGGTGCGGACGGATGCTGTGTGTTTGCGGAGAGAATGAGAGAGAGTGTGAAAGAGAGGATGCGAATCAGCGACGAGCGAAATCTTTAAAGTTTCGGAATTATCAACGCAGCAACAGCAACAACAGCAATAGAAGCAGTAGCTTGGCAGCCACATTTGTGTGTATGCTTGGCAAACGCGTCGAACATTTCATCCCGTAGTTTGTTGGAAAATGTGTACGTGCGCTGTCATGCAGCTTTCATTTTGGCAAGAGCTTACACGAACCCTAGCCATAAAGTGTATTCTATTGATTTGACGATGGAGAACGATCTCGCAAAAATCAAATGAATGAAAACTGAAAGCAAGAGCAAGAGCAAGAGCAAGAGCAAGAGCATAATGACAAAAAAGAAATGGAGGTGGGAAATTGTTGTGTGCAACGTACATGTAGAGGAACATGAATCGGGCTTGTGTGTGAGTGTATGTGTGCCGTTTGCAAATGCGGGTTGCGCGCGTGCCTGTGTCGCTGTTTGCATATCTGTGTATCTGTACGTATGTGTGAGTCTTGGGTATTCAAACTATACGATGTGGCTGGTGATGTGTTTTCGCAAAAACGAGATGGAGAAACGGTCTATCTCGAGTCTCGACGCACCGCACCAAGTTGACGGCAATGTAAAATTTCGAAAGCGAATACGAAACCGTTCTCTTTCTCTCTACCTCCGCATAACGATGAAGTGTATGACAGTCCTTTGCACATTTCTAAGCGGGCTGTCAGCTTTGTGAAATGTACATTATTATCTTATGTGGATAAAAGCGCGTTTGATGGTGAGCTGCATGAAAGAGACTGTTACATAAGCGAGTGTGTGTATTTTAAATCGCCTGTGCTCCACATGCATGGAACAAAAAGCGTATTACACGATTGCGCAACTGTCAGTGATGCCGTTTTCACACAGCGCTCGTGGACTTCATTGTAACGCATAGCATCCGAATAGATGAACGCACAAAATCCGAATCCAAGTCCAAATCCGAAATTCGGTGTATACTTTGCACTCAGCGCTGCATCGAATCGAATCGAATCGAACGGTTGTGTCCCAGCACAAAGCAGGCACACGCTTCTATTTGTATATTCATGAAATATGTGCGATATATGGATATGAAGCAACAAAAAATCTGATTGAAACTGCTTGATCCATTCCAGTGATGGTATGATCACTTCATAACAAAAAAAAACGTTCACTTACTTACAATTTAAATGACTGCCCCGAATAATAAATCGATTAAAAGTTTTGCAGTTCCGTGTTGGCATGCGGTGTGTTATTTGCAGAAAATGCTCTGCTCATATAGTCGTTCAGCACAAACAACACTACGGATCCATTCGCTATCTCATCGTCTCCTTTTCCCATTTGCCATCGCATACATCCCATCTACCGCAAAGATACACATCTATGGAAGAACAGAGCAAAAATGCCAAAGCATGCGCAACATTTGCCTTCTTTCATGTGTGAAATTCGAATTTGACGGCAGCCGAAAAAGAAAGAAAAAGCACAGCCAATTCCCATATAGAAGAATGGAATAGTAAAAGTAAATAAAATGCAAAAGCAACAATCACTTTGAGGAAAAAATTTGTGGCACACAAGCCAGTCATATCCATACAGACACAAACACACACATACCCGAAAGTTGGATCGCCTCCCGTACACACTACACAGTAATTCATTCATGCCAATCGCATCCAATTGTTTCGCCATGAATATACCGTCATCATAATTTGGTTGGCATTTGCCGATGATATTATAATAACTATGGCAAAAGCCACATTCCTGCATAAATGTGTTCCATATGTGCGGGCACATTTGATTCAGCAAATGGGAATATATTCACATTTGCAATGTCTATTACGTGGGATTTGTAACGGTAATAACGGCATCACATTCGAAGAAGCCGAATGCATTTGCACGGGTAAAACGTACACGTCGTCAACAAAAATCAACGTGTACGAAATCGTTCAATGCGTTCCGCAATGCCACATAATATTTTATTATTCCAAATCATCGAAATAGATCTGAGCTCCGGTCTGAAATGCAGATCCAGGTAATATGACCACCTTAAAAGCGCACAAAAACTCGTCCGAGAAACGATTTGGTCGATGGGGCAGAAACTTTGCAGAAATGATTTTGGTCGATTTTTTTTTATGTCCAGCTGCCAAAGTGTACGCCAAAAAAGAACCATAAAATGCCAATATTCGTTTTTTTCCCGTTGTTTTTTCTTGCAAAAAAACGTACGTGTTGCGGAATAATCTCAAAAATGTGTGGTTTCTCTTCGTCTCCTTCTTCTTCTTCAATACAAACATTGAAATGCTCTGCTTGCATGGTGGAAAAAAGAAGACAAAATAGTTTGAAGCAATTTACGAAAAAAAAGTTCATCGCATAAAGTTTAATATTATTTTTTTAATTTTAGTTTTTCATATTTGCAGTAAAATTTCAACTTTTCACGAGAGAAAGAGAGGAAAAACCACAACAAAACTTTTTTTTTCTATAATAAGGTATAGTTGTTGATGCAATGAAATCACCGTAGTGTTTGCATTTCTGCATCGAATCAACAAATTTAACTGCAATATAATATTTGCGGTCTTACATTGAAATGCACATTGAATTTGTGGTCGTTGACCATGGAAAAAGAACTATGAATTTTAATGTGTCGACACAAAAAAAAACTGTGCATTTCTCTCGATCGATGAAGTTTAATTTTATGGATGAGCATTAAAAGTAGATAACATTTGATGGCTGCCGTCCAAAAAGTAAAATGAAAACAGAAGACGATTGGATTACTTATTCAAAAGTGATAAATCAAATTGGTTTGGCGATGAGCGTAAGCAATTTATTTCAATAGAAATACAACTTTGTTTCTTCTTTGCTTTCGAATTATCGCGCTTTGCATATCATGTACTTCGTTGACGACTTTTTGCTACTTAAATGTGTTTTAACACAGTGACTGCATTGCAGTTCAACTTGCTCACGTATACACTTGAAAACCGATTTACTTTGAATGGCACACAGCTTAAGTACGACTCAAAGTCAAATCTACTTAAGGTTCTGTTTACACTTTGACAAGAACCAACAGCGTGTTCAACTGGATTTGTGTAATTCACACAATTTGCGGCTGATTTTATTTCGAGAATCGTTGGTTCTTCCTCAAATTTTGAAATGAAATAATATTTTCGGAATAATTTGATATGAAATAATAGTACGTGATTGGTAACATCAGGATAAGACAGGATTTAATTTGTAGTATCGGGTTATGATTGAATGAAAATGGGTAAGAAAATAAACGGGCTCATACTCAAATTGTGTGTAATGATTTCTTTTTTGTGTATTTCTCTTCATATTTGCCATTCTTGTCATCAGCTGAAAGTGTTCGCGTGATTATCCAAGCACTCGACAATCATCCAGTGTGTGAACATGGTCCAGCCTTATTGTTTGAACGCCGATCGGGCTCTACATTCCAGCAATTCTATGCATGCTCGGCATATCGTGATCAAACAGAGTGTCCATTGTTTGTGCCCGTTGACCAGAATGAGCCAAAAGTTCACAATCGAAATCTTGTAGCAACAAATATCAGAAAATCATCCGAAATAGCAATAGAGAAATCGGTTTTATTGCAAAAGGTAAAAATGAACCATAGACTAGTAAACATAAAGAAATATTGAATAACAAATGCTAAATTTCAATGCTAATAACGGAATCGTTTTAGGTTTTACAATTGGATCCAAGTGAGCGGTGCTATTGCCATACGTGTCATAGATTTCTGATTGATTTTTCGAATCACCAAAGCCATGCAATTCAAAAAGGTCTTTCAAATGAACAAATCGAACGACCAACTACATTTCTACGCTCCCTTTCAAACGACAAGAGAGAGGCACAGTACTTTTTCTCCGATGCATCGCTCAAGTGTTTCGTGCAAATGTTCCAGCGGCTTCAATTCAAGTAACAGTCTCACTTTTTCGCAAAAAAATTGAATCACAAAAAATCTTAACCACAAATATTCAAATTCTTTTTTCAGTAAAGTCATTTGCATTGGTGCGCCACGATTGCACGAACACCTTCAATTTCATAAGCCAAAGTTGCGCATTGAATCCATTTTGTTGGACTTGGACACGAGATTTTATTCATTTTACAATCGAGATGGCAAATGTGATTTTTATCATTACAACATGTTTAACAATTATTTCTTCGCTGGCGATGAAACTGAAACGAAATTTAAGCAGTTTCTGCGAAACAGAAGTAATGAAAAATGTTGCATTTTCACTGATCCACCATTCGGGTGTCGAACCGAGCCACTTGTGTTCACACTGCAAACACTGAGACAGACATACAACCAATTGAATCGAATGCATGACACTTTGCCGACATTTTGGATATTTCCGTATTTCATGGAGACATACATAACATCGTTGATGCCCGAAATGGAAATGCTGGACTATAAGGTTGATTATACAAATCACGATACGTACCATTCGGGTCATGATGGACGGAAGCAAGGCTCACCGGTGCGTGTATTCACCAATGTACCAAGCCATCTAATCCATTTGCCGCCAACAGAATCGTATCGCATGTGCAAGAAGTGCAAAAAGTGGGTGGCATACGAGAATCAACACTGTGATCAATGTAAAAAATGCCCATCGAAAAACGGCGACACTTACAAACATTGCAATTTATGTGGAATTTGCGTAAAACCATCATACGTACATTGTAAAAATTGTTGGCGTTGTACACAAACTGAAAATCACGATTGTTTCAAATATCAATCGCAATTGAGATGCATGATATGCCTGCAAAAGGGTCATAATGAATTCAATTGCGATCGATGGTTTGCATTATGTAAGAAAAATCCAAAAGAAATTGTCCGACTGAAAGCAAAGTCCATTAAAACTGGTCGTCGCATCTGTTTGCTTTGTTTTAAATCCAGTCACAATGAACAGTCTTGCTTAAAGCGTAAGCAATTACTCAAAGAAAGTGCATTTTTGAACCGATATTACAATCTGTTAACATTAGACTCATTGTAAATAAAATATTCAAAAAAATTTACACTCTTTTGTATTTAAAATATTCGATTTACTAAATGTTAGCGAAAGAAAAGATTAGCTCAAGTTTACTATTTGTTGTATGCCACGAGACAACGATAAGAAAATTAGATTGTTTCACTGAAGGCTCGACTTTATCTAAGGAGATGACGAAATCTTATCTGTAAATTTTTTTCTTCGCCGAGCATCCAAACGTTGCTTGATATGACGATTTGCATGTTTAACTACAGTTCAATCCTAGAATTCTAGTCGAAAATGTTTGCCTCAGCCATTGTATTTTTTAAAAATTTCTTAAGTTTTAGTGTCATCTTGATCTGTTTGGTGTCAAAGTTACCGCAAGTTCGTCGAGTGGTGAACACTAAATCAGCAAATGGTTTGTTTTTATACAGAAAATAATCGTATTTCTCGAAAAAAAAATACGCTTTTCAATAGAAAATCACATTATTGTATTTTTTGCATTTCTCACAACATCTGAATTATGAACCATTCACAATTGTGTTGCTTTCTGTGTGTTTTAAATGAAATTATCCCATAGATTAACCAAAATCATCAATATTTTTTTTTTAAATCTACTTGTGCAGGAATCAGTTTGTTCTCATTGAGTTTGGAAGTGTTTCGACTGTCAATACTATGGACATACAATTACTGCTATGACTATCCAATTCTAATGTACCTTGAATATCCATTGATTTTGGTACAGCAATCGATTTTATTTTATTTCGTGCTGAAATACAAAAATCTACTCGAGACCGAAATTGTTCTGTTATCGCTGTTGACTTACTTGACAATTGTTCTGTTCATGGTTGGAATTCTACCGAAAGTAATTCTAGAATACATTATCGTAAGTATTTATCGCCGAATTGAATTCAATTTCTTTTACTCAATTATTAAATATGTTTTATGAAAAAATAATTAATTTTAAATTAATAAGCGTGTTTTTCATTTCGAAATCGTAGATTTTGTGTCCCCCACTCAATATAATAAGTCGATTTACGCAAGTATTCAAAATCATTCAGCACAAAAAAGCAGACGATATTAGTTTAACGACATGGATTTTAACGGCGTACGTTGGATTTGGTAAGTAAATAAAGTTACAAGTAAAAAAAATTGCAATGAGTTTATTGTAAATCAAAGCAACCAATGAATAATTTTATTCAAACCATTTCAGCTCGAATCTGCACAACGTTGATGGGGTCGCGAGATAAAATTTTATTGTTCAATTCAATCGTAGGATTTTCAGGGAGCACATCAATTTTTCTGAGCGCATTTTATTATCAACGAGCGGCAAAAAAATCGTCATAAAAACAGAGACCAGAATTGTATTTTTGTTTAATTCTAATATCCGACAGCAGTACAAATAAAAAATATCATTAAGAAAATGAAAAAGAAGAAACGATCTATGACTTTGGAGAAATCATTGGTGGCATCCTCTTCGAAGTCCTTATATTCATAGGTCTGTGGTAAAAGAGAAATTTATGCCAAAAAATTTTGTATCACAAATGAAAATTCGCTGATGCAATCGTACTTACATCGTCAAAACTCAGGCCAAATACCAACTGTACCCATGTGGATGAAGCGATTTGTGTAAACAGCTCAATATTTGGTTTTCGTTCTTTAAACCAACAATGAATGGTAAAAGTGAGTAACGAAGCCCACACCACATACAATGAACACGTGTAGTAAACGACTGTAATGTAATAAATTAAAACACTATCTCATGTTAAACGAAGCAACTTAAATCATTTCATAAATAAATCGATATATATATATATTGTACGTATAGTACTTGCCTACAGTTGGTGTATAATAATTTGGCGCATGATCGGCAAGTATCAAGAGCATTGCTATCAAAATGAATAAACTTAGAGCATTCAACATGATTCGAAGAAATCGTTCCACCCAAAATGATAGTAAAACTAATGAAAAGGCCCCTACAACAAACAATACAAATTTCCAGATTTTACACCGTGAACAAGTTCAAATATTTACGCTGGATAAATATATATGTATACCAATAAGAGGCACTGATATGAGTTGATTATAGAACAAACTATTTCGTTGGAGAATAACATTTATTTCTAGCGTAGATATGGAGCTACTTAATCCATCGGCTGTCACAACCGTATATGGTATATTGGGATTTGATTGCACTGAAGATATGGATTTCGTTTCAATTACACGCCATTCGCCCCCATCAAAATCATATCTTGAACTCTAAACGCAAGAAGTTTATTAAGAAGTTTAATTCGATTTGTTTTAGTAAAATATTTCGCGAGTTTGAAATAAAGTTTTAGACATACCCTCGGTATGATGTAAAATGTCTTATTCAATGGAATTAACGTCGCACTTGTGAAATGATCCAACTGTATTTGTATGTTACAACTAACCGCTTCGTATGGCCAATTTCGATTCAAATTCAGACACCACGTAGAAAAAGTAGTTGACATTGATTCTGCCCAAATACTTCCATTTGAAAAGATCGTCACCGTGTACAGTAATGGTATCGATCCAAAGTGGTCGTCTTTGCCGCTGGAAAATTAAATTGCAATTAAATTGAATTACCTCAGTTTGATAGTGTGAAATTTACTTTAACAATCGAATCTGTGGCGTCCATATCAGATCAGCGGGTCCAACTTTGTCCAAATGAATCCGTGACTTACCACCGTATTCTCCTTTTTTCCACCTCATTTTTGGGTCGATCCAATTCTACGAATATTTCGAAATTAGATTTCATTTATTTGAATTATTTTAGTTTCATTTTAATGATTTTCCATCACGGAAATCAATTTTACCGCTCGAAATCGTCCATGTGAGGTCAAAAAGGATTTTTTCGAATTGAAATCGGCATTCACCAAATCAAAGTCCAAAAAAACAGTGCCCAAATCGATGGGAACAATATTTGGATCATATCCATTTAGTAAATCATTTAGCAAACGCTGAACGTCTGTCAAATTCTGGTTAATGGGCGATAATATATCTCCAGTCGAATCATTTTCACAATCATAGAACCATTTCGCTTCGGCTGTACCCCAAGTACTACGAAAAATATTCAATTTCAGTTCGAACATAGATCAAAATGAAGAAAATCGAAAGAAAGCGAAAATGTGTTGAGTTAAAATAATTTCCAAACCTGAAGCTAATGTATTTGATGTCCAGCACATTTGGATCAAAGGCTGTAATGAATGGTGGCTGTCCAGTGATAGCAATGCTAATATTTCCCGATTTCAATATGCGAACCGTTAAGGGCATCACATCTGTTGAACTTAGAAAATTGCTTTGTCGTTTCGTTGAAAGCGGTTGACTTTGGCGTTGCCGCCGTATTTCATTGAACGTATTCCCTCCAGCTCCAAGTACTAAAAACCAAAAATATCTTTCAACAAACATATAACCAATGTGACATCACCCTTCCGAATCCAAAGTGAAAAAATAATGTGTATGATAATAGAAAATACAGACCAATTTCATAGATGGGTGATGATTTGATTTGATCCGTTGGCGATAGCAGAATGTGTGCATCTTTCGTAGCTAACACAAATAGCCGTAAATTCAAAATTGTGTCATCCTTATCAGCAAGATTTCGATTCGGCTTAAGCGAATCGATATGAAAGAAACTCGAATATTTGTATCCAGCTTTCACATCGTATTCCTTGCAAAATTGAAGCTCTGCAAAATGGATAACATTTAACAATCAAATTGTGATGCAGCAAAATCAAAATATCTATGTCATACGAGCGAACCTGTGTACGTAACATTGAATTTATTTGCTTCACTTCCGCTAAAAAATACACTAGCCAATAAAATGAAGTAGAAATTCATATTTCTACTGTGTTGTGCTCATTGCTACGATAAAACTGAATAAATGAACAATTGTTCGCCAAACGATTCGGACATTGCTGCAGACAAGCTGTTCAGTTTTTTTTTTCGTTATCGAAGGATGTTCTGTGCCTACACTGGAAAATAATGAAGCTGTATGTAACATTGAATAAACATAAGTGTGATAAGTTTATCTTGACACGAGCATATACAATATGGAAGTCTAGAAATGTTTTTTAATAGATAACACATTCAACTTTGCATTTATAAATGGATAAATAACATTATTTGAAGCAACTCAATAGCATTGTTCAAACCAATAAATCCAACATTGTTTCATTTAGGAATAATGCGTTAGGAAGAAGAATATGTATGAAAATTATTCGTCCATCAAACAAACGCAAAGAAAAAAACATAAAACCTCCGACTCAATGAAGAATATTACTTCTGTTTAACTCTATGGTTGACGTGTTTTTTTTTCAATCCTTAAAAAACAATCAAAACTGTGAACCATAGTCTGTGAATCACAGTCGGTGATTCATTTTGCTACCAAAACCAAGAACTACACGTACACGTTGTTGCTAATGACAGGAAATAGCATAATAAAATGATCAGATTTCTGAATCATACACATTTTGCAATGTGGTTCCAATGAAACCATTTCATTTCAAATAATTTCGAAAGATATCAATATCTCCCTAAATTTTTAGATGTTTGTTCTTAATCCACTCAACATACGACAACAATTCAGCGGTTGTTTCTCTTTCGTAAACATAATCGAAAAAGCGCATTTCAACAATTTGCTGTCAGAAGCAAGCAAGCAAGAATTGAGATTTTTCCAAGTGTTTGCACTTTTGAAATATGCGATGTGTGTTACGTAAAAAAAACTCTTCAAAGTTTGATTATCATGATTCATACCATCATTTCAAATGAAATAGTTTTGGGTCAAACGCAATAATTGATTACAAACATATGATTACTTGTTTTAATCAATTTTATATAATGTACCTAAAAGAGCTGACGTTTATTAAAATAATACAATACAATCTGTTGTTTACTATATTGTCGATTCGATGCGACGAAATTTAATAGTGTGTCCACTTGAAGAAGTCTAGAAAGGGTCACATTACCTGTAAACCTTAGATCATGCTCGGGAAACGGGTTGTAAATTTTATGTGATGGAAGAATAGCTATTCAACGGTTTATGACATTAATGATTAGTTATAATGCAAGTCACGTGCATATCATCAAATTGAAATACATACATTGTTTTACGCGCAATTTTCTTTATCGACCGTTATAAAAGTTCATTTCCTTGAATTTGCCCTGAAATGATTTATGGTTTTTCAAATATGGAATATTTTCAAGTTCTAATGCATTTCTGACGAATCTGTTGAGCGAACATCTTAGAATTGTTGATGCAAAAAATTACACAAAATGTGTGTGTATTTGTGTGTTCTGTAATAACGTGCTCAAATCTTTGATAGAATCAACCACATGTAAAAATGCATAATTAAATCACATTCAAAAGATAATTTTACATTTTATGGGGGGCATTAAGCATGATGAAATTTTCTTTCCTTTGTAAACATGTTGTAAACCCAATTGAAATGTGATTTTGAGTCCCTATCCCCTGAAAACCGCTTTATGATTTTTTATCTCATTTCTTTCAAAACATGTTCGTTTCTTTACTTTTGACGACCTAAATTCTGGAAACTAAAAGTAATTGTTGATATGAACTTATATCTCAATTCATAGAATGCGAATTCTTTTGGAATATATCACATTCACATACATTTTTATCTTCATTTGCCATCAGTGCATATTTGCTCCTTCTCGTTATACAATTGAATTTTAGACCCACAGTTTTTTTTTTACTTTGCTCGTAATTAAAATTAAGTTCACGTATAAACCGTGTAGGGCAATGGTCGGGTGGAGTTGGTGTGAAAAAGCCTAAATCACATATTCATTTTGTCAATGTATGATTGAGTGATAAAAACTCAATTATACTGCAAAGCACCATTAAATCCATTTTTCCACAACTATTTTTGTAATGGGGAATTTGGTTCATAAATAATAATCCGTTGACGCAAAAACAATTGAAACAGTGCCTTATTTTTCGTATCATTGTTGAGCCAGACATATAATATATTTTCTTATTATTGTACGTTTGATACAATAAAAATATCTCATGACAAAGTGTTAACATTTTGTGATAATGATTGTTATCTATGGAGAGCCTTCCATCTCGTAACTTTAACTTTCTTGGCGCTTGCCGCATCCATTCCATACAGTCGGCATTTGAAAGTGTAACGGACTAGTTCAATAATACTATCTGATTCCGTTAATCGTTCAAATTCAAAACGAACACAATCTGTGATGATCAAACTTGGCTTTCAATACTATTGAAAGCAATTATAATTTTAAAATCAAATTCGCTGTTCATTTTGTGTTTCCAAATTAATTGTGAAGAATTTCAAAAGAGAAAAATAGAGATAAGTCCAATTACGAATAAACTGGGTGTTTTTGTAGACTTCTATATCTTAAAAAGAGATTTATCAATTGTGCTTTGTCTATGCAAAGTGGATTGTGATTTTTGATTGTATACCAAAAAAAATGAAACTAGTGCTGTTGTGGTTTTGTGTGATTGGGTCGCTAGTCGACATCGCGTTGGGTGCACCAGCGGAGCAAAATGCCGAAAATATCGAAAATGCTGAAAATGTAGACTATCGTCTGAATACAGACGTTGAACCGATTGAATATACCATTGATCTTACGCCACATTTTGATAATGAAGGGGGCAATGAACCTTTCACCTTCGATGGAAGTGTGATTATTCAACTACAAGCAACCAAACCTAATGTCAAAACCATCACCCTTCATAAAGAGGAATTGGATATTTCCGAAGTCAGTTTGGCAACAAAATCCAAATATTTTCCATCATTTCCATGGAATGTAGAGAAAATGGCGATAAATAATACTACATATGATGAACGCACAAACAAATATAGCCTCACACTTGAAGAGCCACTCGCCGAAAATAAATTATATGAACTGACTTTTAAATTCAAAGGTAAACTGAGAACCGACATGAAAGGATTCTATCGTAGTTCGTACAAAGAAGGCAATGAAACAAAGTAAGTCCACTTTTTTGTTTAGTGTTCTCATAATTTCTTAAAATCATTTGAATATTTTATGAATGATTGCAAGGAAAAACTAATGAAATACGATTCAAACCAGATATTTGGCTTCCACCCAAATGCAACCAATGCACGCTCGCAAAGTGTTTCCATGCTTTGATGAACCACGATTCAAAGCAACATTCAGCATTAGTATGAATCGACCGACTCATTTCCAACCAACACTCAGCAATACGAAGATTCTGAGCTCATATCAATGGCGGTAAAAAAAAAATTATTTGATATTTCTTATTATCAGATCGTTGGTTCAAACATCAATTCTGATTTTGTCGTGTGAATTTTTTTTTAACTTCATAGTTCGGATTTGGTTCGTGAACATTTCGAAAAGACTCCAAAAATGTCTTCATATTTGGTAGCCTTTATTGTGTCCGAATTCCAATGCCGTGAAAATGATGCGAAAACATTCGCCGTTTGCTCTCGACCAAATGCAATCAGTCAAACTGAGTACAGTTTCGACATGGGCCAAAAACAACTAAACAAATTCGATGAACTCTTTGACTACAAGTATAACACTCATATTTCAAAAATGGCAATGGCTGCAATCCCCGATTTTTCGGCAGGAGCCATGGAAAATTGGGGCTTATTGACTTATCGTGAAACGGCCCTTCTCTACGAACCAGAAGTGTCGACGGCAATGGCTCAACAGAGAGTGGCTGCAGTGGTTGCGCATGAACAGACTCATATGTGGTACAGTTGTTCGCTTTGCGATATCATATAATAATATCTTATTATCATCATTTTTAAACTTTTGAAATAAAGAAATATTATGTTATTACTAATGATACTTTATCACCGGATTTGTAGGTTTGGTGATCTTGTGACCTGCGAGTAAGTTTCGTGCTCAGAAATGCAATCTACTACACAGCACTTCACATGAATTACAACTCGATTATCATTTCTCCTCTTTTCAGGTGGTGGTCGAATACATGGCTCAATGAAGGCTTTGCAAGATTCTTCCAAACGTTTGGTACAGCAATGGTAAGAATATGTCCAATTTTGTGTTTGTTCCTTTTTTGGAAAACAAAAATGGATAAACATATTTAATTTTGAAAAAAAAAAAAATCATCAACAAAAAAATTGTGTTAAAAGGTTGAAACGACTTGGGGCTTGGATCAACAATTTGTTGTTGAGCAATTGCAATCCGTATTCGGCCCTGACTCATTGGAAGATTCGCAAGCACTTACTCACGAAGTAAACACACCCGACGAGATAGACGACAGATTCGGTTCTATTTCATACAACAAAGGCGCTTCGGTAATTAGAATGGTTGAGCACACAATTGGGCACGACACATTTATTTCTGCGCTCCGAAATTATCTCAAAGCAAAGTAAGTAATAATTACTTTTTTTTATCGTTGAAAATGATGTGTCATTTTATTTTTGGGATAAACAAAATCGTTAAAATCACGTGAGCAAATTCGAAACCAGAAATAATAAACAAATTATTCATTGCAGTGAATTGAGTACTTCGTTGCCAGAAAAATTGTATAAAGCTTTCCAAGATGAAGTCCATACTGGTCTAGATGTTACTGACTTTATGAGCGGTTGGGTCACTCAACCCGGCTATCCCGTTGTAAATGTGAATGTTTTCGCCGATCGAAGAACGATTGCGCTGACACAGCGAAAATTCTTGCGAAACAATCCAAAACACGAAGATAACACCGTCTGGAATATTCCAATTAGCTATGCTACAGATAAATGGAACACAAACTTCACCAAGACAAACGCAATTGTTCATTTAAATAGTAAGAGTGAGCAGCAGCATAAGCTGAACGATGTTGCTGAATGGCTTGTGGTCAACGTACAACAAACGGGTAAGTGTATCCGTCATGGACTTCATAATCAAGCACCCTATCAATTTGTCACTGAATTGAACGGAGAACTTTGATTGAAATTCATTTAGAACTCAAGATGATGATGTTCACTTGTTCACATTGATTGTGACACACAATGTGTCCTTGACAATGTCCGAGACATTCAATATTGACGCCGTCATATCCAAACGAATAATCTACATGATAAATCTTTTGGATTCGTTATTTCACGCAAATTGCGATCGTTTTATGGTGCTCATTATTTCATTCGTCTTTTGTCTTTTTTTTTACATTGCCCGATGTATGATCATTATCGTTTGAGATAAAAAAATAATACCTTTTTTCTTCTTCAAAGGTTATTATCGAGTGAATTACGATGACGCCAGTTGGAAGGCAATCGATAAGGTCTTACATGATTCGCACGAAACCATTCATGTACTCAATCGTGCTCAGGTAATGAGAATATTTCCATTCATTTGAAGATTTTTATTCTTAAATGTGATTATAATTCATTTTAACGTGTTACACTAATAGCTCGTTGACGATGCACTGAATTTGGCTCGTGCCTCTCAGCTCAATTATACACAAGCCTTACATACTATCCATTATCTGAAAAATGAAACGGACTATGTTCCATGGTTATCTGCATTCAATAATTTCGATTTCATTTTGGCACGATTCAAGAGCGATGATGCGAAGATATTCAAAGTGAGTATCGATTTGATTCTATCGATGATATATTAACCGCAAACTGTTACAAAATTTTATTTCAAAAGCAATTTCATTCATTTAATACAAAGTTTATTGAATTTAAATTCAACTGTAATATTAACACGTATTTATATATTTCAGAAATTCATCTTGGGCCTTTTGAATAAGGTGTACTCTCACCTTGGGTTCTATCCAAAACCAGACAATGACACTCGCTTAGATATCTACAATCGAAACAATGTACTGAAGTATGCATGCAAATTTGGCCATGAACAATGTATCACTGATGCACGTGCCGAATTCGATAAATTGCTACAGACAAGTCACAAGTATAGCATTTTTTCGACGATTTTACAAAGAAAAAATCAAATTTTTGAAACTAAATGAAATGTGATTCTTTTCTAGAATTCCAGTGAATCTGGTGCCCGTAGTCTATTGTTCGGTGATTAGCGAGGGATCAGACAAAGAATGGACATACTTGTGGGAGAAATTCCAAAATGAAAATGTGGCCGCTGAACAAGTTACAATTCTGAGTGCCTTGGGTTGCACGAAGCAAGCAAACTTGATAACGGTAAATATTTGTTCGAATTAAATGATTCTGAAAAGGTTGATCTATCAACATATTTTAGAAACTTCGACATATGTTTTCGTTTAAAAATAAATAGAACAATTTGAAAAAAAGTCAATTCTAAACTAATCTACTTTTCAGAAATATCTTGATCTCATCTTGACCGATAATATTCGATTGCAAGGTAATCCGTAATTTTGTTACATAGAAAATATAAAGACGGTGCTTGAACTTCTATCTCATTCTCTCTTTTCAAGATAAATATTCAGCGCTCGTATCCACACTGATGCAAAAAGAAAACTTTGAATTAGTTCTCGATTACGTTCTAACAAACCACCAAAATATTACTAAAGTGTAAGCATATTTTGTATTTCGAAAAAAAAAGCGAGAAACTATTAATAATCTTTTTTTTTTCAAAATGTATAGATTCGAGACAGATAATGAATTACCAAAGATCTTGACACAACTTATCGGACGATCAACCACAAGTGAACAAATTGAAAAGTTGCGAAAGTTTGTCAAAGAGAATGATTTGGAGTCGAATAAAAACTTGAAGACCGCCTTGACAAATGCTGATTTCAATCTCAAATGGGCTGAACAAAATGTCCCAATAATCAAGGACTTTGTGAAAGAAAAGGAAGATGAGGTGCCGGGCAGCGCAATGACACACACCATTTCTGGTGCCATCCTTGTAGGCTTGATTTTCGTTTCATTTTTCAACTATTAATACATTCGATTGATAATAATAAACCATCCATTTTTGGCCCCAAACAAGAATTCTACATGTTAGATTTAAAAATGTTGTAATAAAGTATTTTCGTTAAAAAGAATTTAATTTGGATTTCATTTGGACGAATCAGGTTCAATAGATAGATATGCAATTGGGCAAACATCAATGATATGAGTTGTTGATACCTCACCCGTTATTAGTTATTACTTTGCACCTATTTGAAATATTATTACATAAAAATAGTGTGGCAAGAGGTATTTGATTGCTTTCAACATATTGTCTCTGGTATTTGTCACGCAAAATTTTTTATCAATCGACTCAAGTGATAATGATTCCAAATAGACTGATAGAATGTAAGAATGCACTTCAATACTAAATGCAGCAACAGCGACTATCATGCTATGGCTATATCAAACAATGCGTAAGGAAATCCGGGCGCATTACTGTAGCCGAGAGTAGCACACATTTATGCAGCACATAAGCGAAATTCTCTTGCAAACTATGACTGATAACGCATGAATCAATCACTGGTTGAGTTTCGCGAACGATGAAAACTGTATTCCATGTCAATTCATGTTCATCTATTGAACTTAAAACGAGACCACTTGTTTTCCCATAAAGTTCCATTTATGGATGGAAAACCACTTGAATCAACGAACTCTGGATGAATTAACAGCGAGTCAACACTGCAATGTTGATCATGATAATTGAAATTTGCCGCATGTCCGATGCACAAACATCAATAAAAGGTTTTTGCAACTGAATAATCGAATGTGTTTATGTTGTGCATATAGTTTTTACAATATTTTGATATATATTTTGAAAACAAGCATTTACTTTGACCGGTGTTCCAGTAAACTGAAATCGATTTTATATTAAAAAAAATACAAAATATTCGAGATTGAAGTATCGTTCGATAAAATTGATTAACCTTACAGCTTTCCGTTAAGGTTGGAATTGCATAACACTCTAAATATGTGTGCATGTAATTTCAAACGTTTCCCATTTGGGTATCCGTTAGCTTTTCATCTGATTGCCATGCTACATGAGTTGCATCATCAAATATATTACCATGTCATGACATGCAAAAAAGTTGCTCTTGTAAAACTTTGCCGACCATGATTTGGTATTAATTTTTTTTTCGTTCATATTTGAATGAGCCGGTTAGGTCAAGCAAAAATGACGAGAGGAAAGAAAAATTTTCGGGTTAGTTCTTCGCTCATATACACATATATTCTTATAACATTTTAATTTTATGCCTATTTTATCGATCGTTTGATGGGGTTTCATTATTTTTCTGCTTGAATGGAAGCGTTCGGTGTCCTCCATTAATAATTTCTCTTTTTTATTTTAAAATGAGGTATGGGAATTTAAATTAGTTTTTTTTCGTCAAATGTAAAAAAACCTTGGTGTTTGCGCCACGACAGTTCTCGTATGTATATAGCTTAGCATGGATAAGGGTGTTGCATTTTATTTAATAAAAAAATATTCTCCCTGGGATATATTTCTAACAAATTAAATTAAACACACAACCCAGCTGCAATGTCAGCATTCTACATGAGAAATTATTTCAAACGAACGATTGAAAGACTATCTATTTTTATATTCCATCGGAATGAAAATAATCGGAAAATTATTTTATTTTGAATATTGTTGTCGAGTGTTGTTCAGTTTGCATTCCACGATGTAAGTGAATGTCATTGATTGGTCTTATATTACATCTGTCTCTGCGCTGTATAGGCATTGTCAGTATTGGCTGTTTGAAATTCAAACATTCGATTTCAACGGATGAAAATCAAATAATAGTGTGAGAAAAAAGAACAATATTAATGAATTCCCAATTAAACTGATCAAAATCGAAATTGTGCGTAAATGAATATATAAAAAAATGATATATAACACGTCAAACAAAGTATAATAACTCACAAATGACAAACGGTAAACATTTTAATAGTGATTGTTATCAACTACGGGTCGCAGTCAATAGCAGTCAACGATCGAAAGTGTAGCGAGCTAGTTCGGTTCGGCTCGGCTCTAGCACTGCATAGTTATAAAGCTAATTTTCAATTCAGCTCAGCCTATGATGTAAAGACAGTTTCACTTTGAACACCATTGAAAGCAGCCATAGTTCGTAATCACGAATTCAAATTATAAAAACGTATGAATAAATCTAGCTATTTTTTGTATACCAAAGAGTTAAATGTGAATTCCATCTCTCGCGAAGAATTGTTTTTGTTTTCGCTGAATTTATAATTTGTGTTTGTGCAAAGTGTTACATTCGTTAAGTCCAGGGTTTTATAGTTGCATTCCAGTTTTTGAAACAAAATGAGGTTTTCGTTAGTGATTTTTTGTGTGATCGGACCGTTGATTGACACCAGTTTGAGTGCACCAAGTGTTCAAGACATTGACAGTGCATCGAATTCTACATTAGAAAAAGTTGAAAAATTAAATCATCGTCTAAATTCCGATGTTGTGCCTGTAGATTACGTCATTGAACTGACACCATATTTCAATAATGAAACGGGCAAAGAAGCATTCACCTTTGATGGAAACGTAAAGATTACTCTACAGGCTACCAGAGCTGATGTCAAAATAATCACTCTTCATCAAGAAGATTTGAATATTTCGCAGCAATCGCTGACACTAAAATCGAATTTATTTCCATCCTTTTCATGGGATTTGCAAAGTATAAATATCGATCATTATGAATATGATGAACGCACCAAAAAACACAGTATCATACTCTCTGAGCCGCTAGTCGAAAATCTATTGTATGATCTAGTCATTACGTATACGGGTAAATTGAGAACCGATATGCTTGGATTCTATCGCAGCTCATACAAAGATGGCAATGTAACAAAGTGAGTAAATCAATTGGAATTGGATTCTGTATTTTCAAATGGGACTGGGCAGTAAAATTCATAATTTTTTTTACACCAGTTTCGAATATAATCTCGAAATTTATGAATGAGAAAAAGTCAAAGAGAAAAGTTCGATGTGATTTGTCGAAACTTGAATGAAATTTTGTGAAATTTCTCTTTGCAATATTCAGGTGGCTTGCTTCGTCAAAAATGGAGCCGGGTCATGCAAGAAAGGCGTTCCCTTGCTTTGACGAGCCAAAATTCAAAGCAACATTCTCCATCATTCTCAATCGACCAAGTCATTTCGCACCATCGCTGAGCAATACTCCCCTTGTAACTTCTTCCTCCCTACTGGCGTAAGACAAATTTAGAAAATTCCAAACCATTGATTCTTCGTTACAGATCTTGATTTTAAATTTTGTTTCTGTGCAGATCTGATTTGGTTCGTGAAAGTTTCGAAAAAACTCCAAAAATGTCTACATACTTGGTAGCCTTTATTGTGTCCGAGTTTCAATGTCGTGAAACTGAAGATAAAACATTCGGCGTTTGCTCTCGACCGAATGCATACAATCAAACTGAGTACAGCTTCGAAGTGGGTCGAAAAACATTAGCCAAATTCGATGAAATTTTCGATTATAAGTATAGTACCCACATGTCTAAGCTGCAGATGATCGCGATTCCCGACTTTGTTTCAGGTGCCATGGAAAATTGGGGTAAATTATGGCTTAATTTGTCTGTTTCATGGTGTCTCCATTCACTTTTCTTTGTTCTCACTTCACTCTATTTCTACAAACCTAATTCCATCTTTAGGTTTGGTAACGTATCGCGAAACGGCTCTTCTGTATGATCCAAATGTGTCAACGGCTAGAGCGCAGCAAAGAGTTGGTACCGTTGTTGCGCACGAACAAACGCACATGTGGTGGGGCAACCTCGTAACCTGTGAATGGTGGTCGAATTTGTGGCTCAACGAAGGATTTGCAACATACTTCGAATACTTTACAACAGCGTTGGTAGGACCATTTTTTTATTTTCTTCAATTCCATTTTAAATTTCCACTTCAAATCGAAACTAATCGAAGTGAAACACGTTTAAGGTGGAAAAAACATGGGATTTGGAGCAGCAATTCGTAGTTGATGAGCTACAAAGCATTTTCGAAGCCGACTCATTGGAAGACTCCCATGCGCTCACTCACGATGTGGAATCGCCCAGCGAAGTAGCAGACAGGTTTGATTCGGTGTCGTACAACAAAGGTGGATCTGTGATTCGTATGTTTGAACATACATTTGGATATGATATTTTTATTGCCGCACTCAAATATTATCTTAAAACAAAGTGAGTATTAATTAAGTCCATCAATTCGAATCTTATCGTTTGAATAATTTCGTCTGTACGTCGAATTGTTGCCTAATCTGATGCTATGACATTCTCAAAAATAGTGCATTGAGTACAGCCACTCCCGAAACTCTGTACGCAGCTTTCCAAGAACAACTTTCGAATGGACTAAATGTAACTGAATTCATGAGCGGTTGGATTTCTCAGCCCGGATATCCCGTTTTAAATGTGAATGTTTCAAGCGATCGTAAATCGATTCAAATTTCACAACGAAAATTCCTGCGAAACAATGCCGAACATCAAGATAAAACACTGTGGCATATCCCGATAACATATGCATCCAATAAAGAAAACGTAGACTTTAAACAAACGAAAACGGACACATTTTTCGCAGAGGAATCACGGACAATTGATTTGCCCGAAGCCATTGAATGGATCGTGTTCAACGTACAACAAACAGGTTAGTGCTTCAATGTGGAGTTCAAACACTTTGATGTAATCAGTTTGTTGACATGATATTACTGGAACGATGTTATGCGCTTATCTAACAACGTTGAACGGTATTAACACTATGATTGTTCTTGGGGCACCCAGGGCCCCCAGCGAACTTTAAAGTTGAATAAAAGTACTAAACAGTGTATAAACCAACCGAAGTTAAGTCTCATTGTATAGATTGAACATTTCTCTACACGAATGAAAAAAAAACATATGCATATGTGTGAGTATGTGTAAAATACAGCCTGCCGCAAAACTTGTTACGCTGTTGTTCTTGGGGGACCACAGGGCCCCATGGCTATTTTATATTATAACTGGACTATGATAAGAGATAACGACTTGATGTCTGTGGTGAAGTTGTAGTACTCAAGCTGTTCTACAACTTTCTCGAAGACACTAAGTCGTTATCTCTTATCAGTTTCGCGGAATACGCGGAAAACCGCAGAAAACCGCGAAAAAACGCGTTTTTTTCCTTATCATTTTTCACGGAACTGATAAGAGATAACGAGATGGTGTCTAAGGCAAAGTTGTAGTTCTGGTCGAGGACTACAATTATTCTGATTCATTATTCCGTTATCTCTTATCAATTACGCGAGAAACCGCAAAAAAACCGCGAAAAAACGCGTTTTTTTCCTTATCGTTTTTTCACGGAACTGATAAGAGTTAACGAAATAATGAATCGGAACAATTGTAGTACTCAACCAGAAATACAACTTTGCCTTAGACGCCATCTCGTTATCTTTTATCAGTTCCGTGAAAAATGATAAGGAAAAAAACGCGTTTTTTCGCGGTTTTCTGCGGTTTCTCGCGTATTCCATGAAACTGATAAAAGATAACGATTTCATGTCTATGGTGAACTTGTAGTACTCAAGCTGCTCTACATTTCTGTCGAAGAGGCAAGTCTCTTACTTCTTATCATCTTCACTAAAACGATGTGGGAAAATTTTGCGATTTTCGCGTTTTTCGCGGAACTGATAAGAGATAAGCAATATTTGTTACACCAAAATTATAGCAAACTTTGAGTATTACAACTTTGCTTCAGACACTAATTTGTTATCTCTTATCACAGTCCAGATTTCATATGAAGTATCTTGGGGGCCCTGGAGTCCCCCAAGAACAGTAATATGTTGCAAATATGAAGAACAGTCATAGTGTTAATCAGGTGCCATTCAATGATGGGTGCAATTAAAATCTATATCAAAATTAAACATTAATTTTAATCATTCAAATGATTTCTTGTGCATGCGTTTTTTTTTCTCTCTCTCGTTGAATGGAAGTTCTTTACGCAATAGCAAATACAGTCTGGAGTTTGGTTTGCAGTGATTTAATAATGCAATCGCGATAAATGAACTGTGATTGATTAAGATTGTATTCAATGTTTCATAGAGCCATATAATTACTAAACAATTTGTGCAATTTTGCGATCGTTCGTACGTGTTTACATTTGTCATTATGAATCTCTTCATAGGTTATTATCGTGTGAATTACGATGGCGCCACTTGGGCTGCTATTGACAAGGTCTTGTACACTTCGCCAACCACTATACATGTACACAATCGTGCTCAGGTAATGAATGTTTTTTGCTCATTTTAGACTTAAGTCAATTGTACAGTGTCCACTGATTTGCATTGCAATAATTGCTGTTTTCTTCTTCGATTATTAGATTGTTGACGATGCACTGAGTTTGGCACGTGGTCATCAACATAATTATCCACAGGCCTTAAACACCATAAAATATTTGCGCAATGAAACTGACTATATTCCATGGTTATCCGCATTCAACAATTTTGATTTCATTTTGGCACGGTTTAAAAACGAAGAGGCTGCTTTATTCAAAGTTAGTTTTGAGCTCGTAGATTTTTTTTCTGAGTATCACATTTTATGATCTTAATTTGTTCGTATATCTAAATTGTAGGATTTTGTTCTCGACTTATTGACCAACGTTTACGCACATCTTGGATTTTATCCAAAAGAGACAGACAAGCGCTTGGATATTTACAACCGGAATAATGTGTTGAAATACGCGTGTAAACTTGGCCATAAACAGTGTATTGACGATGCACGTGCCGAATTCGATAAGCTCTTACAAAAGAATTACAAGTAAGTCATTTTACCGTGGCAAACATTCGAACTTAAATGAAATGATTTAATTTGGATTTTTTTTTTCGAAAGAATTCCAGTGAATCTGGTGCCCGTAGTCTATTGTTCGGTGATTAGCGAGGGATCAGATAAAGAATGGACATACTTATGGGAGAAATTCCAGAAAGAAAATGTGGCCGCTGAACAAGTGACCATTCTGAATGCTTTGGGTTGCACGAAGCAAGCACACTTGATAACGGTAAATCCACATTCCATTCTTTAGCACAAAGTGCATTCCATTCATTCATAGATAAAGAAAAGATTAGATATTTATAAAATGCAATTGATGTTTTCCAGAAATACTTTGATCTCATTTTGTCCGATGATATTCGATTACAAGGTATGTTTGAATTTGCTGAGTTATTTTCCACTAGGTGTAGGAAATGATAGTAATGAGTGTTTTTGTTGTTATAGATAAACATTCGGCCCTTGCATCGACGTTGACACAACAAGTAAACATTGATTTAGCACTCGATTTCATTGTGACAAATCATAAAAACATTACTAAAGCGTAAGTCTGTGTGCCCAGATATTTTAAAGTGCATTGTCCTCAATTGATAGCATATTTGTCTCTTTGGCGTGTATAGATTTGAGTCGGAAAAAGAGGTGCCAAAGATTTTATCAAGCTGTGTGGCCCGGTTAACAACCAGCAAGCAAATCGAAAAAGTTCAAGCCTTTATCACCGAAAACAAATTGGAATCAAATGAAATCCTGAAAAAGGCCGTGAAAAGTGCACAATCCAATTTGATATGGGCCGAACACAATGTACCGATCATCAAAGATTACCTACAGAAAAATCCAAATAGCGCATCAACGCACACCATTTCATGCTTTATCCTATTGAGTGTAATTTTTATTTCTATTTTTAATTGCTAGCACTTTTTGTGTGACTTTTATGACCCACATCAGGTTTAGAAAATATAAACATTCATAAGAGACGTCAATATATTGCGCTCATTTATGAAAAACTTCATATCTGTCTGGAATTATTTTGTTTGACTTTTTAATTATGACAACAAACAATGGTTTTATGACACCCGATTAGATTGGTTACTTCAGTCAACGATTTATTAGCAATAAAGAAATATTGTAGTCAAAGCATGGCGTATTCAATGAAATATCTTGTTTTTGTATATTGTTTGAAGAGGAAAAACAATAGTTCGACACAAAATCTCAAAAATATCATGCTTCACTTTGATCATTTGCCGTTTCAACTAGAATTTATTGAATAAAGTTGTCATCAAAACAATTCTTACTTGAGGTGCTTGCTTGTTTAATAGCACGAAATAAATTACAAGTGGATAAATTGAAATGTACACATGGACATTGGACATGATATTCACAATTAAAGTTATGAAACTGTTGAAACGGACTTTAACTCAAACCGATTCGAATCACACATTTCAATTTAAAAAAAAAACGAAGAATAAAATGCAAAAACAGGATCGCAACACAATGCATGATTTCTTATTCGCTTTCGAAATGATTTTTCGTCTCTGTGGTGACGACCATTGGTGACGATATACTCAACATCGATTTGAATACAAATTAGTTCCGACAGTTGTAGAATTACAAACAAACCTTTACACTAAATCAATTGTCTGGAAGCTGAAAAAAGCGATTATCAACTTTTCAAGTCCGGGGAATGTAGCAACGCGTTCGTCCAAAGGTTCAGCATAATCGCAGACGTGCAATCGTTTGTAAAAGCCCTGATCATAAAGCGAATGTCTCATCTTGCTCTTCTGTTTTCTCAATGCCATCAGTCAAAATGATCAAAATATCCAGTTGAATTTTGCTCTTCAATAGAGCCTCTTTGTGGTATCAAAGGTTGCCTGTGTTGAAATATACACGATTTGATGAATATTTATCCGTTTCGTATATTCTGATCATTTTTTATGGACCAAATTTAAGGGAAATTTAAAGCATTATCAATAGCGAGCTATCATTCAAAAATCGAATCACATTAAAAAATGAGAAAAAAAAATCGTTGGACAAGTGTGTGTTATCGAAGCAATTAATGTGTTTCGCGCCAAATAGGTGGTTCATTTGCATTGAAGTGGCAACGCTGCAGGAAGATTATAAATTGATCTGTTTCCTTCGTTCTAATTGGTTTTTTACTGAAGAAAAGGCGAAATTTTAAAATGAAAAATGAATGTTTCCACAATGATTTAACGTTGATATCGATAAGTTACCTTTTTTTCAATTTCAAAGTTATGTATACATCAATTTATTGATTAGCGCCTGATTTTGAGTAAAGTTACACAGTTTATTAGGCAAACACTACCATTTTTAACTTCACTATGCCTGATCGCAATCTGAATAAAAGTATCAAAACTGGTGGTTTCATTTAGAATTTATTGAATAAAATTCTAATCAAAATAATTCTTACTTGAGTTGCTTGCATGAAATAAATTACAATTGGAAAAATTAAAATTTACACTGTGATTAGGAAATATTAAGTGAACTATGACCTATGTGCTTCTATACAAAACCAACGACTTTTCAAAAAATTGATCGAATTAGACATTTGCTCGAGATTTCGATTGAACCTTTGGGACAATTGACTGTTTGTTCTAACTTAGAAATTCGAATGACATTTAAAAAGATGCGATTTTATGCACACAGAACATAAAAGCACATGGACATTGGACATGATATTTACAATTAAAGTTATGAAACTGTTAAAACGGACTTTAAGTCAAACCGATTCGAATCGCATATTTCAATTTAAAAAAAAACAAACAAGCAAACGAAATGAATGAAATGCAAAAACAGGATCGCAATGCAAGCTAATTTAAGTTTCATTTAAGTACAATTATTAATATATCGAATCGGCTAAATTATCTTTCTAAAGAAAACAGAGAGAAAAAAAATGCTTGCAGCTCCTGCTAAAATGCATAATTGACAAAACCAAATATAGTACCAGTCTTTTTGGTTGGTTACACCAACCTCGCTTACAACATAAAAACTAAACAAATATATTAGGACTTGGTCACATTTCTTAGCCAATCAACGATTGTGACATAGTTTTGATCCATCCAATTGATATTGGTCTTGATACCTTCAACAGCTTGAGTCAAAATGCGACTCTTTTCCGAAATATTCTCCTTGATAAATTCTTGAAACTGCAAATAGACAAGTGGATGCGGATTAAAAAGATGCAATTAGGGGGTCAAAACTGGGTGAAAACCCATCATTACTCACCATATTTAATTCATATTGTGAGTTGGCGTTTTTGAAAACATATGTAAGGATCACATACATGTTCATTGGTGGTGGGCCCATGCTGAAATGATGAAAAAAATGCATTAAAGTCGATTCATTCCTTATAAAATCATCAAACTTACTAAGTTTTCAAGCGATCCCAATGCGTTCGGATAAAGTTGCACGTAACCGGAATCCCATTAGCATGATTCGAAACCGTAACAAACACTCGAATCAGATCTTGCTTGCGAATGCCGGAATTCTCTGTTGCCGATCGCTCAAGATAACGGGCCAAAATCCAAGGTTCACGACTACATGCCATCGCATCCAACAGTAATTCCTTTTCGCTCGACACTTTGGCGTTGATGTATCGATTCCAGGCAAATTCCCATACTTTATCTGTGCCATACTTGATTGCTGTGCAATACACCACGGAACGCTCATTCGGTGGAATGCTTTGGAAGAGGGAAAAGATGCAATTTAGGAACAAGAACATGTTTATCAATTTTTCAGTTGATTCAATTACTTGTTCATTAGGTCTGGATTGGTAGCATTCATCCATGCCTGGAACATGCTTATGCTTCGATCCACACAATCCTGATAGCCCAATCGACAGGCAAACTGAGTGATATCGATGCGCTTGTATGCATGCAATGGATCGTCACCGTCTGGGCTTTTGGTGACATTTGCATAAATATTTTTGATCAAACTAAACATGTAATCCTTTTCCAGAAAATTGCAAAAAAAAAAATCAGTTAAATTAACGTTTTTTTTTAGCTATTCCATCATAAAATTCGGTTTGAATATTTCGATGAGCTTACCTTGAACAAATAATACTCCGATCCTGACGACATCATGCTGTCAATGAAGCTCAATGCACCCAACGCTGATCGCCAAGGAACATATTCACTTTCATTCATTAAGTACTGTGTCAAATTCAATGCAATTCGATAGTCCAATTTGCTAGCACGTGCCAATGTGAGAGCGTCATCAATGATTTGTGCTCGGTTGGTTGACGCAATTTTCGAATAATTTTCAGGGTTTCGTAGGTAATTGGCCAAAAGTTCCCAATTGGCAACATCATAATTTACACGATAGTAGCCTGTGTGAAATCAAAGAGAAATTGATAAGTATTACCATTGTAGAAAGAAAAAGTGAACATTTTTTTCTAAAATCACCTGTTCCTTGTAAATTCACAATGATCCAATCATCATTGGTGATGTTTTCGAACTCTTTGCTAAATCTCTGCGTACCACGAATCCATTCTTTCGGTTTGGTATTTTCAAAATCCGCCTCCTTCGACGTAGTATAACTCAAGGGAATCCACCATAAAGCTTCATCATATTTGATTTCGAGTGATTTCCACTGATTTGGAGCGATGAATGTGAAGCGACTTTGAGCAAATTCAATTTCTTTCGTGGTATAATTGCGCGTTACATTTACGACGGGAAAGCCCATTTTGGTCGTCCATGCATCCATGACCTCCTTTACATTTGTTAGATTGTCGAATGTGTGACTTTCCTGCGCACTTTTTGTTAAATGCTCCCACAAATCGTTTTGGGTAGCCACTTGATAAGCTCTTTTTAAGAAAGAAAAAAAAAATGCAGAGAAAAAAATTAGTAAGAGTATTCTGCATTCTATGGCATTCTTGTCAAAACATAATATCAGTTTCATAAATTATTATTTGATTTACTTACTTAGAAGTGAGATACGAGTGCAAACCGTCACGAAAAACTCTGGTGGTAAGAAAATGTTCCATCATACGAATTATTGCCGCTCCTTTGCCGTATGAAATTCGATCGAAAATTTCATTGATACTGTCTGGATCGTGAACATGCACCGATATCTCATGTGATGACGCCAATGAGTCCAAGATGAATACCGGTTGAACTTCATTAGATAAAAATTGATCCATTGCTTTCCACGATGGGTTTATCATATTCGCACCGACATACTCCATATATGAGGCAAATCCTTCATTCAACCACAAGTCCGACCACCAGCTGGGTGTCACAAGGTTACCAAACCATTGATGTACCAATTCATGGGCGATAATTGTCGCAACGCGTTGTTTATTCAAGGGTGCAGATACTTTTTCATCATGCAACATTGTCACTTCTCTGAATGTTACCAAACCCCAATTTTCCATAGCTGAAATAAATCGGAAATATAGTTGTTTGTTCCAGGATTCAAGAAATAAAAACTTTTTCGTACCTCCAGCACCGAAATCTGGCAATGCAATCATATCAATCTTTGGTAGTGGATACTTTATGACAAAATACTCTTCAAAGAATGACAGAATTTTTGGGCCAACTTCCAGTGCATAACGGGCTGATTCAATGGCTTCTTCACGTGCCCACACACTAAACTTGCCATCGGTTATATTCTTGAAATCCGAAATGACAAATGCCAATAAATATGTCGACATTGGAACCGATTCCTCGAATTCATCCCACACATAACTGTCCATTTCAACGCTGTAATCGAAATGTGTAAATTTAAATGAAATGCAAAAAAAAATATTTAAGCATTTCTCCAATCAATCTACTGTTTATTCAATGTTTCCTCTTTGTGGTTGTCAAATGTACGAAATACATTTAAGGAGTATAGTTACCATTCGGTAGGAGTGCCAACTTTTGGCATATTTGACAATGCGGTCATATTATGTTGTCTGGCAATCCATATCTTAAACTTAGCCTTGTACGCAGGTTCATCAAAGCAAGGTAGAGCGCGTCTGGCATCAGTCGGTTGGAATTGCGTCGTAGCTAACCATCTGTTGTGCGTATGGATACGAACAAAAGAAAACCCAAATTATGATTATTATGCGTAAGTAATTCGTTGGCAAACAAACAAACCAACAATGGTTCTATGTAATTGACTTTGTGTTAGGTTAGGCTGTGTTCATAGTGGGGTGTCACTTACCGTGTCACATTATTGACAACATAGGAGCTGCGATAGAATCCTTGTAGCATGTCATTCAAGACGCCCATGTATTTGATATTAATTTCGTAGATGGTATTCGGTTCGAGTTCATTTGGAAATACGATGACAAAAAATTGATCCGGTTCGATGGCATACTTGTCCGACACTTCTACCACTGTTCGACTATTATCGTCCGTTTGCGTTGTATTCCCAATTTTCCACACGTTAACTTCGATCATTTTCAGGGCTATCGCATGTAGTGTAATGTTCCGGCAACTCTTGGTCACATTCACTTTGATTCGTACATTGCCGCTGAATGTGAAATTACCCTCAAACAGAAATGGTATCAATTTCAGCTCATAGGCAAGTGGATGCATTGTATTGGGCAGTCGTACATTGGTTCGATTGCTTCGATGTAAATCCTCTTCGAATCGTACCGCTTTCTTTATGTCATCAGTCGATTGACTATTATTTATCGCTATGGTGATGGGAATGACATTCTTTTTATCGCAAACTTCAGATTGGACGTTTATATTCGAACATATACCAAAATTATAGGTGATCAACACGGCGGCACACAACAGAAACAGGAATATCGTCACAGTTATAAATAAGCTTAACTTTGTCACAACAAATCCATCCGATTGCTCACGATTTCGATTGTCATTTTTGTGCGCATCTTGCAAATCAAACCTCTCTTGCGCTCTCATTGCGGCGTATACTTTCTCCTGTTTTTTTTTTGGAACAAAAATGTTAAAAACGCGAAAAATGGTATGAATGTGTTTAGCAATGGTCAAAGAAAATTTCTTGAAAATGTAATGATTATGAAAAACTCGAAAAATTGCACATGGTTTGAGGGTGAAAATGTTAAGTCGCTACTTCAAAACAATCCTTTGTATGCAGTTGCATTGGAATAGTGCAACCATACACACATAGTTTGGTTTCTTGTTAACAGAAAACAAACAAAATTATCAATCGTATTCAGTTACTGCAGTCGAAATTCAATACTGAAAGCGGGTCTCATATTTTCTATATTATTACTTCGGGCAATAGGGAACCTTAGCTTAGCCACTTCTGTTGACATTTTCCGCGCGATGTTAATAACTGTACGCAATTAATAAAGGAAATCCCTTGTCAATTACGAGAAAAAGACAATCGGAATTATAATAAAATCTACCAGTTCATGGAGTCGAAATACGTCGGACGTATTTTGCTTCAGTGGTCAAGTTGTGTGTTCGTTGTAATAAAATTACTCGTTGAAAGAAGAAAAAAAAAACTGAAGAACGCTCGAGACTAATATTGCAAAGATCGAATCAATTATGCGACGGCAGTTTACATTGAGCGACAATATTTTGATTAGCTCGAGTCGACTTTTAATGAAATGAAGCATAATTTATTGCCATTTACGAACGGCGCTTCGAATAATTGAGCCTGCAATTAAATTTCATTGTAAGAATGTTTCCTTATTGGCTAAATTGCTTCTCAAACAGTTGATTTTATGAAACTATTTCGCTTGCGCGCAAACTATAAGATGTCAATTTGATTGGAATATTGAATTTCAATTGAAATTATTGGAATTTGAGACAAAAAAAATCCGTTGGCCACAATGTTTCGATATGAATTGAGAAATGGGAAAATTGTGACAGGATGGATGAAGTGGATTAGGTAAACGCTTCGAATTGAAGATATTCTTTTTTGAGTGTGGATTTACACTGAGCAGCGGTAGACAAAGACCATGATAATGATACACAAGTGGCTCTGAATAGAACCGATATTTATGCGAATACGCATTCGTATTGAGATAATAAAAGATTATCATATTTGATAGCGCTGTTCTCGAGGTCAACATTTAATGGGGGAAAAATGAATGAAATGAATAAATTGCTTTGTATTAATTCAATAAAAAAAATTTCCCGAAAATCCGCCAAATTTGTTATAAACAATCGATTGCATTCTTCATTTTATTCAACACATTATTTTATTAGCATTAACCAAGATGAGCTGGCCATAGTTAAATATCAACAACGGCAAATAGAATGATGACAAAACTGTGTCTGGCTTGGATAAAGAATGTTTGGAGAACTTAAAGCAAAATAACAATAACTATGAAATAAAAAGTACTGAATCGTACGCTAATTAACGCATTTTTTATGCGTACGTCCAGCGAATGTGACCGGAACGAAAAATTGGCGTCGAAAAGCAAGAGTTGTTTTCATTGCGCTAGAATTCAATTCTTACATAACTCTTCAATTCAATGGAGATGAGAACAATTTGTCGCCTTACAACTGCCTATTTTTATTATGATATTTGATCTTCATATTGTGTGCACAAGCAACGTTTATGACAATTATTCTGTTGTACCGAGGAAGGAAGAAAGAAAGAGAGAGAGAGAGAGAGAGAGAGAGAGAGAGAGAGAGAGCGTGAAACAGCCTGACAGTGTTGGGGTGTGTATCAAAAAGATTTGAACCGAAACGAGTTCAATTCAAAGTGAATTCGGATTATTCCCGTGTGAATTATGCCATTCAATTTAAGATGCTTCACTATTTTCTCGAGTGTTTTGAAACGGTTTCGATTCATGGACTTAGAAGTGTGTTCAAAGTTTGAGATTTCAATTTCGTCGACCAAACTCTTTGATTTGAATCTTCTAATTTCAAATCGTGTCTCCCGTCGACACATTTAAAGAGAGAGAATTTCGATATAAGCGGGAAAGAAAGGGTAAGAGCGGGAAAACTTTGATTCAAATAAGTGAATCAAATCCACATTGAACCCATCCATAAAAGTCCTGGCCAAATTATGCTTTTCAAAGCATCACTACTGCGTCGGCCGATTGGTAACTATTCACATCACCTGACAGCAAACCATGGGTTTTCTGTGGTGAAATCCACAACGGGCCAAAGAAAATTAACTGAATAATTCGATTTGAATATGTAATCAGTGTACTCAAAATACAAAATGTATATTTTAATAATTGATGACAACATACACACGATGCTTTAAACTTTCGGCATAAAAAATTCCTTAATTTGATTTACAATAGAAGCATCTCGCCGAATGAGCACTGTGCACACGCTTTGAAATAACGGTATGTTCATTTTTTGTCTGTTCATCGCTTCACATTGTTCAAAATCACATGGTATCAAAAGAAAAGTGCTCTTCACATTACTGTCAGATGTGTTACATGTTCAACTTACTTGTTTTTTTTTTCTCGAACGATTTTAATTGAGTCCCAAACGATATAAACAAAATCTTATCGAGCGTTTTGCATAGAAAATAACCGACACAAATTGTTTAAAATTGACTTTTGCACACAGAACTTCAATATGTATTTTATTTTTTCCTAATCTAACACGAAAATCAAATTCGCTTTATCAAATAAAAAAAACAACAACGAGCAAAAAATACGATATTTAAAAAAACGGATAATAATTGGTTTTTGGTTTCGATTGAAATATGCCGAACAAATACACACGATGGACTAATCGAAAATGGCGTGTTTGCTAAGCAAAACGCAACACCTAACTGAAATTCATAATTGAACGAATGATGACGAAGGAGCAATAAGTATTTCTACACTGACTGTGACGAATCGAAAAGAAAGAGAGCCCGAGATGTGCAAAACTGTTATGAAGATAAAAACAGCAGCAACAACAGCAACGGCAACAACAATAATGACGGCAAATATCGGTTCATTCTTCTTGTGTTTTATTCAATTTTCTTGTTGTTGTCATTGCTGCTGTTGCTGCTGCTGCTGATATTTCGCTCTCGTATAATAATTCTTCTTGTTCGGTGAATTCGTTGATTCAATAGACGAGTGAGTAGAACGTTATTGTTGTCGTCGTCGTCGACTATATTGTTTAGCTCAAAATAATGTATACGCACAACGACGGTCGCCTCATACAGCCCGTAGTGCCTCCCTTTTGTTTGCTGCCATATGAACTGTATGAACAGTTTTGGATGATGGCACAATCCGGGCACATTGGATCATGTTGACCGTGTGCCTATACACACATATATATATGTATAAATACATGAAAACGCTTCAGTAATGCATTCAAATAGGAGTATTTGCTCATGGCTTTCAAATATGCAAATTGCTTACTCCTGAAATGTTAAATTTCTTATCTATGCTTCAATAATTTACAATAATTTGACTATCCTTTCATCGTACGACGCGATGTTTGATGATTCTTTATTTAATTTTTGAATTAAAGTACACACACGGTTCGGTCATTGAGTTGTTGCTTTTTTATTGTTTGTGATACTCGTTTGCGCGCCAATATTCAAACACAACAGGCCAATACTGAACAGATACAATGCTCGTTGTCAAACAAGATCGGCACACACAAACCGCCGCCTTAAAGTATTTTTTTTTTAAATAACAATGTCATTTTCAAATTTCTGACGACAATTCATTTATTGCATTGTCTTGAAATTGCAATGGAATGAGAAGAGAAAAAATCTTGAAAAAAAAAAATTCTCTGTTGCGCCGGCACTCGCACAATAAATTGCTGTCCTTTCAACTGACATTGATATGGTGAATAAATATTGTACAGGTTGATTTATAAAAGAAAAACAATTTACCATTTGTTATATCACAACGGACAAATTCCCGATAAACTTGCAAAATCACCGATCAGTTCAACATTTTCCAATGTACTGAAATTGATTCTCGCAGCCGCTCAATAGACGTTGTGCAATTATTGGTTTTGAATGTAGAAAAAAAAATATTCTGAAGCCATTTAGCGTAACGCTCTTTGAAAGCGAGAAAAAAAAATTCAAAAAAATCATCATTTTTGATATATTATTTTCGAGTCGTTCCGACTCAAATGGCTACAAACAAAAATACAGAATCCCTCGATAGTAATTAAACAACAAAATTCGTCTAATTTTAGAGGTGTTCAACAACAATATCAAGCATTCATTCAGCGAACACTAATTATTCTAAACGAAATGATGCATTAAAAAAGTAATATATGAAATACATCAACACCGGCTGGCGTGCAACGAACATCAAACAAAACACTTTGTCGCCGGGCATTCATAAAAATGTAATAAATGAATCATATGTACTTTTCTTTTGAGTTTTTAATAGCACTAGCTGTAAGTTGAACCGTGCACATACAACAGCTGAACAATCTAGTACAGCAATCGGTAGCTCGATGTGTGTTACGTCAAAATTGACAAAAGTATACACACAGCACAAATCGGTAAAACATTACGGAGTAACATAAAAAATCGCGGCTGAAATAGGACCAAGAAAAAAAGCCATCGTTTGAAAATGTCGTCATTTCGCAGTGTTTTTGTTACCGTTGGAACGACCCAATTTGAAGATCTTGTTGATGTGATTTTAAGCGATGAAATTTTGACGCTCTTACAGAGTTGTCAGTGTAAATTCTTACGGATACAGCATGGAGCTGGAAAGAAAATCAATGCAATGAAAATGGAACGTGTTGAAAATCGCTTTGGAATAAAATTGGATTGTTATGATTTTAAAGCGAACATTTTGTCGGATATAACATGGAGCGATTTAGTGATAAGCCATGCCGGTGCAGGCAGTTGTATTGAGGTGCTCACACACAGGAAACCACTGATTGTCGTTGTAAATGACAAACTTATGCACAATCATCAGACAGAACTCGCGCAACAGCTCTTTATCGACGGCCATCTATTGTATTGTTCACCGCATACACTGACCGAAACGCTTGCCGATCTCAACAAAAAAGTCACATCGTTAAAGCCATATGAACCCGGCCACAATAATATGATGAAATTTGTTAACCATTTGAATACGATGATGGGTTTCGAATGAAAATATGAAGAGATATACAAACAAACTGCTGGAGACCAAAACATAAAAATAAATAAAAGACTTTCTTTTTTTTTGTGGATCGGTTTTTTTTAGCTCGATCTTTATTATTTAACTGTTGTTGTTTTTGTTGCTGAATTTTTTTTTTCATGGGAATTCAATTCAATTTATTCATTGTTTTCTTGATAATTACATATGGTTCTTTTTTTATATCTCCAATTTAACAATAATTATGTGATTTGATATAAGTAATTATGTACTGAGTAGTTAATTAAATAAATTCAAGAATACATAGACCTATAAAATGATACATTTCCATTTGTCCTACACTTTTATTGAATGAAACAGACGAATTTAACTTGATTTTTCTTCTCTACTGGGCTATAGACAAACAATTGAGAAACAATGCCAACGTTACATTACTAGATGAGCTATTCGGTTGTGGCTTTTTTTTAAACTTCTTCTTTTTCTAGGTAGAGTAAGACAGTTGTACAAGCTTGAGAGGAGATGCAATTTATTTTACGTTTGAAATTTTTGTAATTCATGATTTTAGCAAGTTTTACTTTCTGCTTGAGAATATATTTATTCGCCTTCAACTGCGTTGGCGCTTTGTTCTAGAATGATATCGAATGCGAACGGTTGGAACGCATAACCTTGTCCACCGTAGAATTTGCTCTGGAATTCAACCCTGCCCAAGAAACAATTGTTAACGCAAATACATCCATTACCAAGCGTATGTAAACGGTCGAATTAAGGCCCGCATTTGTGTGTAGTTTCAGTCATTTTTAACGTCACGATGGAAGTAGGAAAAAACGGTAAAAACAAATCAATTAGAAGGATATAAAAACGATTATGAATCAATTGATAACAAAATAACAAATCACGTGTGAAACAAGGTCATAAATGGACCCACCTCGAGTATCATCCAACTGTACGCTTCACTTGAACTAGGTCCATTTATGACTTTGGTAAATATTGGTGTGGATATTGAAATTGACCAACTGACTGAGAAAATCTTACATACAACAACTTACCTACGGGTTTAACCCGTATTACATCGTGTATTTGCACACACATTTTAATATGTACAAAGCCACAAAAATCAAGCTTTGATAATAACTAATCGTTAATGTTTTATTTTATTCTCTTAATCTACGCTCTACTTTTCATCGACAGCATTTGATTGGCCATCTCGATTGGCCATCTCAACATTTTGGCCATATCCTTTCTGGTGGTAACACAAATGATTCGTGCACATTCAAGTCGAAAACCATACAACGGCCTAGAATGAACGAATTGAACTCGAAATTGAAATACAATAAAACATGAATGTGATTGTATTGTGTAGATCACATACCTCTGTACAAGATGCACTTCGCCGCACAGATGTCACGATGCCAAGTAGCAGTAAAAGCGTTCTGATCATTCATTGGGCTTGAGTGCCAGTTTTTCTGGAAGGCTATTTTCTTTGACCCCAATAACCCAATTCCTTTATCAGTTGCATTGTAATGTATTCGCTGCCATAATTGTGGTTTGGCCTTACGATTTTTCACACGAATCTTGCAAATACTTGTGTCACCAATTTTCACAAAACCTGGCAAATCGGATTCCGCTTCCGGCTGTTTGGTTACTTTACGGCTGCGATGGCCTGCAACTCGACGTCGTTGATGTAGTTCACGCCGTCGTATGCGTCGATTGTACCGTCTCACTGCCTCTTCGGTATCCAATTGCTCTGGATTGTGGCTTTCACGCTCACTTCGGCGGTTTTCCCGGTGCTTCTCAGCTCTTTCGGCTCTAGTTACATTTGCTGTTGGCTTTTGGCTGGCATTTCGTTTTCGATCACGTTGCTTGCGCCGTCTGCTTCGATCAGTCACGATAACCGGTGGGAGTCCCACATCCTTGTGTGGGCGACAATCTTTGCACACTTTGAATCGGTCACTTTTTGTGCTTCTCGGAAATCGCCGCAAGCAATTGGCACAGGTTTGTAATGTATACGGCTCTGGTGTAAGCACAACATCCGTTTTGCCGTTCTTTTTTAGGCTAACTATGAATTTTCGCTGATCCGGTGATCGTTTTGTTCTTTTCACACCGATTTTCGAATTTGATGGGAACGCCGCATCACCAAGGAATACAACTCCTGTCTCATTGTTTGTTATGTGTTTAGCCATCAAATCCATTTCGCGATTAGACTCGATGTACTTGTGCAACGATAGCTGTGCGTATTTTCTTATGGCGTATGTAGCCAATGAATCTGTCAGCATTTTGATTTTATGCTTAATGAATGATTTCCATTGTGATCCTCGCGGCGATACGGATGTGATCGGATAGCTTTTCAAGTCGCGCTGTTCTTTGTGCACGTACTTTCTGGTCATTTTCGTGGCCTGTTTGTCGCGCATTCCTTGTCGCGCACCCCAGTGATATTGAATACTCGATAATTTGATGTTGGTCTGTGAAATGAACAACAACAATGCAAATCTATGTTAATTTTCATATGATATTTCAACTTACTTCAATTCCAGTAGCGAGAGTCCAACGCACGCAGGCCATTTTTGTTTTCTGGCCGGGATCAATTCCTGACTCATACTTGTAACCGCCTTTGCTGACTGGCTTTTCGTACTTTGCTTTGATTTCAGACAGAGTCATGCCGGCTCCTTTGCGTTTGGGTCTGCTAAACAACACCGACACGGCACTACTGTTGGTTTGAATTTTGTGGTAAAACTCTTTCGAACCGGTTCTGAGCTGTCTGATTTTGTCCATATCGAACACAATTCCCCATGCCTCGTCTTTGTTCTCGCCTTGCTTGTAGTATGTACGATAATCAGCACGGATATCCCATCCCCGTTCATTTCTCAACTGGCCAATGAAATCAATCAAATCTTTATGGTCGAATGGTATGTGCTTCAGTTTTGTATCACAGAGTGGAATAGCGGCGAAATTCTTCACTTTTGGTATCTTCGGTACCGACGGCTCTCGATTGTTCACTGGATCACGATCGTATGCTTTCCACTGTTGACGAAGGTGAGCCGTATCGATCAAAAATTTCTCGATAGTGCGTTGAATGCCTATCCACATCCACAAAGACTCGAACCAGTCCTTTTGAATGTATTCGTACATTGTGAAGCATTTTACGAATGATGGGCCACAAAGCTGAGACACTTCCTCAAACAGTATTTCCATCTTCGACTTTCGACTTTCATCATCATCATAAGTCCAATCTTCATTGTACATCAAATTTTTCATCGTATTTCGAATGTCAATGTCATCGAAAGGCAAGTATGATGCATCATAAATAACGCCAAGTGGGCTTCCTTTGTGATTGAATTCATGGCACTTTACACGTAGAAAGTGGGTCAATCTCACCCAACAGTGCGTCTCCAAATTTGTCTTCACATTGGCCACATACTGGTCCTTGAGAGCATAAACTTGGCGAGTCATTTGATGGCGGCGTGGCCATTCAAAGTTGGGGCTACCTTGGGTCACCATCGCGAGAAATGCGTCTGGCATTTGGGCTGTGAGTGGATCGTTGATGTTGTTCGATGTGACACAGTTGAAACAGTCTGTAATCAAATTTGCTCCGTTTTGATTCACGAAGAAGTCCAAATTGCCATCATCAAATGCTTCGTTAATTGTGTAGAGCATTAACATCGATGCAAGATGCATGACTTTCGTAGCATTCAAACACTTCTCGAAGAACTTATGGATCAGAAATCCTCTTTCTGTTTCTGTTAACTTCGGATTAATTATCGAATTAAATGCCAATTTGATCGCGCCGATTTCGATTGTGCCATTTTCTGTCGACTGTTTTTCTGGATCTTCTTTCCGATTGACACGTTTTTTCTTCACAATTGAGTGCTTTTTCATCTGGACTTTGTTCTCCCTTGGCTTACCAAACGTCTTATTGTGCCGCTTACGCCTCGCCATCGCGATGGATCTAAACGAGAGAAAATAAATTGTAGAACGAATGAAATGTTTGTTGCAAGCGATTGTGAAATTGGCTAACGCTACGGAAATCGAAAACAATGCACTGATTGATCGCTTTAAACGAATACGATAACAATGTGATGATATTCATCAGTCCGTCGCCATAAATCATGTCGAAACATGTACACCACACGCAAAAACATGATTTTACGCTAATTTGTTGCAATTTTCTACGTTCACTAAACTCACCTCGGTCACAATAAGTCCACTTCGTATGAATCCTAACGATTTGAATGGATCAGGCTTCGTTTGCTCTCTGTCTCCCTGTCTCAATGCAGATCTCGCCTCAAAATTGTGAAATAATCTTTGGAAAAAAAAACCACAATCCATTAATTGTAATTGGTAACAAAAAAAATGGGAAAACTTGTTGTGATCGAATTAATTTATATTGATTTATTCGCGTCAATCAATGCAATAGGTCTAGAATATTGCGATTTTTCCCGCTTTGAACATGTCATTAGATGAAAATGTGAACCAGTATGACGAAACAACAATTTCACAACAATTTCCAAAATAATCCACAATTTAATTTGTGCAAAAACTCTATTCTTAGCCGTACATACCTGTAAAAGGGTTTTGGTCTCGCAATTAAAGCAACTATTCTAATTGCCTTTTTTCGTTGAATGTTCACTCAAAAAAATGTGCGCCAATTTCTTGTCAATGTTCCTACACCAATGAGCCGCTGTGCTGAGTGACATTTGCAAAACGAATCGTTCGGCGACAATGTTTCATCCTTTGAACACCACATTTGGATGGCGTGACGGTTGCTGCGTCAAAACTGCTGTTTTACGAATTGGAGACAGAAAGGGAAATCCCCAAAGAGAAGCAAAATGTGTTTGCTTCGACAGTTTTTTATGCTGAAAATGATTATTATATTGTGCATATTTCTAGAGCTAATGAATAGTTTGAAGATTTCAAGTGACATTTACAATTGAAAATGTTGCACAACGGTTCTGATTTCTCAATTGATTCAAAGATGAAAACGATGAAATCTGTTGTACATATATAATTCTCAGTCAGTCAGTCAGTTTTCACACACATTATTACCGTCACAAATGGATGTGATTCGAGTGTAGCGTACAGTTGGATGATACCCGAATTTCATCCGATTCGGACGGGATTGTATGTGAATTAATGGTCAAATGCACCACTGAAGTGGGCAAAAGCATTACTTAATTTAACGGTAGAAAGCATTACATAAATGTTACTTGGGTGTATCACATGAAAGAGATGAAACAATATTTCTTTAGCATTTTTATTCGGAATGGAAAAAAAAAATATAATGGGATGAAATGAGAAGGTCACACATACCAATGCAAACGGAGCGTGTGCAAGAAGGCTGAAAGACCTTCCATCAACACCAAAATGCCGATGGTAAGTACACCCCAGAATCCGAAAATGATCCAGAGAATCACACCACCATACCAGCTATCTATTACCAAACCTTGACGCAGAACCATGTCCCACAGCACTTCGGCCAATTCTGTTGAAGCAACGAAAACCAATTTAATCATTTTCTCAAAATCAATTGTTATTCGGTGTGAGCGATAATGGCGATTGAATATAGCAACGGTAATTGCGTAGAGAAAGAAAAAGAATAGAGCTGAAAATCAACTTACGTGCGTGAGCCAATGACAATGCCCACAAACGCAAATAGGAAGCGGTGTGAGATACCGAGCCCAACACGTATTCAACGGTGTGAATTCCTGAGTGAATGAAAATTTCAGTGATGTCTTCTTCGTCATGGCCGTGTCCCTGTGGCTGTTGAACAGCACCATCGGCGTTCAAACCGCCTTCAGCATCTCCATTGCCAACTGGTTGACGATCGATTGGATGATGCTGTAATCGAACGAATCGATCAATTTCATGTTCTGCTTCATTGAACAAGTAATATTTGATTTCGAAAATTGGATATTTACCGCAGCCTCTTTTCGGCTTCTCATGATGTGAATGGGCTTTGATAGCAACATCCATGGTATGCACGCAAGTGCAACCAAGACAAGCAATTGCTGCAGACCACGTTGGCCCCAGAACATATATGGACTGCAATCTTCTTCTTTTTCCGGATATGGTGGATTTTTGAATAGAACCATATTAATAAAGGTAATGAGAATCGATGGGGCACAATCACTGCTCCATGGATGTGCATTAGCCGCTGCAAATTTGAACCATTTGATGAACATCAAAAATGCCAAATAGAAAAACAACGTAACCAAAAAGATGATTTGTGGCGCAAATGCGGTGATGACCGACAAATGATCGTTGAAGTAACGATAGTTACGTAGACTCATGATCACACCAAACATCATGTGTAGCACACCGAAAATGATGGATATCTTCATTTTGTAACCATTGTGGAAAATGATTTTATTGCTGCGTGCCACTTGCCAAATCGGATCCATTCCGAACGGATACGACGAATTCGTGAAACTCGTCTTTGGATCCAATTGTAGACCTTCGTTTGACATTATCGTGGACGTATTGTAGTTTACTTCCCAATTCGAACCGAATATATTCAGCGATTTTGAGAAGATGTCATTGTAAATCAGACCCGTGTACATCGAAAACACACCCATCAAAAAGATAATGTATCGACCGCCAAAGAAAATGTTCCAGATCTAAATGAAACAAGTTGTTGGTTAGTTTTCGTAGCGTCCGTTTTCTTTGTTTCTATTTTCAAATGCCACTGTTTCATGACACTCACCTCGTTATCACTCTTTTGTGCGGCCAAAGGTTTTTCCTTCAAAATCATCCACAGTCCGAATAGAGCCATTATAGTTCCATGTCCCAAATCACCAAACATCACGGCAAACAAGAAGGGGAAAGTGATAATGGTATACGGTGCCGGATTCATTTCACGGTAACTAGCCACACCATAGGAATCGATCAGAACTTGAAATGCTTTTGTGAATTTGTTCGTGCGGTTATAAGTCGGTGGATTTTCGAATGTTTGCATTCGATTTAAGATCGGTGGTACTGATGAACCGGACCGCTCCTACAAATATTGGCATACACACAAAAGGAAACACAAATTTCAAAAAAATTGCAGAAGAAAAATGAATAAAGTTAGAGATCGCTTACCGTTCCACGACGCAATGCCAATTGAATGGTTTCCGTATCGAGTAATGGAACCCAGCATTCGGCAATCAAACACTTTTGTGTGACATCCAAATTGAAGAGGTTCAATGTATGGTAGATGGCCTTTATTTTGCGAACTTTAACAAACCAATCTTTTAGCTTTTTGGCGGCCGCAACCAAAACACGACGACGATGGTCTTGCGTTTGGCCCAAAACCGTGTTCAAATCTTCGATACGTGTCATAACACCCATGGCCATTTCACGGCGATCGGCCGGCGCTTCTGGACATGGATACAATGTTGCGCGGAAACCTTCGCAAATTTTCTTCACGCGAGTTTTCAATTGATCTCCTTGGAAAAAGATGATGAACACCGATTTGTAGACATTGTCACCCTGAATTTCGAGAAAAAAAATGGCAAAAAAGAGACGCCAGCGTTCAAGTTATTTCACATGTAGACAAAAAAAAATTGAATCTTCGTCATGCGCATGGGTTTGGTACGTACATTTGATGGATCTTCCAATGGTTGTTCAATCATAGCCTGACGCAAAAACACGTTACCACGGCAGGCACGCCACAACATCCGTTCAAAGGCTGGCAAACGTTCACGTAAAATAACTCCAGCAACGAAGCTATATGTTTAATTTATTGCGGGTAGAATATTGAAAAGGGAATGATTAAAAAATACGTTCCGTAAACGGGAAACGAAGTTAAGGCAAAAAAAAACGAAATCGATATGGTTATTGTTTTATCAAGCAATAAAAATAAATCGATAATTCAATTACATAAAACAAAGTTAAGTCAAAAATTAATTGTTCGATTTGATATGATTTTCTTTTCTTTGGTTGATTGCTTTTTTTTGATGTTCTATTTAAGAAGAGCTTCAAAGGTGAATGAATTAAATAAAGTGCAAGCTTATAATTTGAGGCTCTGATTTCAAGTGCTTAAATTGGCTATTACAAATAGTAGACAGTGTGAACCATATTATTGTGGCTGATGAACGATCGCTTTTACGTAAAATATATTCTAAACAATAAAATATGTCTATAAATCTATATTTAGAATCGTCCTTAAAAATGCACATTTTTAACCCGTTCGTTTGTATTTTTTGCTGTTGTTCTTGTTGTTGTGGTAGTTTCATCTCAATTTTTGTTTGTTTCATTTCGTTTTTTATTTCATTGTTTTTTTTTTGTTGTTGTTTTCGTATCTAGTATGTCTTACGCTTAAGTAATGTTTTTTTTTGTTTTTTTTTTGTTAGAATAAAGAAAATTCCAAGATAATAAATATCACATTCCAATAGAATATAATGCAAGACAAACGAAAAACTCACAAAATTAACGGGATATTATTTTTTTTTTTGTTTTAGTTTTGATAAGCAATTAATATTAAATTCAAGCCATTCAGTAGCAATATACGATTTCAAGTTCATGTTGCACACAAGAAAAATGATACGGAAAATGAACAGATGTTCAGCATACATATGTTTGAAAGAAAATGTCTCAAAAAAAAATTGACAAACACATTACATGAGAAAGAAAAAAAATAACACAACAATATGGATATGGCAACAATACAATTAATGTGATCAAAGAAGAAAAGCTTAAGAGGTCGCAACACCGTTAAATGGTGCAGAGAGCAGAAAAAAACAACAAAATGTGTACATTCGTAATAGTAATGAAAAATACATGTTTGATCAGAAGCAAGCATTTCCATAGATGTTGGTTTCATGATGATTATTTTTTTTTTAGTTTTGCAATTGAAAAAATTTGCAATAACATCTGTTCATTGAAGCGAACATAGTTTTGTTTTGGTAAACTAGCATACACTCAATGGAATCACTAATAACAAATTATTAATGTTTCACTAATCAATATATGTATAATATATCGAAATAGAAAATGAACAAAACAAATAGGATGCGGATTCACGAAACAACGGTAACAAAAATTGTACAATATTCGTTACTGACCATGGCAGATACTCTTCAGCATCCTGTGGCTTATCCAGGAAACTGTGTTGAACGAAAACGTTTTAGTTGTTGGTTTTTGTTGTTGTGTGAGGGAGTTTGGTTTGATTTATATTAATTAATGTTTTAGTTTTTTTTTTAAATGGTCCGAATTGTTGGTTGATGGGTGGAAGATTGTTTTCTTTTCCATTACGTATGTAAACGAAAGAATGACGATGTTATTGTTCATGGTAGTAATGTAATTGTGTATTGGTTAGAATATCGTCAAATTTCGCATCATTGCAATGATCCGTATTTAGAAAAAAAAAACAAAAATATTTCTATTTGGAATATATGAACTTGATTCGAAAAATTTGGGAATTATTTGCAAAATCGGTGGTGGTTTTTCTTTTGTTCGTAAAATATTTGTGTGGAGCATAGAAGGCCACGGCTCCGGAAAAGTTGGTGTGATTTTGTGGTATTTGATTTTTTTTTCTCTTGTTTTGAACATAAAAAATTCTCGCTTAAAAATTAGGGATAAAAATTTGGTCGGATTTTTGGCGTGTTGATTATTTTGTGTGTGCAGCATGAATACCTACCCAAGCTGAACGGGTCCCATTGAATGTGCAGCTCTGGATTCGTCGGTAATTAATGCTCTCGTCATTGATTCAGTGGCACCAAAACCACCTTCTTGCTATAAGTTGGTAATACGTTAAAAATATATAAAGAAAAAAACGTAAAAACAAAACGGTCGGATTCGCCCAATTTAGCAAAATTTAGCAAAATTGTTCTCTGTTTTTTTTTCTCTCTTTGGTTTGTTTGGTTTTAGATCGAATAGAAAAATTTATAACAAGTTATTTTGCGCTATTTTCAGTATTATTCAGTCGGAATACGGCATAATTCAAATATTTTTAATTTCAAGCAAACACACACTCTTCAAAAATTTCTGTTTTAATTAAAAGCGATAGATCAAAATGTTTAACTGGAAAAAAGAGTACACAAATGTTTACTTCGTGTGGAATTTTCACAAATGGTTTCTAATTTAAGTTTGGAGATGAAAACAGAAAAAAAAAATCTTTAACTGGCCCTTGAGTTATAGAAAAATATCGAGCAATTTTAGATAATAACATGGAAGAATTGTCCTAAAATACAAGCCCGGAAATAGAGATTTAATCCATTGAAATGATGGAATTTCGCTTCATATAGCATGACATTATGAATAAATGAGAAAAAGAAAATGAAATAAAAAATCAAAATTAAGATACGCCAACTAAAAATTAATATATACATTAAAATGGAACATTTAGATTTGAATTTAAAAAAAAAATAGAATAAAAATATATTACGTATTTACATCGATTCGGGGAGGAAAAGGAAACAAGTACAAGTTCGGTTAGATTTGATAAAATATGTGCGACTTGAACTGTGTTCTATGAATTTGTAACGTATCGCTTCACCATTACATTGTTGTACATACATATAATAGCTAAAATGGTTCCATAATTTCCAAAAATTGAAAGAAAAAAAAATCCCAACAAAATTATTACCATTACCAAAGGCCGTAAACCATTTTAGTAATTGATTCAATACAGACAAAAAAATAATTTTTTTTAAAAATAAAACTACGTTTATACCGACAAACACATCAGTTTTGCTGATTGTTTTCCATAAATTGCATGAAATACACAATTGCGACACAGATAAATAATTAATTAAAAAAAATAGATTTATACGTGCAAATGTTAATTTGGTATTAATGCTTTCATCCATCCATTGTATATTTTATTTTTGTGGGTGACACGAGCTCAGGCCTTTTTCCACACAAAAATTTTAGCTTCTGTGATTCGAAACAAAAGAAATGCTTCTTCTTTTATTTTCATTTGAAATAACCAACTTTTCTTGACAAATCAAAATGAAATCATTATAAATGTAAACCCGTTTCGAAATTTCCTTGTGTTTGTTGGAGACTATATGGTTGTCAAATAGATGAGAATAAAGTTTTCACAACCATACGTTTAGAGTATATGAATTTTGTTTGTTTTGCAAATCTGTGTTCGGTGTGTTACAGTTTGTATGTTCTTTTTTTTCGGTTTTGTTTTCATTCTTACACCACATGAACAAGAGTAACTTATAATAAATAAATATATGTAATATTTGATTTTTCATGTAGTTTCAAGTGGGTGCATAAAATATGTGCATTTTTAAATTCAATTCCGTAACGAATACCAAATTCGTTAAATTCATTGCTTTTATCTCTTTTTCTTATTTTTTTTTTGTTTGCTTTCAGCTTAAAAATAGCCTAAATATTTAAGGGAAAAAAATATCACGACGAACATATACGGTTCACACTAGCCTTCAGTTAGTTTAACATTGTCTTTTGTGCGTGTTTATCTTATCCACTACGGAAACATCATTAAATTTTGAGTTAATAATTTTGTCTTTTTGTTTTAATCTATACTATGTCTTCTTTTTTTAAAATTTAAATCGCATTTATAGAGAATTATGTCAATCTTTTAAAATTAAAATCGATCGAAATAGACGGAATGCCCAATTTGAGGGCATTACTTTGTTATGGGCACGCAAAATGGGATTAGTTTGCAAACAACAACGAGAACAATGAAGACAAAATGCAATACAATATTCCATTCCACAAACAATCTCGCTTGCCTTAGACGATTTCGAATTTGCCCGGTGGATACGACGGTTGGATTGTCTGTGTCATCGGTGGTCAGAGCTGATCTCTGCAATTTCAGATTGATCGATTTGTCTCAGTTTGTAGAAAATGTTGTAAGAAAGAAATGTTTTTTTAAGAAGAAAATAAAATGCTTGATCCGCAATGGATCAAACTGTTAATGTTCAGCATTGTTGCATGTTAGGAAAATGTCAAAGGGGGAAAAACAGATGCAAACTAGAAACTATTTCAATCGTTAGAAAAAATCATTTGCAGTGAGACTCCATACAATTGGGCCTGTGTGAATGGAATGGTACAATGCTGAAAATAACACTGAATTAAGCACACAACATTGATTTAGAGGGGCATAAAACGAGGTGTGCTCTACCAAAATTTCTTAACTCATTTTGACTGAGCGGTTTCCCTGCTTCGACCTTCATCTTAGAAATTCACTTTGAATTTTGATTTCGCTTGAAATCATTTCGTTAACTTTGAATTCGTATAAAATGCTTCAATTTCTCTTCTTGTTCATTTTTGTTTGGTTTCTTTCTTGTCGTCATAACTATAACTTTGCTTCGAATTGTTTCAATGAAATTGTAATTGTATTAAATATTTAACAGTTTGTGCATGAATATTTACCCAAGTTTAAGGTTTTGAGCTTGTGCGCCTTGTCGAATATCCTCACCGAGCAGTTGGACCTGTTCCTCTTCTTTGTGCGCATCCGCCATCTGATTATAGCGGACTCGTGTTATTGATTTTGTTGGTGCTGCCTGGCAACACAACCGAAAACAATGGATTTTTTGTGGTTCTTTTTTTTTATTTGTTCGACCCCCTAACACCTGACTCTAGCTAGTTTTTTTTTATACTTATAGATTTTGATTTGGAAATTTCAATTTCTTTTCCTTTTTGTTCGTTTGATTGTTCGTGAAACATACTCAAACCCGGTTACGATCACTGAAGATTTGCCGAGTGTCATCGTTTGTAAAATTTGACTTCGATTACTTGCTTCTTTCTATTCTTCAAAGATTTAGACAATTTTGACAGAAGACAAAAGGGAAAATCAACACGAAAACGAAACTAAAAACAGCCTAACGATCGATAGAAGCTTTAGAAATACGAAAATCACAAATAAAAAGGAAAAAAAACACAAAAAATTGTCATAGGACAACCGAAAAATCTCTTACTGAATTTTATACGTATTTTTATTTTTGGATTGATTTCTGAAGAGAATCATCGAATTTTGGGCATAGAAAAAACGGTAAGCACGAAAAATTGCATGGAATATTATTAAAACTCAAGGATGCAAGCATTAAAACTAATTGCAACTTCACCTACTACTACGAACTCGTCACAAATTAATTTGGAAACAATAAAAAAACAGAGAAAAAAAAAGAGTCTGTGGAAAATTAAAACACATAGGGAAATCTACAGTGTCGAAAAAAAAACATGCTGTCAATTACTAGGGGAACAATAAACACTCTGCTCAGTGATATGATGTTTAGTTGAGAAAAAAAAATCGATAGGCTAAGATGAGAAAAAGGGGTCTGCTTGATTCTCATCTTTGATTAATTCAAACTTACATCTAATTGTTGCTAAATTACTTAAAAATTGATCAATAAAATCATTGGCGTGAATGAAAACTGAAACTATTCGTTGTGCTTGCACTTTTGTTCTTTGATTAGGTTCGGTTTTCATTCGCACGTTATCGATAAAATATTAAAAGGGGAAAAGTTAATGCTGTGATTAACAATATTTAGGTGTCAAAGCATTCAAACTACCGAATGAATTGGAAGCATCTTCTGTTCTGTGTGGCTTACATAAATATTAAGCGAATGGCTGAGAGGTATTCAAAAATGGTACTATATTTGCATTTTTTTTTAGGCTGAGCCATGGATTTGAATCTAAAATTTGCAATGGAAATTTCACATGTAATTTGCTTCATGTGTTGACACACGTGAAAAGAAAAACCACACACACATTGTGAAAGCATATATAGGTGCAGACACTCGAAAACAAATTGAATTTGTTCCATAATTAGGTAAAAAGTGATTAGGTCGCTCATAAAATGAGCCGGGAATTTACAATAGAATCGGATGGGGATCCATAGGAGAGAAAAAACAAGGTTTTTAAATAAAATTATCACACAGGAAATTAATTTGTTCTCAATGACTTTTCGTTGGTTTCTTTGTCGTTTTTTGTTTAAACTTTTGTTTTTGTTTTTTTTTTTTGGTTAGGTGAACAAAATTATTTACACGCATACACACGAAGGAAAAAAAGGTAATAACTGTAAAACTTATTAAGCCAAACCATTAAATAGCTCAATGAATTACTCAATTTTATTTTATCTCGTAGTTGCAATCATATAATACAGCCAATATCAAATACAAACTCATTCTAATTAACTATTTCATTGTTATGAGTAATTGCATGAATTGGTTTAACAGTTTGGCTGAATCGAAAGGGAAAAAAACAACAAAAATAATTGACTTAAGACATTATTTGGGACAAAATACTCAAATATTATGAAATAATGCTTCAACTGCACGTATCAATAGCAATCTAATCAAAAACCATTTGTCTTAACAGGAAATCACTCCTTTGGTACGTTTTTTTTTTTGATTGGTTGGTTGTTTTAACTACAAAAGCAAACTATGTGTGTTGTATATAAAAAACATGATAAAAATGCACATCAATTTATAGCACCTTAAAATTGACTAGTGAATTTGATTTGATTTCGTCGAATATTTCTCATTCGATTTTCGTTTACGTTTCGAATAAATGTTTGGGTAAATAACTTAAATTTGAATGTCTTTTCGTTTCAGTTGTGTCGAAGGATCGAAAATTCATCTCTTTTTTTTTGTTTAGTTTGTTAATAACAAAGAATCGCAAAGCATAGACGTATTACTTTAAAATAGGTATGAATGTATTCCAATGTTAGTTGAAGACATTCCTCTATCATTTCATCTTCAATTTAGTTTCAAAAATCAAAATTATGTGACACAATCACATAACATTACGAATTTATCTGCATTCAATTCATTTTGCAGTTCTCAAATTCAAAATAAATAAAAAAAAAGAAGAAAAAAAACGAAATACGGAAAAGAAACTACTTCAAAATTTGAAAATGAAACGCAAGGAAAATAAAATGAAAAATAATTTAATTGAAATATGATGTGTTAACCGAAACCCCGATGAATGATCGAATGAACGAGTGAAATATAAAAAGAATATTACATAATTGATGTGTTAATGAATGAATGATTGAATGACATTGCTCACATCGTTCGATAAATGTGTTTATTTGTTTTTGATGTGATTTAATTATTGTGATGACGAATGATGAGATTGGAAGCTGGGACTATGTTAAACGCACACGGAAGGTTGTGTTTCGTTTAAAATTCTCTTCAATATGAAATGGGTTCGTTACTGTTTTCATATTGTTGTTGGTTTTTAACATGGAGACAATTTAATTTTTATTGAGATTAAAGACACACAAATTGGGAGGGAAATTACAAGAAACGAAAAGATTATCACACATTCTAGATAAGAGACACAAGGCATTGTTTTTTGTATACAAATCTACAAGTTTCGTGGTATAAACATACAGCACACGCACACACACAATGCTATTGTCTACTATTACACTTAGAGGAAAGAAACGGAAACAAAGAATAGATTTTTTTTACATTAAGAATGGACGAACTAAATTAAGAGAGTTTCGTACAAAAATTGACAATTCAACAAACAAACACAAATTAAAGAAAGAAAATGGAAGAAAAATAGAACGTAATAGTGGGATAATCGAGAAAAAAAAAACTAAAAAAAATATATCAAACATTACTAAAGAGAATGAATAGTTTGATGATCGAATCGTTAGTAATCGAATAAGTGTAAAGTGAGTATTTTCAGGCTATCTTATATATTTTCGGTCGTTTTTTTTATTTGGTTGGCCATTTCAGATTTATTTTCAGTTGTGTTGTCCAAGACGATATCTTATAGAATAATCTTTTTTTGTGTGTGTAAAAAATTTATTTAATCAATTAAAAAAAATAAATTTCAAATAAATAAAAATAAATCATCATACACAAATGAGATAGCATTTTAAACGATTGTCTCCATTCAAAAACTTATGGAGGGAGGGAAGTGTGATACAAAAAAAAACTCTCTTTTTTTTCGATTCTTTTCAGTGCAATGCACATCACGTCGTTTGAAGTGTTATCTCATACTTTCATTTTCGCATCCAGTTCCACGTTTCAACTCAACACATTTTTCATGCATATTATTTATTTTATCGTGTTCTCTGACATTGAGTGAATTGTTTTTGTTTTATATAGTGCTTGCTTGTAAATTAATTTGACGAATGAAAGAAAGACAGAAAGAAGACGAAATGAAATGGGGGAAACAAATCACAAAAAATATAATATATATATGACTTTGACATTTTCTGCACGTATGACATATATGTTGTAAAATGGGCATAATGACTGAAATTGGATTTGCGTCAATCCAAAATGAAAATTGGTTGGTAGCCATTGTTTTTTTTTCGTTTTGTTTAACTTTAAAAAAAAAGAAGGTGTATTCCGAAAGCTGGCTAATATGAATTGAGTAAAGTAAATGGACTTGAAACAACATCACGTACACTTGCAAATCCACATATCAACTGATTAAAATCGACTAGACAAAAATATACTAACAAATATCAACAAAATGGAAAATTAATTTAAAAATAAAAATAGAATAAGAACAAGAACACACAAAAAAAAAAATTATGTGTAAAATATGGGGGAAAAAATCATGCGGAAATTGTTTTGATTAACGAAGATTAATATTTGTGATAAAAAGTTACAGAATCACTAATCAAATAAATAGAAGAGAGAGAGAGAGAGAGAGAGAGTGAGAGACACACCAAAATGAAACAACGGAATATTGTACACAATCAACGGAATAGAAGGAAAATAAAAACGATCGAAACAAAAAGGGAATATATATATATATAAATATATATAACAAAAGTACAGAGATATAATATAAAAAGTATGAATAATAACAACTTAATTAAAAACCGATCTTAGAAAATCGAAGGAATTTGAGAAAAAAAAAACAAAAACAAAAACAACATTAAACAATTAGAAAAAAAATATATCGAAACTTGAATAAAACAAATTTGAAATTAAAAAAAAAACCAGTTGATTTGATAATTTTCATATCATTTCTCTTGCTTAAAGAGTCGGAATGTGTCTTTGTGTTCGCGAATTTAGATTTGCATTTGGGGATTAGCCGACGCATTACTTGTTCAAGGGAGACAGAGAGAATTTCAGTAGCGAAAAAAATTAATGGGATCGACGATTAAATTTCTTTTTATGCACACTAAACAGCAATTTTTTTTCGGCTGTTACATATATTCCAATTACAAGCGCGCACACACACACTGCATACACACGCTCGCACAAAACAAACGGTTTATTGTGCCGCCATCATTACCGTTAGTAAATCAAGCACACATGTTTTGGCGCAATGATATTTAAGTTCAGCCAAAGATCATTGGGCTTTTGCGCATAAGAAAACAAACTCGAAAGTAAAAAATAACGCAAAAATTGTCTTCAACAAATGGAAGTGTAACGGAATCTTACCTCATCGAAGAATACTTGAGTTTTACGGAGTATATGTTTTAACTCAGTCAATTCCAGGTAGTTACGCTTCAGTGCTTCGGCATTCTGGTTGACCTCACGCAATTCATTCTCCAGTTTCTCGAATGTTGCCTGCACGCAAAGAGAATGTGTTTTTGTTGGTAAATCAATTGCCGGGCCTATCGATCACGATCATCGTGCTATCGAATTTATTTTTAAACAAACCTCTAAATCAATCATTTCACGTGGTTGCGGTGCTTCGGGACTTTCATCCGAATTTGCCATTGGTATGCCATCCTTTTTGATTTCCTTTTCCAAATATCGCAATTTTCGTTCCATCTCATCGCAACGGCGCACTTCATTCACGAATTTACGTTGAAACGCATTCACATCCGGATTTAACTAATGGAGAAAAGCAATCAGAACAAAAATTTGCACATATTAAATAGGTGTGAACGGATAGCGAATGTAGGCCAAAGGGATATTGCAACTTTTTTGACCAGAAAAAAACGCCATCTTACGTCGTGCCCGTAAATTATTTTACTGTACATTTAGATGGTAGAGCTTGAACAAAAGTTCGATACTATGCATAAACTTGGAAAGAGCTTGATAAACTTGATGAAATTCATATATTTTATGGTCGCTGCAATACCCCTATGATGTGGGCATTTTAGCTTGATTCTGGAACCGCTGTTCCAACACATCACACGTCAACATACGAAGCTACTTATTAAAAGTAAGTGGCTCTTCCAATAAATGCTTCGAAATTATTTAACCATTACACTATTACACAATAATGAACGAAATAGATGAAAAAAAAAATCGATCGCTCGAAGTAGAAAAGTGGAATGAACAAACCGGTTTTTATACAAATGTCATATGCCTTAGCGTTTGACTGATTAATTTTTCTTTTTCGGTGTGTGTGTGTGTGTGTGTGTGTGTGTGTGTATTTCGTGTGTTGTTCCTTTCATGATTATAAATGCGTTTAGATCACATGTTTGATATTTATTTCTCAGCATCTAGCAAAATGCTGATTGAATAAGTACACGTGAGTTGAATTACGTATACAAACAAATCCAAATGATATCTTAATTTTGTTTGAAATGATCATACTCCATTAATTCAGCATGTTATCGTTTAGATATTTGGTTAAAATGTGCTGCCTAATTTCCATGTCAAATAAATATAATTGCCGTTTTGGTTGTTTTTTTTTGTTTGTTTGTTTCAAATTATACTTACATCACGAAATTGAACCAGACCCAGTTCTCCCAGCTCTGAGACGCATGCATAAGCCGCTTCACTTTGCAAAAAGAGCTGACACAATGTCATTTCTTCACTGCGAAATAGTGACCCCATAGTTGATGTTTTTACTGTTCTTCACCGCAAACCAAGTGCGAATCGGTGTTTTTTTTTCTCCTTTCTTCTCGTTACGTTGTGTTGTCAAACCTAAAGACAAAATGGGGCGAAAAATTCAAATGCCATAAATTAGAATGACATCTTTTTCTCATTCAAAGCTATTTATCACATATATCTAAACGCCGAGGGCAGATGTTAACAATTAAGTGATCTTTGCTTAGCTGGTGTAAATGCAATAATGTTTGACGACAATTGTCATTAGATAAATATGTATACGGAAGCCTACAACGTCATGTTGAGATTCTGCAAAGACTAAATTGTTATGTTAATTGGTTGCATTGTTACTATTTGGATGGCGAATGACAAAATTATTCACACAATCCTTATCTGTAACACCTCGAAAAACTAAGTCGGTTGCTCCGATTCCGAAGGGAGCGAGAGAGAATGCGCAAACCGAAAAAAGGAGTAGCAGTTGGGAATAGAGTAGCAAAAAAGCGCACGTATTTTCTTGTTTGAATTCAATTTTCAGAGAAACAGTCGATTTGCAAGTTTTTCAAATTGAATTAACATGTATTTCTTTCGGTTGTTTTGCCCCTTGACGAAAGTGTATCAATTTTCTTTCGGCTTTGACATAAGCGTCATTTAAACAATGCATAAATACGTGCGCGCCTGGCACATGCGTGATATTCAACGAACGTCTGAAATTGGATACAATTCGCATTGTTTTACGAAGAACAAAAAAAAAATGAGAAAAAAAGCGAAAATTTATTGAAAGGTCATATTTGCTTGGCGTTAATTGGAAAATAATCGCCGAAATTCCCCAACCAAGATCGATCGATCGATCAATCGACTGAATTTTGTGCTAATACATCCAGCCAATGTGTGGCTGGTACAAAATTGAGCACACATTTGAATTTGTTTACCGTACAAATTATCGCCTACCAATTCTTTGGTATCGGTCTTTAGTTTTCTAATCTGCACGAAAGATTTTTTAAACAAAACGAAACCAATCACAGAAATACACTCAGCGAATGTCATCGGTCGGTGGTCGGTTTGTCATCGCTTCAAATTTAATTATCATGAAACGTTTTTTTTCTCATTGCGTGAATCCCCCCATCATAGATCAAAACAGTGTTCAACACATCACTGACGTTTTAATCTGCGTACGATACTAAATTGATTGCGGTTGAGTATTCAGTGAGTGAATAAAATCAAGCAGCTATTAATATCGTGTTGTGATGGGAGTTTTTGAGGCACAAAACCGATATGAGATAGTTAAATGCACATAGCACGTACATATGAAGCGTCATCACATCTCACCGAAGATAGATCTAATCGCGTTGGCTATTCAAAATAAGTTCAAGTGTGACATTCGCATGAAATTGCATGCAATTTGAATTGACGCTATCAAGAATGCAACAAAAATCAACACAGCATGTCTGTCGGTGTTTGATGTCGGCAATTCGGTTACAGTGAATTATGTTCGAATTGTGAATTTTGAATGTTAGTCACAGAATCGACGACGACAACGACATAGACGGTGGTGGTGGTGGTGGCGGCGGCGGCGGCGGCGGCTGGTTGTGCTCGCATTCATGCCATGCCGTGCCGTTGCTATGCCTCGTGCCAATTCGCCGTTTTTGCCAATTGTTTTGGGTGTTTGCTTTTCCATTCGTGTGTTTTCTCAGCCAACTGTCGATCAACACTGAGTGGCCTGCAATTGCGAACGGTGATTTGTTTCTGTAATAAAATAGGTAACGAATCTGTTGACGGATCGTTAATGTCTCCATAAACGAATGAAGGTTACACCGTATGGTTTTTTTTCTCTATCTCTCTCTCCCTCTGTGTACTTTTTCGAATAATCGTTATTCGAACGATAAACTAAAATCAATATGAGCATGGAACAATAACACAGAAGATTAGAACGAACGATATACGGTAGAGAATTATTTTTTATGGTACAGTAATTTTGAGCATTTTGCAGGGTTTTCATCAACTTAAATGATATGTTGCATGAAATTGTGATGCAACAGTTTGGAATTTTCATTTCGTACATGTTTTACACCCAAAAATGATATCATGTTTGTCGAAAAGTTTGAAAAACTTGTGAATTATCAACAAAACGGTCGTTTTTTTTCGGCGATACGCAGCAACTATTCATTATGCACTGTGTATATTTTTTGGGCAAGGCATTGTTTTCCATTCATTTACATATGATGCTAATTGTACGCCTTTTTCTTTCGCATTTATTCATGCTGCTTAATTCATTGTTTCTGTTCATTGCTGTTGATCGCCGAGCGGTTTCCTACTCGGGCAAATGTTTACATAGTTGGAATGAGTAAGATACAGTTTATTTTTAGGCGTTTCATTCGCTTTTGCACATTTTCTCATGCAATTGCTCGATGTGTGTTTAGTTGTTTTTTTTTACTTCATTCTTCACTCTTTTTCTCTTCTCGGCTCTTTGATTGAGTTGTATATTTTGTGGCCCAAATCTAATGATATTGAACAATGTCCGACACCGCGTGCGGTGTTTCGATATTAATTTTTATCTCTCTCTGGAAATTATCAATGACAATGTAAATCTGCCGTTTAGATAGACACATAGCATATCGACCGTTTATTGAAAACCGCAATTTTTTCATCGAGCATATGCTACGAATAATTCACGGTGTCTACTTAGAATTAAATTTTATTCTTATCACATTTTCAATCTTCCACATTTAATTAGTGAATTGATGTAACACGACTGATTTATTTTTTCTGTTGCTTTTCTGTGTTCTTGTTGTTTGTTGTTGTGTAAAATCATGTTGACTGGTTTTGATTTTTACTTAAAATTCAACAAAAACATTTTTATGCTGAACACGAACAAATTCCTTTGCTAACCTATTTCACGGTTATTCAATGACTTTTTGCACAATTTGCTGTTCTTTTCGATTGCGGTATGTAAAAGTTATGGTGAGAATTTCTAATTCCACACAAAAAATCAATGAACCACCATAGAAAAACAAATTTTTTTGATTGAAAAGTCTTATCGATTCGATTTGCTTACTTTCTTCGAATTTTCTCCGTGAATCACACCACTTTTTCGGAAGAGATATAGATGAACCAAAAAAAAAATCAATAATTTAAACGATATAGCTGTACGGGTCAGGTAGTGTAAGCGTCAGTACACGACGAAACAACCGAAAGAAAATAAAAAAAATGTGTATGCTATTGTAAAAGCACCAGACCTTCAGTACTGGCAACTAATGACTGACTCAAAAGACAGTTTTGTTAGACACTATCCAGTTCTGCGCATACCAACACCAATGCATCTAGCTCGTTTTGATATCTCTCGTGTTCACATGTACAAGGCGCACTCGCGATCCGACTGGCGAAAATCACAAACAAAATTCAATGGGGCCTTTATACATTATTATATTCTTTTTCTCTCTTGTTTCTGTATTAAGTGTTGGCGGCACGACATCATCACGACACAGGGCCTATATGCCAATACAATATGAAATGAAGCGGCCGTATGTGTTTTTCCAATGATCAAAACAATGGGCAGATGTAAAATGAATGAAAAGCAAACAATTTATAGAAAAATTTACATGTGTGAATCGAACGATTAAAGCGCGTTATCAAATTGTCGAATTACAAAAAACACATGAGTGATACTCTTTTTCATATTGTTTTTTTTTCTCTTCTTTTTCTGTATTGACGAAATGGAACGGAATAAACCATTGCGATCAACAGGGATTTCAGTTTTGGTTGCAAGAGTAACAACCTGACAATCAATGCTCATTATCGAATAGACGACATCAAAACCACACATTCAGCATAAATGAATTGTGTATATGAAATGAATCACTGAATTTCTGATTGGGTATTTTCATTCTCTTTCTCTCTATCTTCGCAACCAATATCAAAATACGAAATGCAAGCCAATGAAATTGCACAAACTGCAAAATGACATCGATTTATTTTTATCACTTTATTCATTTGGCACCGAAACACTTACTCAAAAAATTATATAAAATTGTCACTTTTTCTTTTAAAAAAACGCTTCTTATGAATGAGAGCAAGAAAATTCTAACAAAACAGATGGGAGGAAAACGGGATATTTTATGTAAAGGTTATAAGTTTTATACACTTTTGTATCGCTTAGTTCTTTTTTCGCGTCAGAGATTGCATTATCACGGTTGAATGCCATTCACTCACACACTCCCACCATAAAATATTAATTGATCAATGAAATTTTACCCAAAAGATTTATTTCTTTTCTGTGCTGCTCCAACAATCCGTAAGTCTGGTATGCAGGGAAAAATGCCTTTATTCGAAAGCCAACGACACACAGAAAATATGGCGACTTGTCAAACGTGTGAATCAGCTGTTGGTTACTATGTCTTTTGACAGGCGACGACACGGAAATCGAAACCCAGCGGAATATGAAGAGAAATGCATGAGAGTGAAACAGTGACTATATGCAGCTCTGTCGCTTGTCTTGACTGTGGTCAATGCAATTGAATAGAATTCAACGGAATGCGACTAGAAGAAATAGTAAACAATTACACAGAAAGGTTTCATGCGATAAAAGGAGTTTATTTTGTCATCGGACACTTTTGGAAGGTAAAGAGTCAAAACCAACTTTTTGGATGAAAATCAACGTCGAAGAGACTTACGAATCTCACATAAATATTAATTCTAAAGCTAAGTACACAGTTTCTCGTGAAATGAAAAAATTTCTCCGGTGAAATTTTCACAGGTGATATTTGTATGGTGTTTCTTATTTTTGAATTGCAAGCATAATGATTTTTGATGTATAAAACAGCTAACTCATTCCAATATCAACACGACACATGAACAAAGTTGGTTTTTGAGTTCATTCTTCTATGTGTTTTGTCTGAACAAATTTTTTTCACAGTCGTGAAAAATATTTCGCGTGCAAAATGTACTCGAAATTTTTTTCACGGCCTTGAAAAAATAAGAAGGATCAAAATACATTAAAGAATGAACTCAAAAATCAACTTTGTTCATGTATCGTGTTGATATTGGAATGAGTTAGCTGTTTTATACATCAAAAATCATTATGCTTGCAATTCGAAAATAAAAAACAGCAATACAAATAACACCTGTGAAAAATTCACCGGAGAATTTTTTTTCATTTCACGAGGAACTGTGTACTTAGCTTAAAACTGAAGACTGTGGTGGAATTAGTTCATCGAATTTTCACCATCGGAATAAACTGATGAAAGACCATCGAAAGGTATAGTAAACATTTACTATGTTTTTCGGTTCAACAATTGCTTCATTCGAATAGGTCAGGGAAATAAAACGAGAGGTTCCCCTATCGTCAGCACACCTGATAAAACGTACAACAGCGGTTACCTTTGATGTCACCGATTACTCGAATGATGGTGCACAATTTTTTAAATAATGAGTGATACGTAGTCAGTGGCGAAGAGATTATTAACGGTTCCCATTTCCGTGTGTTTCATTTCATGTATCAAAATGGGTGTCACCATGAATGTATTCAAGTAAGTCTAGAAGAAAACCTACTCCAGTAGAAATTTGCAAAATCACGATGATCGATTATTGTTTTATTTCCAAACTTTTCACTGTTACAAGTTAAATCCACCGAAAACTGCATTTCGCTCCCAATTCCGTCGATTCGCAGGTATGAATGCGCTTGTAGTGAACCCTGTGTAAACAAGCATACAGTATTTGCGCGCGTCGTCTGTCGGTCTTTAATAAAAACATTGACACCGAGTTGGTTGTAAACAGAGTTGAGTCTGTTCAATCAACGAATTGTAAATTCGTTTAATGTTCTCAATTGTTTCCATATAAAATTGTTAAAGACTGAACTGTATTAATCGATTGCCAGAATTGTAAATGTGGCTAAAATCATTTTTAAGTTTTAAACGCCAATAGAATTGTATTAAAATGGATGTTTTAAGTGAAGATAGTCGTTCGGATTTCGAGACAAAAAGCAATCAGACTGCCGACGATAATGGACGCATAGACGAAAGACCAATGGGGAATTGCTACTGGTAATAAAAAATGGGATTTAGAAAACAAATTTTTATCGAAACCGCCGCCGTTTATTCACTTGAAAAGAATGTTGCTTTCAAAGTTTCTACATGTGAATAATTCATTGTTTGTTTAAAAGTCTGACATAACCTCAAATGCACTAATGGCTCTTTATACAAATGATAAACAATTGGATCGATTTGCCTACTTTAAAATGGGCTCTAAGTTTTTATGCGTGTTTTTTGTTGTTGTTGTTTTCATTTCAGCGGTAAAGACCGAAATTTAAATATCCTTGAATTGCTGTGCGCAACATGCTATCGCTGGTTCCACGAATCATGTATCGGATTTCAAATGGGCAAATTAATTCCGTTTGCAACGAATTATATCTTCTTTTGCAAGAATTGCTCACCCACCGGGTTGGAGAGCTTCCGTAAATGTCAAGCAAGTAAGGATATTCTCTTGGATTTATACACATTGCAAAATACGAAACAAAAAATGACATTTTTTTCCAAAATTGAATTTGTTTTCTTCTTTGTTTTTGTAGCCATATCACAAATGTGTGTGACAGCGATTGCAAATTTGCAACAACAGCATCAAAAGAAAGGCAAACTCAAGTATCTCTTTGATAAGGATGCCGATATAATTCCGTATATGGAACAGTATTGGGAGTCAATGACAACGATGCCCCGGCGTGTAACACAATCATGGCAAGTATTTTTTTTTTAATTTATAGTCGTCATAGCATGTTGACACCATCGAATGCACACTTTTAAGCTCGGTCACTGAACAAGCTGTTTAATATCTTCTATTGATATGGTATAGGTATAGCACGGTGCAAAAGACATTACTAAAGGATAATGCTGTGTTCACTTTCGAAGATGGTCAGCAAATGTTTGGATTAGTCACAAATGATCTCACAGTAATCAAACCAAATTACGAAGCAATGGTTAAAGGCGGAACACTTCGAGTCACCGATGACGGTTATGCACAAGGTATTGTATCTATTGAAAATACACTCTTCATTTACCTGGTTCAACAGTTATGGTGTTCGGTTTAAATGTTAAAAAGATAGAAAAAAAATGTTCAGTTAATAAATTGCTTCGTCGAAATTCACTTCGACCAGTGTGTAAACTATCACTCATATGGAATTCATGACGCTGAATTCACACTCTTACATATTTCGATACTACTAAACATTGTATTGTGCTTGTGTTACGAAACGAGAAAAAAAATTCAAAGCCTACTTGATGAGTTTGGCGACTGTGCAGTGTTCGTCGACACCGTTTTCAAAATCAATTTTCAAAACAAATATGTCCACCATTAAACTCCTAGCGACAGCGAATATTGAAAATCGATAATTTTTCAAAACATTAAAAAAGAGAGAAAGAGAAATGAAACAACAACGACAATAAAAAAAAATAACACTCATACAATAGATCGCCTAAATCTTTGGCAAACAATTACTTTGCAATGATTTTAATGATGAAAACAAATGAGTAAATGCCGTATAGTGTGTAGAATCGTCCGATTCATATACCATCACTTGTGGACGCGTTCTATTTATTTGTGATTGTACATGTTCTAGGACTGTGTGTGTACATGTGTCTATAAATATACATAAGCGTGTTTCGCTAGTGGATCGCATAGCGGTCGTTTTATGTTCAGTGTGCCTTTGTGGCTGTCATTGCTAGTGCTTCGCACTTTCGTTTCGATTACAATATTTTTCTTCTATTTCTTCTGACTTCGTTGTTTGCGTTGGTTTTTTTTTCTTCTGTTTCTTTCACTCGTTCTCTGTCTCGCTCGTTTTTCAATAATTCGGTCCGTTTTTTCGATAAGAAATGTAACAAACTAAAGAAAATTCATAGAGTAAAACTATCGGTCGGTTTGTGTGTCACTCTTTCTCTCCTTGTTCGTCATAAAACCAATTCGTTGCTTTGTGTTGCCATAAATTATGCATGTGTGCGACTGAATTTGACGAGCATATACACAAATATACGGAACGTAGTTATTATTACGTACGCGTTCGGTTTGCTTTTACCGTGTGCTGTATATTCAATCTGTGTGTATTTACGCGAGGCAAACGAAAAACTCAATTCATATTTTTTTTTTTTTTGTTCTTCCTATTTATGTACACAACTATTTTTTTTTTCTGTTCGGTTCCGTTTGACAAGTGTTTAGTTCCTCTTTTGCCCTAACACACACACCGATTATTCTTATTGTTTTTCAAATCAAAATTTGTAATTATTTTGCATTCTCAACGCTTGGATTAGATGTAGTTGTCAGAAGGTGCGGGTGTGAGATAAGTTGGGCACATCATGAAAGTGAAGCTAAAATATGCGACAAAATTCGAACAATTGACAACATTTCGATTGACAATAGCGGAATAAAACCGATCGAACTTGAAAATTTACACTTTCCATCGTAACATTTCGACCAATATAGATGCGTGGTATTGGGACCATTACAGTTGTTCCGTGCTATTTATACATTTTGTTACATTCGCTTCGTTAATCGATCAATATTTGACGACAGTTATCGCGTTGACACAAAACATTTATTCTTTTTTTTGTTTTTCAACTGTTGTTGCTGCTGTTGTGAGCTAATTTGTTTAGTGTTGTTTCGAAATTGACTTGTCATTCGGGGTTTGAACTCATTTCACTTCCGCTGCGATACCAAACGATGGAGGAAAGTACACGTACGTATCATTTAGCCGCTGAGTTCATATTAATCACTTCTCAAACCAATTTATTTGTTCTAATTCATCCATAAAATACCAACCAATAAACAATCTCTCTTGCTAGCAATGCTACGGCACCTTTCACCGACCCTCAAACACTCGAATACACATACACAAGCATGTATATGTGTGATTCACAATATTGAACATTCATCCTTACCAAAAGTCATATGGCGAACAAAGTCATTTATTCTTGAACCCAAAAAAAGTGAATTGTGCTCTCGACACAAGTTCGCAACACCCATGAGCAAAATAAATTGCGCAACAAATGTCAGATGATAATCATTGTTTATTATGTTTGTGTTACAGCAAGTTTAACAAAAGGTAGACCGAACAAACGAAAATTGCCTGGAGGTGATCAAGGGCCAACGGGTAAAAAAGGACGACCCAGTTCCGATATCACAGCAAATGTCAAGTTGCCAGCACATGGTTATCCATTGGAGCATCCGTTCAACAAAGATGGATATCGATATATTCTCGCTGAACCGGATCCGCATGCACCATTCCGACAAGAATTTGATGAAAGTGCCGACTGGGCGGGTAAGCCGATTCCCGGCTGGCTCTATCGATCACTTACACCCAACTCGGTTCTGTTGGCACTTCATGATCGTGCACCTCAGCTAAAAGTGGCCGAAGATCGACTGGCTGTGACCGGCGAAAAAGGATATTGCATGATTCGTGCTTCTCATTGTAAGTATTTTGTTTCATTCGAACGTTTTCATCCGTTTTTTTTTGTTTCAAAGAAATAATTGTGTCAATAATTTGCTATGTGTTTTCTTTTGTGTAGTTGTCACAAGAGGAAATTGGTACTTCGAGGTAACCATTGAAGAAATGCCAGAAGGTGCAGCAACACGAATCGGATGGGGTCAAGAGTATGCCAATTTACAAGCACCATTGGGCTATGACAAGTTTGGATACTCATGGCGATCGCGTAAGGGTACTAAATTCCATGAATCATGCGGAAAGACATGCAGCCCTGATGGTTACAGTGAAGGCGATACGCTTGGCTTTTTGATATGCCTACCAGAGACTGGGCCGAATAGAGATTACATGCCGAACACATTCAAAGATCGGGTATGCATTCAATGTCATCATTTTCTAATTTCGGTCTCTTGCGTCAAATCGCTTGGACTTGACCCGAGAATTGGTTTAATTGGCCGTTGAATTCCTTACGTTCAACAAATTAACCGTGCTTTTGTTTCTCTAAATTTCCATCAAATTTAGCCGCTGGTGAAATTCAAGAGCCATCTGTACTATGAGGACAAGGATAAAATAACCGAAGCGTTGAAAAATCTGAAAACAGTGCCCGGCAGCAAGATACTTTTCTTTAAGAATGGGAAATCTCAGGGAGTAGCATTTGAAAATATTAACGGTGGTGCCTATTATCCAGCCATTTCAATTTACAAAAACGCAACCGTAAGCGTTAACTTTGGACCAAGTTTCAAATATCCAGAAATTGAACAACGATTCAAGTGCAAAGGGGTGAGTTAATTGACTCTATCGATGGATTTCTTTGAAAGCGAACTCTTTTCAAACTTAATTAATGTTTCTTTTATTCTCTTTTCGTTTGTTATTTCGTCAGATGTGCGATCGAGTGGAAGAGCTGATTTGCGAGCAGTCACTGGCCGACATGGTCTATTTCTCGGATAACGATGGCAAATTGCGGCTGGATACATTTAATTTATAAGGAACAATTTTGAATTTCAATGAGATATATGTATAGACAAATGTTCAGTGTATAAGATCAAAATAAAAACAAAATTGAACAAACATGTTTAGCAAATAGTTTGAGCTAATGATGAAAATATGAATTAAACAATTAGTATTATTAATTTGCATCTTTTATATTTTTCATCACAAATTTATTCGGTTTGTTTTGTTCCAGTTATTTTCAAAGCTATTATTAGTCATTTTTAAGTATACTGTTGCTTGTTTTCATTTTCTTCTAAAAATAATGTACAATATTTGGGTCAAGAATTGACGATATGAACAATTCAATATGAATCTCAATTTATATGATTTTGCACGATATGCTCAAGTTTGCTGAGTTAGTTTCGTTCTCAATTGTCAGATGGCAATCGATCTTTAAGGTTCAAACAACTTCCTTCGCAGGTCTTATGGAATCCAGCCTCATACAAAAAGTCTGTTTTACACCATCGCACTTACGCATCACTTCGATGACATCCCGTCCCTGTTCAGATACATGCAATAAAACCTTTGCAGTTGGCAGATCTTCAAAATTCTGATCACCCGATTGCTCTTTTTTTAATTTTGAAAAAAAAAACAAACAAACAAAGAATGTGGTTTTACCATTGAAATTCATATTCATATTTTATCATTCCATACCTATCAGTACCAGCTAGATCAACTAAAACGAGTTCGAGGCACTTTTTCAGTCGACGCAATCTCTCGACTTTATTATTGTCATTTGTCTCGAAATATTTGCTGCGGAAGAAATTTATATCATTCGGAGTATTGAATAAAGTCCATCGTTTCTGTATAACTTACTTAACCTCAGACCGGCATGTTGCGACAAATGTAGCAAAACCCAAATTTAGATCACCAATTGTGTTTGTAAGTGGAGATGAAGTTGTTTTTGCATATTTTCGGGATGGTGGTGTTAATTTTGTCGAATCGCTTGGAGCTGCGGATTGCGAACTTGCCGGTTGTGAACAAATCGGTCCGATATTTTTGATTGTAGCATCGAGTAAATGACTGAAACAAAATATTTGAAAAACAACAGATAAACTCGCATAATCACCAATTTTATTACATTTTATTTCTTACTCAGTCTGTTTCAACGAATCCATCGTCAAATCTAGCGCCATCGTAATACGTTGGAGTTCTTTTGTTCGTTTTTCATTAGAAGCTTGCAACATACGGGTTCTTGCTTCGTTATTGAAATCTGCAGTCTTCTTAAACAAATATTTTATGGACTTTGAAACGGGAGTCTTTTCGTCTTTAGGTTTCGTTGGCGTTTTTCTGCACCATTCCCACTGTCCGAATTTGAATCCGTCGAAGTATGTCCACGTCCAGTCATCATGTAAATTGCTTCAGTAATTTGTAATAAATAGTTTGTGAATAATGAACGGTCTTTAATGCGTGAAAATTTCCAAATGAATTATGATGCGATGGAAGAGACGCTATGATTTGACAACTAATGAAATGAAATGTCACTCAATGTGTCAAAAGAAATCCCATGGGAAGAATATCAGTCCCTATTGGAAAAAAATGACAAACTCTTTCAATGGATTCAATATCGATAATTATTTTTATTGTTTCTTTTCTTTACTCCACTTTTGAACTAAAGACTTGTTGCGTAAAATTAAACATTTTAAACGACCAAAAACTACTAATCTAATTCGATTACAGCAGGGAATTATGTCTAAAAAATATTCTATCGAAAAAGGCAAAACAATTGTCGCGTTCATTGATCAAAATGTGTGTCTTTCTGATTGTTTCAATGGATGATTTGCGTTCCAGGGTTATTTTCCGAAGCCACCCTTACATTTCGGACTGGGCTCCAATTTATAGTTTTCGTTCCACTGTGCTGGGCTTTTGGTTTCAATTGACAATGCATGCACAAAATCGCCTTCCAGTTTTTCCTTAACAATTTCATTAACCAGCCGATGCCTCTGTACAATTCAATGGAAAAAAATGGAAAACATAATATCAGTGAGATCTAGATGATGCACAAAATACGAGTTGAGACAGAGGGAAAATGTGGAGGGCCGGTTTACCTTGATCAATGGCAAGGATTCAAATTTTGCGGACACAACGAGCACTTCGAAGTGTGTTTAGCAAATAGTTTGAACTAATGATGAAAATATGAATTAAACAATTATTATTAATTTGCATATTTTATATTTTTCATCACAAATTTATTCGGTTTGTTTTGTTCCAGTTATTTTCAAAGCTATTATTAGTCATTTTTAAGTATACTGTTGCTTGTTTTCATTTTCTTCTAAAAAATAATGTACATTATTTGGGTCAAAAATTGACGATATTACTTTTTCGCACGCCCATGTCGTGAGTAAAAGTATTGTAATCACTCCAAAATCTAGGTACCCCACCAAAAACCATTTTTCTATCCATCTTCGACACCAAAGAGCACGATACAGTGGTTATTTTGCTATGTTAATGTGGGTGCGTCCTATCCTGTACGCTGTACGCTGTATGCTGTACACAAAAATTTGTTAGCACGATTGCTCAAACACGAGAATAGGAAATGAAATTCTGCAAGTACCAAACGTTTGTGCTTCGTTAGACTTGGAAACCATTAAATTTTCAGCCACCCCAGACCAAAATCGAATTCAAATAAATGGGGGCGCAGGAACATCCTAGCACCCGCTAACCTACTTTTTTGCTATTAAATGTTAGTTCGAAATTCCTTGAAAAATCGAACTTTTGTTCGGGAGGTACCCAAAATAGGCTCCCAGGTGGATTTTATCACTCCCACTCGAATTATTTCATCAAATTAATAGGAGCCCAGAAACAACCGACAGCACTCGATAACCTACCTTTTTCGTATCAAATCGGTATTGAATAGTGATTCTGACAGCGAATGTGATAGCGCCTCTGAAGTCTCATATATTCTCAACAATGTGGATTTTCCTGAGTTGGAAGAGGATGGATTTTACTACGAAATTGAAGACTTGTGTGAAACTACAAAGAATACAGATCTAGAATCAATCACAAATCAAATTGTTGGAACAGAATTCTTAAATGATTTGTCAATCGACATGTTCATTATAAATTTGGTGAACGCAAACAGAACCATGCCATTCGACATGAATCCAGTCTGCTATGGACAAAAACAAGAGCGATACAAACGACTTCTAGCCCAACGAGACGATCTGCAAAAATTATACAGCGGCCAGGCCCCAGCTTTCTTGGCCATTACACCACAGTTCCATATATCTATGCTCAAAATCGTGTGAAGATTTATGACAGTCTACACGGGGAGGGCAATCATGGCAAAAGATTGGACGTATATCAACGAAACATCCTCATTCGCCTGTACCCCGGAGCACAGTATCAATTCATCGAACCGGCAACGTTGCAACCATATGGATGTTCCTGTGGTATTTTCTCGATTGCATACGGCACAACCATCATTTTGGGACACAACCCCGCAACATACCATCTAAAAACCAATCAGCACGACACAGACAATTTAAAAAAGACCTGTGCTGGTATTCCTAACACATTCCGAACACTTTGTTCGATTGAAGTTCAGTTTTTTCAACACTTGATTATTTTGCATTTTTGAAAGAGAGGTAAATCTTAAGCCAAAAACTGCGTAGAAAATAAGAAGTTGAATAAAGTTTCACTATTCAGAGGACAATAAAGACAATCAGACGTTTTATTTCATTTGAATACCCAACATCAAGATTTTCGGGATCATAATACAATTTTTCATAAAATACATGAACGTACTGTTGTTTTTTTCAGAAAATTGTTATAAATTTCCTAGGCAAATTCTGAATAAAAGCTGAACGCTATGAAAACGGTGCGGAAAAGATCGTCTTACGCAGTCAATGACAGATAGCTGAGGATATATCCTCAGCTATCTGTCATTAACTGGTCTTACGGAGGTAAGACTATTTATGAACAATTCAATATGAATCTCAATTTATATGATTTTGGACGATATGCTCAAGTTTGCTGAGTTACTTTCGTTCTCAATTATCAGATGACGATCTACTTGGGGAGAGGTAAGCAACTCCGAACGCAGGCTTTATCCAGATTAGCCGCATACAAAATGCCTTTTTTTTACACCATCGCATTTACGCATCACTTTGATGACATTCCGTTCCTCTTCAGATACATGTAATAAAACTTTTGCAGTTGGTAGATTTGCAAAACTCTGATTACTCAATTCGTTTCTTTCTTTCTCCCCATACTCGCTGAAGAAAAGAAACAAAAAATGGTTTTACCATTGAAATTCATATTCATATTCATATTTTATCATTCCATACCTATCAGTATCACTTAGCTCATATAAGACGTTTTGTAGGCTCCTTTTTAGACGACGCAATCTCTCGATTTTAGAATTGTCATTCGTCTCGAAATTTTTGCTGCGGAAGAAATTTATATCATTCGGAGTATTGAATAAAGACCATCGTTTCTGTATAACTTACATAACCTCAGACTGGCATGTTGCGACAAATGTACCTACACCCAAATTAAAATTACAAATTTTTTTTGTAAGTGGAGTTGAAGTTGTTTTTGAAAATATATGCTTTGCACGTTTAAGTTTTGGCGAATCGCTTGGAGCTGGAGATTGTTCGCCACTTCGATTGGCGCCACTTCGATTCGTCGGACTTGTTGGCTGTAAAAAAACCGGTTCGATATTTTTGATTGTAGCATCGAGTAAATGACTGAAACAGAAAATTTGAAAAACAACAGATAAACTCGCATAATCAAAAATTTTATTACTTTTTATTTCTTACTCAGTCTGTTTCAACAAATCCATAGACAAATCTAGCGCCATCGTAATACGTTTTTCTGCTTTTGTTTTTCACCGGGAGCTTGGTCCATCTCTTTCAAGACTTGGGCTTTGAAACCGAAAGTCGTGTCAATCAAATATGCAATAGACTGTGAAACGGGAGATTTACTTTTACCTTCCACGTTTCCATATAGCGTTGGCGATTCTGCGCTAATATTGCCACTGTCCGAATTTGAATCCGTCAAAGTATGTCCACGTCCAGTCATCATGTAAATTGCTTCAGTAATTTGTAATAAATAGTTTGTGAATAATGAACGGTCTTCAATGCGTGAAATTTTTCAAATGAATTATGATGCGATGGAAGAGACGCTATGATTTGACAACTAATGAAATGAAATGAAATGTCACTCAATGTGTCAAAAGAAATCCCATGAGAAGAATATCAGTCCCTATTGGAAAAAAAATGACAAACTCTTTCAATGGATTCAATATCCATAATTATTTTTATTGTTTCTTTTCTTTACTCCACTTTTGAACGTAAAGACTTGTTGCGTAAAATTAAACATTTTAAACGACCACAAACTACTAATCTAATTCGATTACAGCAAGGAATTATGTCTAAAAAATATTCTATCGAAAAAGGCAAAACAATTGTCGCGTTCATTGATCAAAACGTGTGTCTTTCTGATTGTTTCAATGGATGATTTGCGTTCCAGGGTTATTTTCCAAAGCCACCCTTACAGTTTGGACTGGGCTCCAATTTAAAGTTTTCGTTCCACTGTGCTGGGCTTTTGGTTTCAATTGACAATGCATGCACAAAATCGCCTTCCAGTTTTTCCTTAACAATTTCATTAACCAGCCGATGCCTCTGTACAATTCAATGAAAAAAAAGGAAAACATAATATCAGTGAGATCTAAATGATGCACAAAATACGAGTTGAGACAGAGGGAAAATGTGGAGGGCCGGTTTACCTTGATCAATGGCAAGGATTCAAATTTTGCGGACACAACGAGCACTTTGAAGTGTGTTTCGGCGTGTTTTGGAACATTATGCATGTAGGATTCATTGACTACTTCGAGATGAATGGGCTCCAGTTTGGCCATTATTGCTTCTGTGATTGCCTTTTCGATGGGACCTCTTGTATTCGACGACATGTTCCGATTCAGTTGTATTGAAGGGATGTTGCTTTGTATTGGTTTGATTTTGAATACATTCACTGCAAATAACAATAACATAACCTTGAGCAATTTGCCGTCACAAATTCGAGCTGACCGAACACACGCGAATTTTTATGCGTGAAAATACACTTACTGCAAATACGTTTGTACATTTATATCAGGTGTAGAGATTGTATTCGATTTCTTTCACTTGCAAACAGTGTCAGTAAGCAGAAAAAAAACTCAAAGTAATTTCACAAGAAAATCCAATTTGACAGAATGCAAACGCTTGCGCTAGATGCAATTTGTACGTGTTGCTTTCTTACATCGATCTAGTACGTTGTTTCTGACTCTTTGAACGCTTTCTTGTGGAATCAACGAACAATTTCATTTCATCTTTTGAAATAAATGGATTTAATTGAATAGAAATCAATTTCTTTTCATTTTTTAATATTTTCCGTCCTGAAAAAATGAAAAAATCGATTCGAAACGTACAGTTTGAAACCCCTTAACTACAGCTACTACCGCAAATCATCATTTGTTTGTTGGTTGGTTGGTTGGTTGGTTGGTTGGTTGGTTGGTTGGTTGGTTGGTTGGTTGGTTGGTTAGCTCATTTGTTTGTTTTTTTTCTCTTAGCTGATGGCCTTTTTTGAATGAACGTTGCTTTGACATAACGATTCCTTTGTGAAAGGGCAAAAAAAAAAACGCAAACAAAAACCACATATCCTAATTACATTTGCCAGCCGAAATTTCTAGTCTAATCATAAATAGTTCAATAATGTCAATTGAAATTTTGCGTAAAGTGATGTAGAACGTTTGCCAATCGCTTTAAACTGTCATTTATTTGATTTCTTTTATTTTGATTTCATTTTATTTTTGGAATTGAAATAGTTGCGTTCGATGTAGATAAAAGCGAGACACAAATTGAAAATGTGCTGCAGCGAATCATGGAAAAAGTGAAAATACCAGAGATTAATCTGACATCAGATTCCGATGATTTGCTCGATGATTATTGGTTCACATCGCCGAATGCCAGTTTTGATGGGAGTAGTGTGAATTCAATACCATGGGCCGATGATGTGGTTAAACAAAACCAAGAGCTATGGGAACGTGTCGAGCGAATGTTCTACGGTGAAGAAAGTCTACCAACAAACGATATCAAATTACGCAACGAAATTACCGAATGGACCAATCATTTCCCGTATCTACGCGTTACTGGCGAACAAATGCCAATCTACTTCAGTAACAATGTGATACCGAGCGACCCAAATTATGAGGAAGTATTTGCAAAACATCCGTCGTCATCGACGATGGCGACAACGGCGTACTTAGACCGAAAATCAGCTGTTTCGCATGTGAATCGCGCACAAGATGACAAATACCATCGATATACAGATGAGCCTAACGACAACACATTAGCAGATGACATAGAAAAGTGTTTGAGAATCACATCGGGACCATTACTATCACGACGAGCACAAAATAGTCGAACAGCTTATGGCGTACGCAGTACGATTGCATCGAATCAACTGGAAACCAATTTCACGCAATCAATGCAGAAACGAAATAAGCAAGGCCTCAAATCAGCACTGGTATCGGTTCGAAGCAATTATGATTTGGGTACACAATTTGCCCGCAAATTATACGGGTCATTTGATGTGGAGCGTTTGCATGCGGTGCCATACTCAGCGCGCTTCATAAAAATACCCACAATGAAAAGCGAAACTAGCGATCTGAACACGATCACCACAAACAAACCGAATATGATTCGTATCAAAACAGCAACACTGGTACCAATTAGTCGGCCATTGAGGAACTCAATCACGTTGCCGGCCATCAATATCGAACCGAAATACTTTGACCGCAATACAAGCGATGCAATATCGGCTTTAATCTATCAGAACAACACAAGCACAAAATCAACAACACGCTCACCACTGAAGTCTCTGAAAAAACGGTCTGAATCCGAATGAACCAAACTCTGACAAAACAAATGGAAGACTTTCAATTGATGATCGACTAATAATTCTGTTGAATTCAATTTGATATTCTTTTTGATTTGATCTCTGGTGTTTTTTTTCCCACACTCAATTTATCGCTTAGCCTTATTGAAAAATGGATAATCCATCAAAGAAAACACAATAAAGGAAATATTTTTGTCTAAAACCCAATGGTCATTTTATTTATAAATTTCTTCGAAAAAATTTCGGAGGCTAAAAGATGAAATGGTCATTGGCTGGTCGACGCACTTGGTTTGGGACTATTGCTGATAGGAGCGATGCTTTTATGCTGCGCTTTAATGATCATTGGATGGTCGGCCAAACGACGTTGCTATAAAAAGGTAAAATGTTTATTTAAAAAATAAACTCTATGAAATTGATAAGTGTTACCTCTACCTCAGCTTCAGGTTCGGCTGCGGCATCTGCAGCTTGTTGTGCTCTTTTCCGAGCAGCTTCGCCTCTTCGACGAATAGACATCGGCGAAGGCGGTATAATTTGGCTTGACGCACGAAAATGCCGAATTAGATCTTTGATCGCACTTTTATTTTCTTGGTTTGGTGTCATGCCAAACAGTTGGCAAAGCATCCTGTTCGTCGAACTGAAATGGAAAAAAAACAATCAATAGAAACGAACAATTGATCAATTATAGTATATTATACTTACGATGATTTAGTGACCGAATCATACAATTTGATGTTCCAACCGGCCGACTTCATGGATTCCAAGTGCGTCAATAGTTCAACCGCATCTTGAAAGTTTCTATAATCGATTTTACGAGCTTTGGACTTGAATCCGGATCCTCTCTTTGTTCTTGCCATCCTGTCTGAAAAGAAAGAGAATTTTGTTTATTATGTTATTATTGTCTTTACCTTTTTCATTTTTCTGTTCATTTTATTGTCTTTTTGCTTCTAAGTTCACTAGAAGGTTTTTCACCCTTTTTTCTGTTTTTTTTTCGTGAGTTCTCATCTTTGTATTTTTAACTGTTGCCACTTATAAATTGATGGCCTGAGAAGAAGAACCTTTCCTACAAAACCTGAGCGCAGAACACAAACACAGAAATTTTTTAGTCAGAAGGCGAACAGCAAATTTGCGAGCGCAAAAACCTAATATATTTACAGCGAGCGCAAAAGTATAACAAGCCTACTAGCATGCAAACTCTGTATAAGTAGGCCTGTTATGCTTTTGCTCTCGCTGTAAATATATTAGGTTTTTGCGCTCGCAAATTTGCTGTTCGCCTTTTGACTAAAAAATTTCTGTGTTTTTGTTCTGCGCACAGGTTTTGTAGGAAAGGTTTTTCTTCTCAGGCCGTCAATTTAGGTTTCATTATTTTAATTATTTTGTTAAATTTTGTGATCTAATTGAATTTGTATCAATTAGAGAGAAGATAATTGTGGAAATTTTCTTTAACCCTTTGACGACCAATGGGACACATATGTCCCATTTTGTTTTTCATCTGTAATAACTACATTTTTTAACCAATTTTAGTAAAATTGGTTTCGTTTGAAAGAGAATTAATGTAGCTATAAGAAAGTACCATAATATTGGATATTTATTGTAAACGCAATTGGATAGAACACTCTAAAGTAAAAAAATCTTAACTTTTTTTCAACTTTCGCCAAATGCTATATAATTTTAACGGTGGAACTTTTAAAGCTGAAAATTTGGAATAATGTGCGAAATGTCCATTACTTTCCAAAAATCATCGACTTTATTTAGAAAAAACGTTTTTTCCACTTTTTATTGCGTTTGGCGCGATGGGACATATGTGTCCCATTGGTAAAGGTAAATAAATACCCCGTATTTCCCTGTATTTTGGCCATTATTCGCGAATTTTCAAACACAAAAATTTACAAAAATATCATTAAATTCGTGATTAAATGGGCACAACAAAGCACAATTCAAACCATTTTCGGTTCAAAACAATTCTGAATATTTTAAAAACTAAAAAGATTTTACACGTAGTTCTTATGGGAGTCATATTTTTTCCCATACAAATGTAGTTACCGTTACCGACCAATGGGACATATATGTCCCATCATTTTTTTCATATTTCTAGTTAAAAAAATTAATTTTTGATAACATTTTTATTATGGTTTTTGGGGTCGCTGAGCACGAATCTGCAATCAGAATTGCAAAATTCCCATCCGTTCAATCTTGGCCGTCAAAGGGTTAAAAGTATACATTAAATAGTGGAGCAGCCATGCTTATTTACTTGCTAATAGTAATCAATTAGCTGTGATCTGCTTTCCCACTACTGCTTGAAAACATCAAAATCACAAAGGTATACATTTTAGCAGAATTTTCAAGTCGTTCTTTCAGAAAAAAATGCCGCAAAATTTCACAAAATAAAGGCCAAATTCGGATTCAGTGACTTCAAAAATACCAAAAATGAATATTTTGAGAAAAAAACACTTACCTCTTCTTACTTGTTTTGCCTTCGGAAATAGTGCCCATATACTACATATACGTGTTTTCGGCTATGAAGCTCGGTTGGAATTTTTTTTTGTTTCCTGATGGTTATTATTTTTCGATCCGAAGATTTGGCCAATTCTAAGAAAAAAAAGTGTATGGGTGAAAAAATTTTGGATTGTGTATTGACCCTCAAAAAGCCGTCACACACAATTGGCCAACTTTTGTTCGGGAAGCACCCTTATTCTGCATCCGATTAACTTGTGAGCAAACCAGCCCATAGATCTGATTGGCCAAGCACTTAAAATGTTTGTATAGATGCCAGCTACGATACTCAGGTTCTAGACTTGCCGATTTTTGGGAATTTAAGGAGATTATGTCCGGAAAAGAGGGCCGAAATTGTCATTTTTTCGTTAGAAATGCACACATTTTGACCCATATCTCGTGAACCACCTGACCGATTCTAACAATAAAGGCATCAAAATGCTCGTAAAGATATCCGCTTTCTATTGAAATTTACATTGGTAAGTGATTACTCGAGAATTTTGAAATCTCGAAAAGTGATACATATTTGCACTTTGGAGCCATTTTACACACTAAGAATACAACGAATATGGTTTCAATCAGACTAATTCAATGTAAAATTTTACGCTGAATCTTTTTCTACAAACAACTGTCTATGTAAAGTCATTGAAAGTAGGTGTAATGTTGATTTATCGACTGAAAATAAATGATTTTCATACATTTTGGAGCATTTTTTGGCCATATTTTACGTAGATGACTAAATTTGCATGCCTTAGCAACATTGTATTGAATATGTTTTGAATAAAAGGCGCAATTTCAAAAAAGGTCATCGCGGCCTTTTATGAATTACCAGTGGTACCAGTGTAAGTTAACACAACTATGTCAACAAATGGACGACAGAAGAGATCTACACCCAAAATATGAACAAAATCGGCCGAAACGTTCCCGAGATATTGTGTCTGAATATTAAGGAAAAAAACCAAAAAAATCTAATAGCTCTATACTTCATGTAGTGCTAATAAAAATGATGACGAATAATAAACCACCTTGTTTAGCTCGCAATTTGTGTGTTTTTTCATTTTATTTTTTTTTAATTACATTTTCTTTAACAATAAATGTCAACATTATTATATAATTTTATTTAATTTTTAGTTGTGTTCTTTTTAATGCTGATGAAGAATGAGCAAATTAAAGTGCAAATGGATTTTCGTAAAATCTCTCTCCTCTCCAATTTATTCTAGTTTGAATTCAATAAGGTATAAATAGCGTTAAAAGTTTTTGTTGTTGTTGTCATTGATTCTAAAAAGAAAACATGATATCGTGATTATTATTCATAGAAACGTTACGTTTAATGTGTTTATGTTCATTCTTAGTATCTGGTGATGAACGATATCCATGAATAATTGGTTGTTCTTCTTAAATTATTCATTGAATTAGCTTGTTTCATGGCAATTTTTTTGTCTTTCTCTTTGTTCGCAACACACATCAAAAGTCGTGTTATGTATGGTTCTGGTGCTGCAAAATTGCTAGAAATATATTCAATCGCAAGAAAAGAAGTGAATAGCGATCAAAACGGACACAGAATTTTTAAGTCTCTAATAGTAATCGAACATGGATTCGAATTGGTGACAGCCATCAAATTTTTTTCTTGGTTTCTTTTTCTCACATTACATTTTATGTACGAAACGAAACGATTTATTTAAACATGTGTTTTAAGACTTGACCGGAATGTGTATGTTGTTGCTGCGTGCAGCCACATCAACTGAACACACTTCGGTCGAGTCGTTGCGCCTGCACGTAGCAACACACGCCACTGTATTATACAGTATGCGTCGTCGATATGCTCGGATAAATCCGTACCTTACGAAATGCTGTGATGCTCAGCAATCTTAAAACACATGTTTGGATTTATTAGTTTTTTTTTGCTTTTGGTGTTTAGACCTTTGCTTGACTAGATGGATGCATCTCGGATGATGTATCTTAATTAATATGAAATACAGTTGTATTTGTTGTGTGCTCAAGAAAAATTATCAAATAGATTTTTACGGATTTGCTTACAAACGAATTACACAAACTGAAACAACAAAAATTTCCATTTATGTCTAGCTATGGCAAATTGTGTGTGTGTGTGTGTTTTTCAAGAACAATGATGTTTTGTAGCGGGGAGCGAGGGAGAGTGTACAATTGACTAAATGTTGATCAGATTCATCTGGCTATGACGATCTCAGGTGAAATTTATTGCTATAATGTAATTTGTTTTTAGCAGTTTAATACCACTAAAAAGAAGTGTCTCACGATTCTGATTGGTTTTTGTTTGTTTTTTTTTCTTCTTTTTTTTGGTTAGATTTTATGAACATTTTTATAAAAATGGAGAAACAAAATGGCGTTGGATCATCGAAAAAACACAATTTCGTGGAATATACACTTTTATCAAATAAAAAATTGTCTAAAAGAAAATGTTTTTTGTTTTTTATCGTATGAAGTGACTGATCCGAGTTAGTCCAAAATGAAATTTGATCATCAGTGTATTATTTAGTTGTTGTGTTGCATTTTCTTTTCACGTAAATTATTTCGGTTTCTTGGTGTTTTTTTTCCCTCTTTTCTATATGCTTTAACGTTCTATTTTTCTCCTGATTTGCAATATGAATTGTGAGTGGTTGTTTTTCTTCTTGTACACAAAACTGCCATACAAATAACTACAATTATTCTCAAAGAAGCGTATTTATTGTGAATAGTGTAAAGTGTAGAGAGAAATAATTACAATAAGAAATTTTTGGTTTGCTTGAGACAAAGTTAAATTACCAATGAGAGTGCGATAATTATGTGTACATCAATGCATCATAAGCTAGATCCAGGTTTATAACATTTTGCCGTTGCGTGGGTGACACCAAAAATGTTCGGCATGTGTCCGTTGTGGAAAATGTCATTAATAAAATGTATCGTAACATATATATATACGTCGAATGGTGTTAATTTGTTGTGTGTTTTTTTAAAGAGCATTTTGATTTTTCGATTTCGATTGCACCCAACGATTCATCTCGAAGAACTGAACGAATATGAAAACATTGTTCGAAAAATTTTTGTTTGGTTTTTTGGTTTTCTTCGTAAAAATGATCGACCAACATTTGATTGTGTTTTTAATTATTTCAAATATGACATAGAAATGATGTACACTTGGTATTGCATATTATTATGAGACACAACCTTGAAATTTCAATTTCGATGATACTTTGATGGTTCGAACGAAAACGATAAATGCATGGAATTAAAAACATTGACTGCGCAAATTGCGCCGGTGCGCGCGTCACCATACATTTGTTTAACATATACTTGTTTTCTGTGCGTTTTTTTCTTCTCCTTCTTCATTTTTAATTAAGTGTTTAGATCCGAAAGTTTGAGGAAAAAATGATAGCAACATAGACAAGATTTTTGTTTTTCACAAATGAGACAAAGAAATTTCAAGAATATGAAAGAATGTTTTTTGTTAGTTCGATGACCGATGATGATCAAATTAATGCGTTCAGCGTTTGCTTTGGATGATCTAAATATCTACAAAAAAAGAATTTGTTTATCTAATGTAAATTGTATTAATTTGCGTATGCAATGATTTTGTAGCTAGTATGCATTTCACTATTCATTTTTTTTTGGTTTTGCTTTAAGGTCAGACTCCGTTCTGGTTTATAGTCAACATAGAGACACGTGACCCTACAGAAGTGAAGAAAACGATTCGATTTGGTTTTCGGTGTTAGATTTTTTATAAAATGAAAAGTCGGATTTTTTTCTGTTATGTTTTGCTTAGTGGTATGGTCTACGAATTTGTATCGATTTCACGAAAACTTAGTGATTCAAAAGGGAAAATTTTGTACGCGAGGAGAAAAGAATTGAAAGGGGATGGTTGTAATATCAAAACGAAAATCACTCACTCTATCTCATCACATCATCTGATCGCCGAGTATTTCGATTCGTTTACAATTTTCAATTTTCTTTTTTTTTTTGGTTTTTCTTTTTGTTAAATGACTAAATCAATGTAACGTCAACGATAATATCCATAAATTGGTTTATTTTGTTTGTCTGTTTTCCTCTTCAGTTAATTAATTTTTATATGACTAATTCCTTAATTAAATGTTGAATCTTATTTTGTCTCATTTAAATACGTTTTCATCATTTAGCGGAAAAAGCTCGAATAATAAATCTGACATTTTAGTTTGGTTTTCTTTAGATAATTTATATATATATATTCATTCTTTCTATGTCTGGCATTCAATAAAAATTATTTTAATCGATTTTAAATCGCTTAATATTTACAAAATTTCTTTTTTTTCTTTAATATCATTCATATGGATCAATAATTTTTTTTACACTTGCTTTTGCTCATGAATTCTAGCCATATTTTTTTGTTTTTTGGTTTGTTCACATAAATTCATTTTATTTAATGCACTAATACATTTATGTAGCATAAATTAAATATTTCATGTTCATTGCCATTGTGTGTGTGTGTTGGTTTGCATTCTTGTAGTTGCACTTAATAGGATCTGCAATGAGTATTGCATGATCAATTTTTTTTATCACAAATTATCTTGATCAGCAAAAAAAAAATCCATTCCATTTATTGAAATTTGTTGTTAAAAATCAAATCAATGTTATGGATCGAATTTGCAATCATAATATTGCAAAAACATTTGTTTTTTTTCTACTCAGAGTTTGGAGCATTTTTCCAAACGAAAAATTTATCGACAGGGACAAAAATTTGTATCGAATCGTATTTGTTTTTTTTTTTTTTAATTTAGCTATTTAGGCGATCATCGTTAGCATTTTGTATCTTTACAGGCTATTGGCTTTTACAAAGTAGGTTTTTTCCATTCAATTTGTCTTAATTATTTGCTGTGTTTATTTCAATGAACTACGTACATATATTGCGCGACACATCGATAGAACACTGCTGATGATGATTTCAAAAGAAAAGAAAAACAACAACGAAAACGCTTAACGACCACATTTTGTTTAGTTCTAATGGTTTTTTTTATGCATCTAATTCGCATTACGGTCGAATCGTCACACTTTTCGACTAGTAAGTAGTCAACATAAAATTGATGCAATCGTTTTGCTTCGTCTCCGTATTGGAACATCACTACACACTCTCACACACATCGATTATGATTAATACGAATGAAAAATATTTGCAAACGTTGTTCGCGAGTTACATGAAATAAATGTGATGCTGAAATCATCCAATTTGAAATCACCGAAAAAATTTGCGATTCATGGAAATGGTGGTAGGGTAGTGGCTAGTTGTAGGAAAAATGTCAGCGCTCTATAGCTCGATACCACTTCGAAAGAGTGTGTTCGATTGAATAAGCCCATTTAAGAACAACATTTATTATGAATGGAGAGTGGAAATATTAATAGTTTGCTTTGGTTGAGTTGGACTGATTAAACTAGATGCTGATGGAACATGTATTAAAATTGGAAATCTATTAAATTGGATTTGATGTTTTTTTTTACCCTAAGAAAGACGATCTCAATAATCGCCGTTTTTATAATAACGAGTGTGTGGAATATTTCAATGGCGTTCGTTTTCATTTTGTCTCGCAAATGTTTTAGTCGCGGTATGTGTGTTTCGTTTTGCTGTGCTGTGATGTTTTGTTTCTCTTTCGAAGTGTGTGTGTTTTTCTCTTTCGGTTGAGGGAGAAGGTTTTTTCGTAGTTTGTGTTGATCAAAGTGCATGAAGTTCAGTCTACGGCACTAGATCCGATGAGTGAGGTTAAATTTTGGATTTTTTTCTGGTATAAATGTTTGCACCTTAGGGATTCTGTGGTGTTTTTTTTCATTTTTATTTATTTTTTTTTCACTCTTTTTCAGTTTTTGTCAATAGCCTAAGTTATACGCTAAATGTATAGCAATGTTTTCATGATTCGCACGTAACTAGAGATCGATATTAAGTCTGCTTTTATCTGCTTTTGTTAGAATTAATTCACATTAACTAGAGTTGTGTGTTTTTTTTCTGTCATTTTTTCTTTCTTTTCTTAATTAGGTGTTTCTTATTCTTTTTTGTTTTCTCTCACTATCAATAAATTTCAAATGTACAAACATTTTTCTTTTTCTTGTGTGTGTGTGTGACTAAGAGTTCATTTCTGACTAAGAGTTTTCTTCACTCTTTTAGCTTTGGTTCAATCATTGAACTATTTTTTTTTTGTTCAAAACTGTATTTATTCCTATTAACTAGAGCTAAATGTTGGTTTGTGTTAATTATTTGGTTTTTTTTTTTGGTTTCTATGATGTATCATCAAATTTAGATTGGTTTCATTCTTCTTTGTTTCTTTGCTTAGTGTTCAAAGTTTAGATTCGCATTCGTGTGTTGAGTGTAGCAAGCCTTACTGGTAGCGCCCCATGTGCCTGTCCACACCAAGCAAACAAAATAAAACAATACAAATAAAAAATCATCACTCGTCAAAACGTATGACAAACAGAAACAATATGATAATTTGAAACTAAAGGACGCGCATTTTATGCAATATAACCGAAAATTCGTACAATAACGACTAGGAATGGTGTGGCTAGCAAAGTGTTTTCATATGAAAGACGTGTGTTTGGTTTTTTTCTCTCCTGGCAATAGGTATTTATTCTATACATAAATCCTCGAAAACGAAAATCAACATATAGATCTAACCAAATTGAAACCAAAAATGAATGAAAAATTAAACTCAATCAGCCAATCAACATTTGAAAGAAAGGAAAAAAATGAACACTGCGGTTTTAGTGTTTTGAAAAAATACCACTTGCAAGTACGTAATATGCGATGTAATGCAATTCGAAGAAATTTATTTAAAAAATTTATTCAACTTTTTTGGTTTTTATTTCCGGTTGCGATAGTTTCTTGCTACTTCATTTATATGGTGGTCTAAAAGTGATAGATTGTGGTGTCTGAATTGGTGGCAACGCTGTATGATACGGCCGCCGCTTTTCGCAATCGCAATTTTCGCAAAATGAAATAAATTTTTCCAATAATTTTCTGATAAATGGTTTGAATGAATTGCATTACATTGCATATAGTGAATTTCTCCGTCGTTCATATGTACGAATAAGGGCCATCAGTTAAGGCGCTACACAGCAACAGTCAGGAGTTGTCATCTTTATTCGAACCACCACCACCTACACCGGCGCTCTGTGTATTCACATTGGTTGCACGACGCACTGACGGCGGTTTATACTCCAGTCCAGGATCGAATTGCATTAGAACAAAGACCTGCGTTGAAAAAAAGAAACATTCAGTCAATTAGAATGGGTACACGTATCAAATTAAGGAGAGTTTAATTTTTCGAAAAAAATGTAGTTCCAAAAATAATTACTTGGTCGGTTGGCAGTAGCGAAAAGTCATCCGGTGGATTTGTGATTACGTATCGTTTGCTACTCGCATCACAACTCGAGCTAGTGTCTCTAAATCTGTACAAGCCTATACAAAGCATGCCATAAGATTTTAAAGCCGCTACGAAAAGGTCACCGTATTTGCCAGCTTCACCAAACTGAGCCAGTGGTCCATCGTATAGTGAAATTTGCCCCACACGACATCTGCAAACATTGCGGTTGTTTTTTTTTTCAATTATTTTCACATTTTCAATGCACGTTGCAGTAGCATTTAGCTGATTAACAGCCACTCACCTGTCTCGATTGCTTAAACTATCTACAGTGCTATAACCGCCTCTAAGACCAGCACCTTCAGCCAAAATTAATTCCAGTTCAGGTGTTGCACCACCCGTAATTAATGATCGAATTAATGTTAAGGCGTTTTGATTAAAGTAAGTCTGCAATACAAAACAAAGATATTTTAATTAAACAAACCGTTCGCATCGAAAATACGCTAACCTTACCGTAGACATTAATGAATCTAATACGCTAACTGCAAATGCTGTGCCACAAGCAAACGGCTGTGTCAAATATAGTTCTGTATCCGGATCGTCGTCATCGTCTTGATCTAAGAACTGTACATTACTATCGTTAACTAATTCTATTGGAAGAAATGGAACAAGAGAGAATCGAATTGATTAGAACAAATGAAGCGGGCAATTTAGTCGGAGAAGAATTTGTTTGACATGCCTGTAATCATGGGAACATTTGCTCCATAGACCGATCCTCTTCTCTGTAACACTATCGGACTACCGGCTGTATTCATGTTATCGAATTCAGGACCACGTTGACTTAATACGCCTGTAAATGAAGAACACATTGCAAATTGGTTATATGGAAATCGGTTATTTATCGATTGGAAGTGCATATAGTGCATCTCTTACCTATAGTATCGTCAAAAGTCATTGCTTTGATGTTGAGTGATGCCAAAATTGCTTCTTTATCAGCTAACGTTGGATCATCGTTGCTGGGCACTTTTGCTGACAATATGCAACACATATCACATAAATTCACATTCACAGCGCGTAAATCGGCACGACTCAGTGGCGATCCATTCAGCACTGATATTTTTGGTAGATTTTGTAACATTTTCCATTCGCGTCGAATGTAATCCACCGAACCAACAATAACGACATGTTTGAGTTCGTGATAGTGAAAATTCGAGGCTCGTAACGGCATCACCAAATTTCGCAGCCCAATCAATGGTGAATCCGGATCGGCAAACAAACATACTACAACATGGCCATTGAGAACCGTCATCGCGGCTTGATTGCGATCCTGAACGAAATATGGAAAAATGTGTTTGAATTTGTGTTTTATAAAGAGGTCCATCTTTTTTTCTTCTCCTCATTTTCTGTGTTATTTATGATGATTTATTTCGAATTAAATCTGTTGACTCACCAAAATGCAATCCTCCAAATTGCGTGCAGGACTCCAATGAAACATTCCGGTTGAATCGTATTTCATTTCGGTTTTTTCGAAATCAAAGTCCTTGGATTGATCGTCGGCAATGCCGGCAGGCATTGATACGCCGTTACCTTGCTGTGTACCAGAACCACCGCCACGACTTGTCGGCCTTTATCGCCGAAAAGAGACAGATTTTTCCAGATTAAAACCATTTTATTAACGAAGAAATTGCTATGGTGCATGATGAAGGGGGATAATATTTGTATTCACAACCTGTAAACTACATGCTTGTTCCAACAGTTGAATACACAAATTTACAACAGAAAAGAAAAGGAAAACAAAACACACAAATCCAATAAAAGCAATCCAAACAAAAGAATAACGCTTTATTTTCAAAGAAAAAAAATGTTTGATGTGCAGCTTGATTAACAGCGATTATGTGAATTTAATGAACAATTTAAACCAAAAGCAATTTTCATTCCATGTTCCAACAGCTACAAAATCCATTTGATTTCTACACAACTCCAAATGAAAAGAAAACGAAACTACTAATTCGAACGACTCGAACAAAAGTCAATTCACTAGGATTTTATGTTAGAGTAAGTTAAAGCATACATGAGTTTTTTCACTTCATAAGCAAGTTGATAGCCCGCATACGGATTTGCTTCAGGTTCCGTAGGTCTGAAAAATGTCATGTTATCAAAGACGTTGATTTTTGTTAAATGTATCGGTTTTTTCCCTTTTCTTTTTTTTTTGTTTGTTTGTTTGTTTAAAGCTAAAATTATTTATAACAAAAATGAAACCAAAAAATTGCAACACTGATTAGGATGACAGTGACGAATTTCGGATTCGAAACAGAAGAGACAGAAACATTAGAAAAACCATTTCGGTGGATTGTTGATGAGTAAGCGCAAATTAAGTTTTTGTTTAACAGAATGTTGTTTTTTGTTTCATAAAAATAAATGATGGAAGACACACATGAATTGGGTGATGATGGTAAATAAAATGTTAATGATTTGTTTGCAGCCGCTTAGAAGCAGCAAAAAACATTGGTCGAACAAATGATAGAGACAGAGATGGAGAGAGACAAAAAAAAATACTCAAACAAAACTGTTGTTCTTTTTTTCGTTCTCGGAAAAAAGTTTCTCGTTAGGGTAAAAGTTGATGCGGTTGTCGGTCATACCTGTTGTACGTTGATGGTGAGACTGCATTATCTGGAGGTTGTCTATTTACATTTGGTTTGACTTTGTTAACTTGTTTAATGGAATTCACTTGCATATTGACCGCCTGCTGTTGCTGCTGTGGTCCAGTCTGTTGAGGCTGTTGTTGCGCGTTAAGTTGCTGCGATGAACCCGTAATACCGCCATTTGATCGTCGGTTTCGATTGATTACTGCAAGCATACACAGAAACCAGAACACATGAACATTGTGATGAGATTGGGCCCCGATTTGTACAAATAAAACCATTTAGTTGATTTGTTTTGTAGCAAAACTTTCATTTAACTCAATTTGTCTATTTTTAATTTATTTTCTTAATCAATTCCACTTACAGTTAATATCTTCCCGATCTCTAGTAATGTCAGCTGCAATGGTTTTTTTTTAGTGAATTAGATAGATTTTCTTGAAGATGTTGAATGGTTTATTTGTTTTGCATCGTTTGTGATTCAAAATGAGAGCAATTCAAATGTAAAATTTGCATCAACAACGCACAAACAAACGTCAATTAGTTAGCATAGAATTTGAATTGCCCCCATTTTGGGTGCAAAAGCACTGAAAAAAAAGTTTCGTGAAAATGGTTTATTTTCTCTTTGTACAAATGAAAACAGTGAGAAAAAAAAGACTCAGAACAGAAAAGCAAATTACATGTGTCAGCATGCATTCTCCTAATGACATGACTCTGTAACGATTATGAACATTTCGATAAAATGAGATGAATGCGAATCGATCTAACGAATTTGGAAATGGAAACGACAACCAAAGAATAAAGACCAAAAAAAATGCGAACTAAACTAATATTTTGAATGTTATTTTTAGTGTGTGGTTGGCCTGATGCATGATTTTGGTTAAATGAAAATGAGAATTCAACATTAGTTAGTTATAAGCAAATTACAAATTGATCAAAACAAACAACAAATTAGTAGTCAGTTGACTGTTTTTTTTTTCGTTTCAAATTTGGGTAATACGTTACACAATCACGATCAGAGGATTTACAACACAGATTCAGTAAAATTATACACCAGCACGAAATTACTTTTTGGAATATAGATTCTCTCGGTCAGGATTATATATTCAACCAAAAATTACAACGTACAATTTAATACGGATATATTCATAACATTGAATGAGATGCACGCATATATGATATTCAAGAAAAAGAAATTCAATAAAGAATTGAGTATGTGTGAGATACAGAGATATGTTTATATCTTTTCGTAGTGAGTTGAGTACTGATATTATACGGGTTTTTGATGGAGTATTTTCTTATTGTTTATTTTTTTCTTTAATTTTCTTCTTCAGGTTAAGGCAATACAAATAAAATATCAAATAGAGGTATGTTTGAACGATGCACATAAACTTGAAACTGAACCATAAGTTTTCATTGTTGTGAAAAGAGGATAGATATGGGAATAAAAGTGTACGCATGCAGGTTCCACAGAATATTTCGTTGGCATGTTTTTTTTTTATTCGTTCGGAGAGAGAAAACGACGTTTGAAACAAATTCGTTGACAAAAAACATTATTGGTATTGCAATACATGTTGTTTTTATGTTGACGGAGACAAACAGATAACAGAGTGTAAAAATAAGGACAAAACAAGCGAATGTGAGATACACAAAATATAAGGAGTTGAAATTTCGTATTTTTTGTTTTGTACGTTTGTTTGTTTCAAATCCAATTTCACAAACGTATCAAAATGGAATTTGTGGACAGCAAACACGATTGGAATTCGACAATGAATGTGTGTGATGTGTGAGACGGAAACAAAATGAAAATTTCTTTCGATTCGCTGAATAATCAAAAAATAAACCATTTTTTGTTGTTGTTGTTGTTGCTTTAAACGAAAAACCAAAAAAGTTCAACAGAAAGAAAAAGGAAGAGAACAAAAATGAAAGAAGGTGATTTTGTTGTTGTTGTTGTTGTTTGTGAATGAATTTTTTTTTGTTTGTGTGTGTTGGTTTCAAAAAGTTTACCGGCAGTGACTCCGCGCACATGTAAGCGCTTTGGAAGTTCTGGAGGAGTAAATGTAGGCGCGGGATGATGATCATCTGAAAGATTGCACAATAGTTTCATTTGACACATTCAGAACAAATGAACGCTCGGTATTTTGGTCACTAAAATTGGTGTATTTTTTTTGATGTTGTTGCAAATTAAATGTGTATGTGCTCTAGGTTTTAAATCGCAAAAAGCATTTGAAATATTCATTCTGATCTCGTGAAATGTCAGCGTTTGACTGAGACGATATTTTGGATTAGGTGATAAAAAGAAATACTACGAACAATATTGATAGAGAAAATAATAAATTGTGTCATAGTGAAGCGATTTTGAGTGTGAAATGAAAACATTCTGAATGTCTTTTTTTTAATTGGTGGTGGAGGTGTGTATGTGTTTGCTCCAAGTAGAGAAAACAACGACAGCGAATGTGAATTTGAAGTAATAGAAAAGAAGCAATCATTTGTGAGACATATAACATAAGTGGTGCATTGCACTGAAAAGCAGAAATATTGATGTTTTAACCATATTCTTCAAAGAGAAAGAAAGATAGTGTAATGCATTGATTCTAGGTGATCTACGAAGCAAGTCTTGATACATATGTACATATAGATACGCAGACATGCAGACAAATTGACAATATGACATAACAACAAATAAAATACTTGAAATAAAAAAGTAAGAGAGAGAGAGAGAGATCATGCACATTCCGACAACAACATTGCTATTCAGAGACAGAATCTAAATAATCAAATTTACAAAATTTGAATGACATTGGGCAGTCGAATTGGTTTTTTTTTTCTCGCAAATGTCATTCGGCAAAATGAGTGTCTTATTTTTTTCGTTTTGATTTTGTTTATCAGGTAGAGTACAGCTTCAATAAATCAGACTTAAGCAAATTATGAAGATTTACATTTTGTTTCATTGAATATTTGTTGAAAATGTATGTACAGAACGGAGGTTTTTTTGTCTTGTTTGTACAAATTGTGTGTGGTGTGTTATATGCATGATGGTGTTGGTTGGTGATAGTGTCTTTGTGTATTCTTGTGGTGATGTGAAAAAGTTGGTTGTTTTTTACGTTTGCCCTTCATGTGTTTCGGTGTCATTCGAATCCGGAACATAAACAAATTTTTTGACATTTTTTTTTGCTTTCTCCTTTGATTTGCTTTTGCTTTTGTGTTCATTCAATTTTATTTTACAGCTGAAGCTTTCCCGCATCTAAGACTCTATAACACGTTTATCTTGATTCTCTACTATTCTGTAACGACATATTGTTTGCTACGAGCATTGATTCTTTTTCATTCGCAATAAGCCAGTGCTTTTTCAGTTCAAATTCTAGCTCTTTACATTTTTTTTTTCGAATACTTTTCTTTTCTGTATCACCATCAAATTTTGTGGCAAAAAAACGGACTGGTAAATGATCGATTCTTCAATCTCACATTTTTTTTCTCATACCAATTGACTTCTCTTGTTCATGGCTTTTGTTTGCACGCAAAGCATTTTACCCTTAACAATTATAAATCAAATGAATCAACATTTCTTTTACTGTTGCTGTTGATGTTGTGATGAAAAACAATAATTACACAGATTGCTTGTTCATTGTTGGTTTTTTTTTGGTTTTTTTTTTTTTTTGGTTTGTATGAGCTGCAACAAAGGCATTCAGAACAATTCAAACACGAATAATAATTTTGAACAGGTGTTTAAGCAACATATATCTATATATTGCACATTGAGTAATATTTTCATACGGTACAAATGAAAAACTATGAGAGAGAGAGAGAGATAGACATATTTCAATGCCAGAACTTACTTGAGAACAAGTTGTCATCGTCTTCTTGGCCGCAAATTTAAATTTGTGTCAAATTGATATTTGTTCATTATTTATTGCGTGTGTTTTTGTTTGAGGTTTGATTCGCATTTGATAAATGTTTGTTCAATTATTTATTTTGGTATCATTCATTTCAAACAAGGAATGCAGATCGAAATTAAATGGAGTAGAGTGAGGTGGGAAATAAGAGCAAAATACCGAAAAAATATATAATAGATCAAAATTATGAACATTTACATTTGGTAAAGAAAATGGTATACGGTATTGTTTAAAAAAAAATCAATAGGAAAATGATTATGGTCCGACGAACGCCTGGCCACCACATCCCAAATTCCAAAGTGAAAATAAAAGAAGAGATAAACGTCGATAACTTAAAAACAAAGAACCAAAAATAAAACAAAAAAATCGTTACAATCGATGTGAGAAACAAACGACGAAAAACGAATCCCTATCCATGAACATGACCGAAGCTTTTCTCAGTTATACAAATACGTCTGATCAATAAATAACACACTGGCAACTTGAATGAGCTCTCTTTTACTTGTTTATAACGAACCAAAATACAAATGTTGGCAAAAGTGTCGCTGCGATTGGTTTGTGAGGGTTTACAATAAATGTGAATGTACAGTGTACACAGAGAATTATGCACAGGAGGTGGTGCACTTTGATCCCTGTCAAATATATTGCAACAAATATTGCGAATTGTGCCAGCAATGTATGTTTCATATGGTGGTTTTGGGGGTGAATAAAGGTGGTGAAATGACCCAGATTTTGGTTACAGAGAAGTACAGAGGTATAAAACAGATAGAAAGAGACGGTAGAGAGGGACAGAAATTGTGACGACGCTGACTCATTTTCTTGTATTTAGCAGATTTTTTTTTCTTCTGATGTTTTTCATTGTGATGATATTTATACTTTTTTGTATCATTACTTCTTACAATTAGTAATTTTGGTGTTTTAAATTGTCTATTTGTAAAAAAACAACAGAAAAATCATTTCGTCATTCGAATAAAATACACAAACTAAAACAAAACGATTGAATATTTCAGAGAAAAAAAAATGTTTCTGCTCTAAACAAACAAAAGTGGAAGAACAAATTGGTGAATCCTTCTTCCCACACACAGAAAAAAAAAAAAAAACGATTGTACCCGACAAAAGACTTGGTGGTTTAAAAAAAAAGAAGAAATCAAATGAATTACTTGACAATGAACATTAAGTAGACACTTGTACGAACTTAGACAAAGAACACACTACACAAAACACACACAACGAATCGAACGTTCGGATCTCTCATTAAATTGATTGTATTCAAAAGGATAATTCGTCTTATAGATTTCAAAAAAGAGAAACGAACTGAACGCCAGAAGAAAAAAGAATAAAATCGAAAACAAACAAATCAAATTGATCAAGATGAAGATTGAGAGTGAAAAGAAATAGAAAGAAACGAAACAACAAACACATTATCCATCTTCACTTGGCGAAGACTCACAAAATCAAACATAAACAAAGTGGTCGATATAATATGGTGTTTACTAATACGATAATCAACAAAATCACACAACGAATTACATTATCAACAGTATGTGTTTTTTCCAACAACCAAAAAAAATAACTTTTTGCTTTAGTTTCACTTGGATGTCAAAATAACAAATAAATAGAAGAAAATTGAGTGATTTTCCAAAATAAAATAAATACATATATATCAAGAGAAGAGAAGTTCAAGTATCCGAAAACAAATGGGTTCTCTTAAAATAATTGTTCATCATACAGAATAAGTAAACATCGAGACCCAACGAAAACATTATAACAGAAAATCGAACATAATGTCTAACCTGACAGAAGACAGAGACACAAAATACGAACTTTATACGAAGTGGAAAATACCAAGAAAAAAAAAGCAAAACAAAAACCAATTTCGTGATATTAGAAAGAAAAGAGTAGAAAATGAAAAACAGATCAAAAACAAAACGACTTCAACAGTTAATTCTTGCATAGAAAAACGGTTATTGCATCACGTTCGAAATTCATGAATCATAACCGATTCAAATTCAACCACGCGACGCTTATTTTCGTTTAATTAATCGGCTTACAGAACAAAAAAAAGTAGTTCAAGTCCGAGATACAAAAAAACAAACGAACGAATAATTTTTCTTTTTGTAAATTGCGAGAAAATAAATCAAAAGCCAAATTGAAAACGAACACAAGTGAGTGGAAAACCAACCAAAACGAACAAAACGGAAAATATTGAAATAAAACGAAAATGAAAACATTGAATTTTGGTTTCTTTGTTTTTTTTTTTTTTTTGATTTTGATTTTCATTTCAATGAGATACATACTTGCTCGTCCAACCATTTGTACGGCTCGGACGCCTTTCCTGAACGTGGCTGTCACTGTGGTGATCGAAAAAACAACAAAATGAGGTAATAAAAACGGAAACCATAAAACAAATGCAAATATGTTAATGTATGCGACATGGAGTACTGCAATTAGCTAGAGGTTTACAGAAAAAAGTTTTGGTTTTTGCTCATTTTCTTAATTTGACTTTTCCTCCTTTTTCATTTTTTTCTTCTTCTTCTTCTTCTACTTGTTCCACTTCTTCATCTCTTTTTCTTCTTCACTTTTTTTCTTCCATTCATATTTGCTTCAGTACCATTTCGATTATCTACGATAATAATAAAATGAGAGTATTCACACAATTTTCTTTTGCTTTTTACATTCCCAATTTTGGCAACTTAATAAACACCAGATTTAAATTCGGTTCTGTTTTGTTTGTTGTTGTTTTTTTCTTCAGCCTCTGTGGCTGTTGCTTCTTCTGGTTCATTTCAAATGATTGGCTTACCAAACTGGTTAACATTTATATATTCTCTCGTATACGGGCAGTAAAAATTGATTTAATTGGCACTTACTGACTACTGCAATACCCTGGGGAGGAGAGTTGTGCATTTTTGGCTTGAGTTCAATAGGGACTGGATTAAGATTAGACTACGGTGATCCTTATATATTTGTTTTTTTTCTGTTTTGGTGTGTATAGGCATAATGTAGCTCACAAAATGACCAACCGAAAAAAGGAGAAAAAAAAGAAAAAAAAAAGCCCAACAATCGTTTCGTTCGTATCAGATGCAATGGTTTTTGGCAAACTACATTCGGGATTTAGACTGAGCCATCGAGATAACACAAGCAATGAAAGAGTAAAGCCACAACAACACTTCCGTCGGATGGATATTTCTGTTGATGATGGTAAATATTTGTTTGTCTTGATTTTTTTTTAGATGCTGGCGTGAGATGCATAAACATGTAAGCCTGATCGGACCCATTGCAAACGAATTCGAATGTATCATCAGATGTTGCTTATCAGGGGGATATGATGACGGCGGAGGCGGGCGAGACATAGAGAGAAAATGCATTTAAAAAAAACGAGAGACTGGAGCAAAACACAGAGGAAGAGATGGAGACTCGCGCAGGGACCATAAAGAAAGCATTTCCGGGGAAAAGCACATTATCATGCGGCTTCTTGATGCATTCACCGCAAATATAGCAATTTCATCATTCGTGCACGCTGCTCTTCACAGTATAAAACATTCATATCGGAAACGAAACAACAGAGATATTTAGCAAAAGCGCCATCGATCCATTGGTCATAGTCGAGAATGTCGAATCTTATTTCAAAAAGCAAGAAGATTGATGGTTACAAATTAGACAAAACATAGACGACAACATTGAATTTCTTTTGGTGACAGGAGATAAAAAAAAACGGGGCAAAATGGATGTGCAACGAAGTAATGTGTATGTGTGGGTGTGTCTGTGATTTTTGATCGAATAACATTTGTGAAACGTTGACCATTTTTGATTTTATTTACAGCGATCGAGCTTTAACACATTTGCATCGTTCAAGCACCCATTTTCATATATGATGAGCTTTGGAATTGCTTTCAGGCGGCTGCTGATGATTGGTATTATTATTTGTAAATGGGTTTAGCGATATATTTTTATGTTATTCTCTTTATATTAGCGAACATATTCAGTGATGCCATACAATTCGGATTCAATATCGATTATACAATTGGTTTTAGTGATTTAGCGAAAATGACGAGCGATACAGTCAAAAGAAAATGATTAAATGAACATAGAAAAGCGCAGCTCGAGGTTTTAAATGCTTGATTAAAATGGCTTTAATTAGCTGGCACAGCACATGGACATTTTCATTGTCTAATTTTGCTTTTGTTTGATTTTACAACATCCAAAAGAACAATTAGAATGAGATTTTGTAAGAAAATGTATGTATTTGTTTTTTTTTTTATTTGGCGGCAATTGATTGCGGATTAGGATAAAAATAGACAAATAAGAGAGCTGTTTGAGTGAGAGAGATTTATATTCGTACCGTCGATGTATGTGTGACAAGCTGAATTCAGACCGTGTTTTACCATTCCAGTTTGCATCATAATCATGCCTACATCTGAAAGGGGCAAATCGTTTGTGCTATTTTAATTGTAATCAACACATCTAATTCTAAATTTGGTTTGTTTTAATATTTTCATTTGTGTACATTTTATTTTGTTGAGGATCAAACCAGAAAAAATAAAATAAAAAAAATGTCGTCTTTTGTTGGAAAAAATAAAATAAAACATCGAAAAAACACACACTTGAACCGATGAGCTCTTCGGTCATAAATCATCGTATTGGCGACTGTGTTTGTTATTTGTTTTGAATCACACTCACACCAAATTCGAGCTCCTATTGAGCGTTCGATTTTTCATGGCAATTGTTAAGTGAAATTTCAAAATGTTTTGAAATTTCTCCAAAGCGAAGCAACAAATTTGCTGACTAAAACTAAAAAAAAAATAATGAAAAAAAACATCTGATCTATCAAAACCAAGATTCACCGGCAAAATCAATCAAATCTCGATGTCGTTAGTATTTGTTGTGTTACATATGGCACCCAGGGTATTTCAGTAATTTAGACATGAAAATTTTTGTTGGCTACGATTGCCTTTGCATTAATATGGATTCGTAAAATTTCTTAAGTGTCTAATCTAAAAGTATATTCCAACATCGAACGAGTATGTGCGTCAATAAATTCCACTCTCTCTCTTCGACTGCAATCATCAAACTGATGCGAACTTCACCAACAAATTGAGGGTGTTTTTTTTTCATTTCTTCGTCATTCCTTAGTGTAGTTTCATTGTCATATATATTTATCCTTTGAGTGCGTAAATTGATTCAAACCTAACCGTTTCGTATGTCTGTAGGTGTAATAGTGTTTTGATTTTATTTTATACAAAAAATTAGAGATAAGATTTTATAAAAATAAGTAACAGAAGGAATAGTAATATCAACAACATTATGCAGTCTGAACGTAGGGTGATTCATTGATTTGTTTTTTTTTTGGTTATTGCTGAATTTTGATTCAGGTAGGTATTTTGTTGTTGTTTTTAATAATAAAGTTATCATTAAAGAAACATGCTCAATTAAAGCGGTTTTGTGCAGTTGTATATTTAAAGATAAATGAAACATAGTTTTGATCCATGATTCCGTTTCTATTCGATTAGCGTAAAGTGAAAGTTGAAAGAGATTTAATTGTTGTGTATGGTTCTATGATTGAAAACAAAATTTTGATTGATGTTTAGATTGTTGTGGATTTTTTTTTGTTATTGTTGTTGTTGTTGTCTGTGCTAATCTAATTTGTTCATATTTGTTTTAGTTCACAACCAAAGAGAGATAGACAGAGCGAGAGAAAGAGAAAGAATTTTGGTTTTCATGCAATCGAAATCGGCGCAAAAATCATGGTCATTTTTTTTTTGGTATGCGAATATGTGTGTGGGTGTGTGTGGATTATTTCCAGTGGCAAAACATCGGTCTCATTTCTACGGACACCGCATCCGATTTGCGCACTGGTGCAAAGGAAATTAATTGTTAAACTATGAATAGAGTTAAATATATAGTAAATGTATCTAAAGAATATTGATAAATTTGACGGAGGGTGAAGGGCGGACGGACGAGGAAGTCGGGTAATGGACAGAGCAACAGACAATAGACAGAATTGGGAGAAAAACGAAAGTTCGTTGAGATTGATGCTTAAGGCAAATTATTAAACCCAATGAAAATCAAAATCAATCCATTATTATGTATATTAAATCAATTGGAATTAGCACAATTTTTTTTTCTCTTATTTCTGGATCAATCATATCAAATCAAGCGTTAGACATATTTTATGTACATAGTTATATGCATGTTGTCAATAAGGATAATCGAAAACTCGACCGATTGATTCATGACATCACATGATATAAGGAAACCGAATTTTGTTAGAGGAACTTTCAAGCGAAATTTTTTTTTCGCATTGAAGTTAAAATGCAAACAGAATACAGTGAGAGATGTATCAGGAATATCAAATTAGAGCAGCCAATGAAACCAACCAAAATATAAAGAAAAACAATGAAACTGAAGTATAGATACATTGATTTCGGATTGCAATTAGAAGAAAAGATGAGATATATTTACGGTTAGCAAATATCTCAGAAAACAGATGTGAAAAAGAAAATAGAACTAAAACAGGGACACGGAAGTATGGCTGAGGTGAATTGACAAGAAATTTTGTTGTTGTTGTTGTTTTTTTTTCCTTTGGTGGCAAGAATCATATATCAGTCGATTATTTATATTAACATATGGAACAATCTACACAAATAGAGATAGATGTAAGTATGTATAATGTATATATTTAAATATGGGGGCAAGGATGGGGCAGATTATTGTAAAATAAACTTTTATATAAAAAATAACGAAACTTTCATAGATAATTTGATTGATTTGAAAAATAAAATAAATGCATCAATTGAAATGTAAGATATGAGAGAGAGAGAGAGAGAGATAGAGAGAGAGATTGGGATATTCAGTTTAATTTGTTTACCTAAATCACCGAATTTATTCCTGGGTTGAGCAGTCACTGTATTGATTTTTGTATAGGTTTTTTTTGTTTGTTTAGTTTTTTTTTAAATTTTTTTTTAATCATTTTGGAATTTTTTTTTTGGGTGTTTAAATTGTAGTGTGATTGAAGGTGACACACCCCAAAAGAAAAACATTTGATAAATATTAGAAGAATATTGTTGTTGATATTATTAAAAATATGTATCTAACTCTTTTGGTTGGTCTAAAAATCCTTATGCTTAAGCTTATTAAAGTCTATATATTATTAGATTATTATGAATAAAATGGGTTTGTTCAAGAATGTGTGTTCTTATTTTTTTTGGCTTTAAAAGTGAATATTTCATAAATGGCACGTATTTTCGTTTTGAATGTGTTTCATCAAAACGGAAACACTTCCATTCGAATTTATCTTGACTTAATATTTTTCTTCCTTTATTCTCAAAAACATAACATTTTCATATAGAGATAGATATAGATATATTTAGAAAAATATCAAAAATTGGGGGAAAAAAGTGAATTCAAGAAATAAAATTCATTCTTTTTCGTTGTTTATTTTATTATTGTTATCAGTCAGACCCGTTCCAATGTGTACAATAAAGTTGAACAATTTTCCGATTGTCACACGTACAATTGTTCTTTATATCCTTAATGGAATACCTTGAATTCACTTTTTTTTTGATGTCCCCGTTTTTTTTATGACCAAAGTTTATGATTGGATCGATTCTGCTGTTACACGAACCAAAAGTTCCAATGATAAACTCATTTCAAACCAAATAATAGAAACCAAAAAGAAGAACGAATAATTGTCGATGGAATTATTTTGGGATAGTACTTACAATTTTTACATTTACACTTTTTGATTAACGTTTCGTCTTTTATGTCATCGTGGCAGGCTTTACAGTAAAACCAAGCGCTGGCCATGGAAGAGACAAGAAAAAGAAACAATAAAATATATTTCCATCGATTTTCTCATGGTATGTATGTATGGTACAAAGGTTTTTTTTTCATAAATGGATGCGATATTTACCGTTTGACTTCATCGGCACTTTGAGCTATGAAAAATCCTTGTGTGTTCGCTTGTATCTTAGCACCACGTGGGTTTATGGAAATTTTACTATCGGCACCTTCTTCCGTTGCTTTAATCTCAATCGCCAACAGAAGCAGCTTTAATTTCGTAAAGCATAATCTATTCGTAGATGAACAACATTTGCACAAAGATTAGAATACATCAAATTTATTTGACTGAATTGAACAAACAGCAAAATGTTCAACTTAAAACCGAAAGAAAAATAACGATAAATCAACAAATGAATCAATATTATCTGGCGGAAACGGTTTTAAAGCAAATGAATTGTATGTATGTATCGTACTATATAAGTAAGCAATAAAAATAAAGTTCGATTTCAAGGTAAACGAAAGTGAAAAGAGGCGAAAAAACTGAAACAGAGTGAACGAAATGAATGGAAAAAAAGAAAAACATACACAATGGTGTACAAGAAAACGAAACCAGAATCTAAATGAAACGAGATCACTGAGTGTGTGTGTGTGTGTGAGAGAGAGAGAGAGAGAGAGAGAGAGAGAGTGTATGTGTGAACTGTAATTGATGAGTGGGTCAATGTCGTGACTTTGTTTACCGATTACAGTTTCAACGAATTGATTTGTTGCATTTTATAGAAATATTAAGCGAATTGAATACAAAATAATGGTTGTTTCTTCCGGTTGGAATTTTTTTTTCAATTCAAAGGGTGGATATAGGAAGGAAAGTATGTGAAAACAAACTGTCAAGTTTAAATCTATGAGATATGTCATGTATACAGTGAAAATAGCGATTACAAAGCTCATCGATTTGTGTTTAGAAGTAATACATTTGACTCTGTTAGTTTTTCAGGCTAAAATTTGCTTTTTTTCTGTTTGGGTATTTTGCCAATTTGTTTGGATTTATATCCATTGTTCAAATTTAAGAGATAGAAAGAGAGAAAAAAAATATTGTTAACATAATGAATGTGTTTTGTTGTTTTTTTTTTGTTTTGTTCGTTTTGTTCAAATTGCAATTTACATGCTTTGTATAATGATAAAATTTGAGGCCAATTCCGCTCTATGAATAATCCACATTCGAAAATCACACGAAACATATCATGCAAATTCGATTTGCAATTCAAAAATACATAATTCAACAAAGCCAATTAGAGTATATATAATTTTGCAATAATGGTTTAGGCTGTGTGTGTGTGTGTGTGGGACAAATGTTATTATTTAGTTGTTTTCAAAATTGCGGTTTTTCAACAGATGCGTGTCTTCTAAATGAATATGTTCAATTATCAGAAGTATGCATAAGCCATCACAATTATGTACATCAAATACACAGAGCGATGCCGGTTTAGGTTATTTATTTTTCAGTTTGAATATGTTTCGAATTATTTCAAAGCAACGAAATTTAATACGGTTAATTGGAATGTAATACAAAGCATACATCATAGATGGCATACAAACTGTATGATTTTGCAGCATGTGAAATGAATTTGGTTTTTTTTCTCGATTGAAAATGGGCGGTTTAGCCTTTTTTCATTTTCTGTATCTGATTTTCTGTAAACAAAGCAAGTCTATATGCAAAGAACACAACTGATCAATAAAAGCATTTTTAGTAACAAAAAAGCTCAAGCTTTGGTTTGACGGCATTCAAAAGCTTTCTATCATTTCTATATATGTTTTAATCTCGTCGAATAGGTTAAATTAAAACAAAAACTTTCTTCAAAATTGAACAGAGATAGAGATCCCAAAAATGGAATTAACAAAAATGAATTCGATCGATAAAAATGTGTTGAATCGTCTTAGTTCGAAAATAAAGGCATTATTTGATGAAAGAGGATGTATTTTGAAAATAAACGTAATTTATTTCGGAAATTCAAAGGAAATCAATGTAGATGCTTGCGTTATTGGCAACGTGATTACAAAGTCAAGATCAAAAAAAAAATGAATCGATTGGATCGAAAAGACTAAAAATGGTTAAATGTCAAAATGTTCAATTCGTGTTTTGGCTGGGTTATTTATTCGTTTGTTTCTTTTATATCTCAATTTGATGTAGTTTCGTTAGGGGGGGGGGGGAATGAGAGAGACAGATAGAGACAAAAAAAAAACAACGGAAAAATCAAATCAAAGAAAATACTAGTACAGTTAGTGTGTTTGTGTGTGTGACTAAAGGTTCTTACTCGCTGGCTTGCGGGAAAGTCATGCCAGTAAATGAAGGTGATAAGGTTTCAGTGTACATCTCACATCCTGTACCCTGTAGATAATCGTTTTGCCATGCCTGCGTATCTGGCGACTGTAAAATAATAACCAAATACCAAACAATGTTTTTGTTTAGGCCCGATTATTCTGTTGGTGGTGGTAGTGGTGGTTTTGTATGTTTTGGTGGTTTTTTTTTCTGTTGATATGATTTAATTTTGGTTATCGCCCCTATCCAATTGTCATTTACTCAACAACAAAACTAAAAACCAATGACAGACGCGTCATGCGAATATCCGTTATTCGCATCAAAATCCAAAACCCCTTTTCAATATGATTAATTGCAAAAGAATCATGATTTCAAACGTTCATTCTCATTAAAGTATCGCTAGAAAAACAAAATCAAACAGAACACAGAATCGTAGTGGAATTAACAGTTCAAATGGAATGAATGTGTTAGTGTGTGAACAAGGCTTATTCACAAACGAACAGAAGAAAAAAAAAACGTTCATCCAAATGGTGGTCCTCACGTTGCCTTTGTTGGTTGCCTTACATAAAAGCTGACAAAACTGATTGGAAAAAAACGCGTTAGAAAAAAATACAAAATGAAAACGATTCGATTGCTGATTGAAATCACTGACGATCCATTGCAGGTTCAAAAACAAACAAACCAAAAAAAAACATGAAAACCTATTTTCATTTTCTCCTCCTCATTTATGCACACTTACAAAGCAAAACATAAACACTGCGGCAGCAAAGTAAACAGATAATCAACGGTAGTATATTTGCGATTAATTTTCTCATCATTTCATCTTGAGACGAATGTTATCCACATTTGTATCATCTTTTTTTTTATTTATGTTCATTCTCTCATTTTCCATTCATCGCTCAAAGAAAATTAATCACGCAAATATTTGATTCGGTGAGATTGATTCTCATTTCAATATATATGCATCATCCAGGAAATTCGAACAAAATATTTGTGTGGTTCGATATTAAAATGCACAACATCAAACACAACAATGAAACGATAGAGAAAAAAAAAACAAGTGTGAGAGAGTGAGAGAGAGTAAAAACATCAAATATTAAGCTACGACATATGGATTTTTTATTTTGGAATGTGCCAGCCAAATTCCAGTTGTTTGCTCTGTTGATGAATCGCTATCGATCAAGGCTGGCACACACGCACAACATTATGCCCATTTGATAATATTAGTATTGATTTCAAGAGTTATCAAACAGAAAATTTGTGAATGGCGGCGCTACTGGTTTCAAACATTAGCAAATCCATTATGGTGCTGCATTTCGGGTAATGGAATTGCCATTTGCCTGCGACTCAAGCTCCATTAAGACTCAAAACCACAAATACACACACGTACACATTTAAAAGCAAATAGGTTGGCTACGGAAGCTCTTCCATTGTCTATATACGTGGTGAAATGAATGATTTGTGATTATACTGGCGCAAAACATACACAATCACTCGTCTACATTCTTCTACATTATTCAGTTTCAATTTTTTCTGTGTGATTCAGAGCAAAAGAGAGGAAGAAAGAGAGCGCTCGCGTGCGAGAGAGATAGAGAGACAGAGAGACAGAGAGTATGAGACAGAAACCAAACACTTTGATGACAATTAAATCGTTAATGAGAAATTAAAACAAAGCCAGATTTACACCACGCAATTAATCATTTTATAAGTTGACCACTGGGAAATCACATTGTGGAAAGTGCATTCAACCGTTTTTTGCATTGATGTTTTCCCCATTCGCTTATTAATACTTGTTTTTTTTTTGTGTTTTGCTTTACAAATACAACAATGAACAACGATTTTAACATCAAAAACGCACACACAATATATTTGCAGATTTCATAAAAAATTATGTTGAAATAGCAGCGGATCCCTTAAGAGTTATGACAACAACGAATTAACGAAAGAAATAAAAAACGTATGAGAAAAAATAATGTATGCTCACATTCGAATACTTGTGCACGGACAACATTCAACTCGACTACGTGTTTTCTAGAGATTCGAGAGAGTTAAGCTCAGTGTGCAAAGATAGAAGAGACAGAGAGAAAGAGCGAGAGAGCGAGAGATAGATTGTGTAGTTTTAGTACTTTAGCATGAGTATTCGATGCGAGCACACAAGAAATGTACAATATGAAGATGATTTGCATTGAATCAAGACGGATAATAGAATCAATGTGGGGCAAATGGATTGTCGGATGTTTCAAATCGGATTCCCACCGTGCGTATTAAATGCGCGCTCATTCGTTCAGCCACTTTCCCTCCCCCCTCCCCTTCCGAGTGGCCCGCATCTCATCTAATTATATTATTCGCTTGAGCTCAACACAATTCAATTGATACATCGTCTAACTGCGTGAATGTTTCTTGTCTGTTACTTTCGAAATTCAATTCGATAATTGTATTGTTTGTTCGATAGGTATATGTATAGAGTATTGGTTTTTTATTTTTTTTATTTTAATGTGGTTTCGTATATGCTGATTCATCCGCAAATGAAAATAACAATGCGTGGAAATTTCACTTGTGGAAACTTACTCAGTGGCTTGCGCGAATGGCATGCCAATAAAGGACGGACTTAATGTTTCCGTATACATTTCCATGCCGGAGCCGCGCAGATATTCATTTGTCCATATTTGCATGTCCGGTGACTAAATATTAATTAATACAATAGTTTTCAATTGTTTTTTTCTTCCTTTTTTTGTGTGTTTTGTTTCGAATAACAATTTGACAGAATTGTCAGTTGCTCAAAATTGGTAACGGGGTTCAGACCCCCCCTACCCGCATTGAAATTAGTTATTCTCGATGCTGCTTCCCATGCGATTGAAAACAGTATCCTATCGTTGAAATTACATCATTTTCTGGGCCATTGCACAAGGATACTTACATACAAAGTGTCGCGCAAACAAATGATTCGGATTTTAGGCCATGTGTTTTCTTATACATATCATTTGGTTTGACACAATTTCGTCAGGCCATGACTTCCATGAAATATTGTCTTTGTATTGAACCATGTGCATTGGACCACAATCATTTCGACAGAAACCAAAATAAAAAATCTCTAATTCTAAACACTGATTCCAATCATACGGTGTAATTCAATTCAACTATAGAATATAGAAAACTGCATTACCAAAAAAGACTCATGTTTTGTTTTATACAAACATTTTCACGTTCGCACTTATTCTCTCACTTAAAATTAAATTCCATCAATATATTCTTTGCCTTATGTCAAATTAGAAAATTAGTTCTTTTTTCTTTCGACAAATTGTATCCTAGGGTATTAGTTCAAAAGTGTGTGTGTGTGTGTGTGTGTGTAAGTGCATAAATTGTATGGGAATAGAGCATACTAACCGTTTTGAATGATCTCATCGCAAAGAGGTTAGCCATCATGGTTGAAAAACCAGGCGCTAGGCAACTTTGTGCAATGAAGCCCAATTTCAGTTCAGCCAAACATATCACATCGTCTCCTTGCTTCCAATCCCACGATGGGATATTGAGTAAATAAGCCTGCACGCGGACGGATGGAAGAAAAGAGAATATTCCATTCAGTTTCACTTAATAAGTGTGTCATTCGAATTGATTTTCGAAAAAGGTTTTTGGCATTCGCTGGACGATAAATACCTTATTATGATATTGCATCAGTTGAATGATAACTCGAATGTCATCGCTGTAATTTTTTATCGAAATAACTCGCATAATATTGGCAGCATCCTCGGCGTCCGGATCTTGACAGTATTTATTGGCTAAAACTAAACAGGCATCAGCTTCGTGTACCTAAATAATAATTCAGAGATGAAAACAATATGCGATCAATTATCGGTGCATCACAATGGCCACGGCTACAGCTGAAATAAACAATTGCTTCGAATGTTGTTGAGCGTATCCTTTTTCTCGCTCTATTTATCGCTTTTTTTCATCTCTTTTTTCTGGCAAGTTCATTCATTACATGTTCCATTCCATCCATGGATGAATGGGTGAGTCACGCCGAGAAAAAGGAAACCTTCAACAACGTCAATGTTAAAAGCTATAGTTATGTGTATTGCATTTGAGAGAGATTTCAAGAAAAAAAAGTATATGTTTCGATTGATTTCATGTTTCAGATGAGTTATTTGTTTTTTTTTTTTTTGTTATTCATTTTCTTCATTTCTTCCAGTAGAGTGGGTTTTAAAATTGTCAAAACAAAAATTATAGAATAAAAATGAAATGTGTTTAACATGTGTTAAGAAGAAGAAGTAGAAGCTAAAAGCACTAGTTGTTCAAAGTGGAATGCATGTGAAATGTTGAATTAATTTCATCGTCATCGCATTTCCATTTCTCAACTGGAAATGAATCGTTTCGTTCGAATTCATTTCACATGCATCCGTTTTGCTGAGAATTTTCACGCAAGCACATTCCCCACATCGAATTTAAAATAATGTGTTTCAAAGCACTACGACTATTCAAGCATTCTAAAGTGAGGTCAACGTGCACATTTTGTGTTCATTCGCTCTGGATATATACAGTTGTGAACATCGATTCTAACAATTTGGCTAAATAATTTTGTTTTGGACCTAAAAATTGATATTGCAGCATCTATATGTACAATTGTTTGCTTCGTTCAAAATATGGTTATAAAGAGGTTTTTTTTTTGCTGAACGGCATATGGATTTGGTTTTTACTAAGAAAAAGGGACCAATACAACATCAAATACGATTTTCGTTCGAATGAGTGAGAAGTAATTTAGTCGAAAATTTGCCGCCATTTTGAATTCATTTACGGAATATTGGTCTCTTTTCGCAATTTCGAAAGAAAATGATAAACGAAATGAAAAACAATTTTGAGCTATTCCGACGCAAAGAAAATTGCGATTGCTATCAAGTAAGCAGAATGAAGAGGGTATAGAAAATCGTTAATGAATAAATTATAGGACCTATATTGAGATTCAGAAGGTGGAAAGGACTCATTACTCTGACGGCCGACTTACCAAACTTGATGCTTATTTTTTGCGCAGGTATGAAATTACACCTATTTTCCTATGACTAGACTCTCATCAGAAGGGTTGAAGGAGTATAATATATAAAATGATAAAATTGGATTTTCAGACGTCGTGCGATTTTCAAACAGAGTCACAATATAAATCGTGCTTGAAATGGTGTATGGCTCTATGCCATAAACATTTTAGAAGAGAGAAAGAGGATGGTTAAGGACTGAAACAGGATCGTCTGGCAAAACTGGTCGCTAAAATGGAGACGTTAGAAAAAAAATCTAATTTTGCACAGTTATTAATTAAACTTGCATAAATGTTGGCCATGATTTTCGGTTGAAGAGCCGAATGCCTCGGCTGAATGAATCGGATTTAAAAAAAATCTTCTCAAAAATGCAAAATAAGTGTTTACAGTGTTTTCGTAATTAATAGTTATAAGTGGTATGTTTTGATTGTTGTTGTAGTTGCCGTTTTGTTACTTTGTTTTCATTTATACGTTTTTTTTTTGTTTTTTAAACACAAAACAAGTGGTGAATGCAGTTATACAACTATCCGCAGATTAGCTGTTCTACCTTTGGTTTTTTTTTTCATTTGGTTCATTGATACCACAAAATGGCCATAAGCACAAACTAAATTATACACACAAACGCGCACAACGAACCAAAACCAACAAAAATTTGAGTATGAAAACCCAAACGGTAATTCAACTGAGAACAAATGAAAAATACACTTACACACAAAACCAAAAAATCAATCGAAATGAAATAAACAATATGGGAAAATACGGAAAACATCGTCAAACTAATTCTGAGCGTTCATCTTAAACGGGACTTCAATGCATTTTCCCATTTGCAGCATCCAGAGGCACGCTATTGAGCTTTTGAGCGCAAGTCAAATAACACTTTTTTCTTCGAAAAGCAATTGCGGTCTCATCATTCAGGATGCTGTCGAATGGGTATACAGAATAAAGTTCAATTTGAAAATTGGCTCAAAATTAATGATACTACTAGGTTTACTTTCCATTGATTTTTTTTTTTAAATTTAAAATCACACACACACAGACATTGATAATCTAATTTGGTCAAAAGTTCAAATCAAGACAAACGAAAAATGAAAACTAAGGAAATAAACCCAAAATTAAAAGATTAAAAGTTACAAACGATTTAAAAAGATAGAAATTAAAAAAAACAACAACAACGAAAACGGTATTTGGGTGCCACAACATTTGCAGGTTTTTTTTCGTATTGAAAATCTCTTGAAAATTTATTCAAGTTGTAAACAAAAACTGGAATACGTATGGTAAATAATACACGAAATCGCCTAGCATTAGTTTTTTTTTATTCAAAGTTCCCTTTCTTTTACTGTATTTTTTATTTCTTTTTTTTGGTTATTTGTGTGTTTAGTACATATTCTTTTGGATTAAAAACAAAAATTGGAAAATATATGTTTGGTTAGCTTTATTGGTTTTGTACAAATAATAGCACCATCTTATGCAAAAATGGCTTTACCTTAACGCGTTGCAGATCGATGGGATTCATAATAGTTCCTTGGAAGAATTCCACCGTTGTAAAATGACGTTTAAATAGCCCTTCTAATTCCAAGTCAGGTGGTTTTCTGATTTATTTTTTGAATTTGTTTGTATCGAATGCATTTTTTGTGTGTTTGGATTTTTGTTTATGTTTCGGAACATTTGTCGTTTTATTTGGTTTGATTCGATCGATTTGCAATTTTTCGCAAGAGAAAACAACGGTTTCGGTATCGAGTGAATTGGTTGGTTGAAAATATCGAAGGATGGAGAGGAATTCATATTTGCATTTTTTTTTTTTTTTTCATTGTTTCGAATTGAGTCGATGCAGAGCAGAGCAGTTGAGTGTGTGTATAAATATTTGTGTGTTTTTTTTCCAAAAAAAGAAGATGAAAAAAAAGAAGAAAACAAGTGCGAAAAATTGAATAAAATATTAAATAATGTGAATTCGGTTAGTTGTTATTGTTGTAATGCTGTAAATCGATTACGACAGTTAAGTTAGATTTGATAAATTAAATGTTGGGGAGATTTTAAGTGAAAATGGAGGATTTGTTTGGGAGCTTATTTGCTAAAAATTTTGTTACTGCAAAATTTAATTTCAATTTTCCTTTTTTTCTTTCTTTATTCAATTTTCAAAACAGAATTAAAGAATCAAATCGCTGCAAATAAATCCATTCCAAGAAGTGTGCGGTTTTGATGATTCAGACAGCTGGTGTTAGTTTAGATAGAAAAATGGTGTCAGTAATTGTTTGTTGTTTTTGGAGGGAAGAGGATTGGAGATTGCAATTTTAATGAACCAAAATGAAAATGCATCCATAAACCCTTCAAAAAATCAAAGATGGTGAAAAAGAAATTGGTGCGCTGAAGTCAAATGACGAATTGAAATCGGAAATTATTGTTTTTGTCGCCAATTTTGCGGTATAATATAACAAAATGCTGCAATCTAAGCAATAAAAGAAAATCCTTGCATCATCTTCTATCATGCATTCCAACGAATATTTTGATTATAAAATGAAAAAAAAATCCTTAAAATTCCTTTAACTTTTGACTGAAATCAGTTTGGACAGATTCAATTGAAATTTACAAGATGAAACAACCAAAAAACAAAATATGTTCTTTCGTTCAGAAAAAAAAAAATATATATATCCATTATATACACGTATGAGTGGTTGTAAACACAAGGCGACGTTGCCCACATTCCGCAACTGAAGATCGTCAAGAGAGATATAAATTATTCAATATTATTAACTAAAAAAGCAGTATAAATCAAATGATCGCCATATTTTTGTTTTCTATTAATTATAATATTGCCAAAGTATAAAAAAAAACTAAATGATATCTGTCTTAAATACGACACTACGATGTATCATTTAAATGGAAAAAAAGAGAAACATTTGAGTTTCGTTTCGGCTAATAAATCGAAATTTCGAATATGAGTAAATGGATATAAATAACAACGAAAGAAATCAAATGATATACAAATATGTATATATAGATAATTGTTCTACCCAAAACTAAACGGATCAAATGTCAACGGAACTATATTGTGGAAATTCTGAAATAATTGCTTTTGTTTTTTTTGTTTACATTGTTATTCGCATATTTGTTGCATATAAATAGCATAATTGGAATTAGGACAGTTCCGACGGTAACGACTTCGATTAACAATGGCTATTATTGAAATTCCTTGCGGTGAGACTCGATGCGTCGCACTGACGCAAATTGCGCGCACATCACATTGCTGTGCAAGCGATCGTTGCATGTCTGAGCATTGTAGCAAAGCCGGCCGAAAAGAAGAGAAAAAAAACACAAATAACGCGTACATTTTCAGTATTTCCCTAATATATCGTTGCGATTCATAACATACGAGTAGAGATCGAGACATGTGGAAAACTAAATCAGAACAATGAAATAAACAGCGAGAGAGATAGAGAGAAAGAAACAGACAGACAGCGTTCGTGAGCAATCAATTCGTCGAGACAAACAGAATTTGTGCTCAATGCGATGAATATAAATATTGACATACAGAGCCACTTATTGTGATTTTGCTATTCGTTTGGTTTTTTTCTGTTTGATTTGTCAAACGATTAAAATGAAAAATGAATGGATCGATTTATTTTTTTTTTGTCAAGAAAAAGAACAAACAAAAACTGAAACGAAAACCGAAAGAAAAAGAAAACGGTGAAAAATGCAATGAGAAAACACAATAAGTCATCTAAGTAGTTGAAATGGAGTTTGAATTCCAACGCAGTAAATAAAAGAGTATGAGTGAATGAAAAGAAAAAAATAGTTGAAATTATTGTGATTTAAGTAATAAAATTGAAATAGAAAATTTGGTTTGGTCTTGTCTTGTCTAGTGTTTTTCTTTTGTTGTTCTTGTTGTTCGATTGGTTTTTTTTTCTGTTTTCTATTTGTTTGCTTCGTTCAAATCAATAACTGAAGATTTTATGTTGTGTGTTGAGCGAATATGTGTTTTTTTTTGGTTTCGTTTTTGTTTTTGATTGAATCAATTTTTTGATTTGCTTGAGAGATACGATTGGTTTTTGTGTTGCTTTTGGATTTAAATACCTTGACTCGTTCCAAATCGACTGCATTCATCATTGTTCCCTGAAAAAACTCCACCGTCGTGTAATGACGCTTCAATAGTCCTTCTAGTTCCAGATCAGGCTCCTTGCTACAATTGCGAGTCGCAGTTTCATTTTACGGTGTCAGTTTTTATAGAATTGTTTGTTTTTTTTTTTGGTTTTTTTAATTCGAATTCGATGATATTTGGATTTTTAGTTTCGATGATAATGTTTTTGCGATCGAAAAAAAAAGAATACACAGCAGCGTCGAATCGTTTGGTAACACAAGAATTGCATTTTGTGTTGATTTATGTGAAGGGATTCATTTGTTTTGATTCATTTTGTTGAAAAATCATATATTTTGAGATATCAACACTTGAGACATATTGAACAATATCTACTAGCCTATTGCAGGATGTTTTTATTTTTCGGGGAGGAGGGGACAGTGGACAATGGGATTGTGTGCTAATGGTTAATCACCGTATTGTCGTTAAAAATGAGCTTTTATTTCTATCTTTTCATTTTATTTCGTGCATCTCCAAAACTTGCTCCGAGCATATGACAGACAAAAAAGCCCAATCCCAACGGACAAATGACGGTGTGTCTATTCTTTATCATGTTTTTTTTGTCGGAAAAAGGCATTTCATAGAGAATCTTACCGATGTAAAAATACAACTTCAACGTCAACATCTTCACGATCCTCGTGCAAAAAATCCTTTAGAAAATGTGACACCGACTCGTAGGTTATGTGACCGCATACGACAATATGTCTAAACGGTTGGTTATTCCGATATTGCATGTGCGCAATGGTTGAATTGAGTGGGTGTGTTATTCATTTCCAAGTGTGGAACACACATTGGAAAACATAAAAACGGCAACGCAGAGATGATGGAGGGAAGAAGAAAAATGTTTATTAGAATTTCGAAATGGAAATATTTCAAAAGGTTCACTTAAAATAATATGCTCAAAAATGCATGAAATTCTCCCGAAAAATGAAGCATAACACAAACTAGCTCGTTGGCATTGTTCATTCGCACATAGACGATGCCATCTCGTGTACGAGCATTTTAATGAAATTAATATCCGTTACTTCGGAATGCTCTAGCTATGGAGAATTTCATGCATTTCATTGTTCGCTGCTTTTCGTTTTTTTTTTTTTTTGATTTTATATTGAAATTTATATGCGGCATGACAAAATCAAACATTATAGATTTGTTTATCTGGTTAATTGAATAATAGCGACTACTTGAGTTTCTTTGATATTTGAATTGTTTGGTGTATGTGTGTAGTGTTTTTTTTTTAAATTTTCGTGTGAATGTGTGGATGTGTTTGTAAATTGATGTTGTTCGGTTATTAAAAATAAAATTGATTAAAAAAAAAGAAGTCGAAACGGAAAAAAATGGTGTTGAAAAAAAAGTCGGTTTTGTTTAAATCGTTAGTTTTGACAAATTGTTAAATTGATTTTCGATAGTGGATAAGGTGGAGTGTTTTAGTGTTTGAGAGTGGTGTGTTAATTTGGCTTTTTCATTTTTGGAGAAAAAATGGAAAATGATCATTTAAATGTTTTTTTGTTTTGGTTAATTATCGTTTTTTCAGTTCTTTTTTTTTAATGAAACTAATTGAAAAACAGAAAGAAAAAACTTTCAAAAATGCATACAATATCATTCGCTGTAATTGAGAAAAAAAACACTAGTTTTTGTTGTTCAAGTTTATTATAATACATCTATTTGTTGAAATATGATTTAATAAGTGAATGTGACAGGCATACACAAAACTTCTAATGCAATACTGAATAAATTGTGATTTACGGTATATGAGTTATATCAGTCTAACAAGCCTAAATAGAATAACTACAATATCAAATCGAACAAGAACGAGTTGGATAAACGAAAACTAAAGCTAGAGATTATTACAAAAAAAAAAATGTGTACGAAAATTGCCGACATTTCTTTTGTGGGCAAGACCGTTTTCCAATTGAAATGTTTTAGTGGAATCTGGTTGTTTTTTTTTTCAATTTTCGTCATGTGTTCGAGAAATGCGAGGCAATTCCTTGTTCACTTTTTTTCTTTTTGATTTTGGGTGTTCTAGAAATGTTCTGACTATTGAAATAAGAGAAAAGTCAAAGCGTGCGTTCCTAGGTGCTGCTGCTGCGGCGGCTACTGTTAATTCAATTCTTGTTACTGTAGCCTTTTGATTGCATTTTATGAAGCGTTTCAAGCCTTTTTTTGACAAGAAAAATATTCACAATTTCTCATCACTGCTTTTGTGTTTTGTCAAAACTCCTACCAAAATAAAAAAATTTCATCGTATTTTTTTTGCATTCATTTGGCTTGGATTCTGTGTTGAAATCCATTTTAAATGTTTATTCCAATTGAAAAAATTCAGATCGAATGTATGTGAATAAAATTTCTTTCATGTTCGTGTTTATTGCTAAAATAAGGACATTTTGTGGAATTCGTTGTTAAAACAAATGCTTGAAAAGTAAAGGTTTTTTTATGAGGTTTTTGTTGTTGTTGTTGTTTTTTTTAAAGAAACGAAACAGGAACAGAATCATAAATGTATTTTTAAAATGGACGAGTTAAATAGAATAATATTGGAGAGACAACTCACTATAAAATTGTGGAATTCATCAATACTCTTTTATTTTTTTATTTTTTCTTTTATTATCATCATTTCAATTTAATTTCGTTTTTATTTTCACATCATTCACACAATTTTTTTTCAATACTTTCTCTCTCTTTCTCACTTTTGGATAATATCACCTGTAAAATTCCAACCATATGAAATATTCACGTCAGACTTCTATCTCGGAATGTTCGAAATTGTTCGTTGTGTGTGTGTGTTGTGTGTACGTGTTTTGATTTTAGTTGAAATTTAATTTGAAGAAAAAAAAAGTTTTTTTCCTTCATTAGTATGAAGTGATTTGATGAAATGGTTTAGTAGGTGTGGAATTGTATTTAAAATTAAGTAGTTGTCATTCGTTTGATCCGAAATTAGATTCCGTTAATAATCGCTGGGAATGTATTTTTAAAAAATGGGGGCCGATGATGATCATGTGAATAAGCTGAGTATGATGTTAAAATTGGATAAATAGATACTTTGTACAAATTAACGTTTGTTAACTGAAACGAAAAATAAAACCACCGAACTGAACCACGAAAATGAATCGATCCCATTGGATTGAAATGGAGGTAAATGGTGGAGATTTGCGGTGAAAATGCAACGAATGGTTGTCTTGTCGCTTCAAATTGGTCCAAATTAAAAACGTTTAAACATTTGGTGTTCAGTTATTTAAGCAAATGATGAGAAAAAGCCCAGCGAATATCGTTCGTCTGTTTACATTTGGCTTAAATTGTTTTTTGATGGATTTTGGCTTTGGTTAGCACCAAATTTAGTTTTTATAATTGAAAACAATTTTTTATTTTGGTTTTTGCACTAAAATATTTGCACTAAATGGTGGGATTGTGGTGATAGCAGTCAACTACGATTAAATGCCTTGCCACGCATTAGCTATTCAAAATGAATATTAGATATATAAACTATAGTTCCTTACTCTCATCTAACGGTAACGATTTATGGTATGATTTCTCAACTCTCTAGATATACATATATATAGTATGTACTTGGACTGTATGTCGTTTGTGTGGTAGTTAGTAAAATAAAAACAATCTACATGACTTGTTGCATATATAATATGTATATATATACACACAGAACGAACTAAATACGAAACAATTTGTTTGGTGGGAAATTCTTGGGATGCATCGTATGACGGCTGCCTGCACCTCAAACATTCCAACATATTTATCAATTTCTTACTAATTTCTCCGAATATAGATTTAAAACACACTTCAAATAGACAAATACACTACTTGAACTTCTGTAAATTGAAAATTTGCTGTGTCCCTACAATTTTAGATTTCGCTTAAGATCATTTACATTCGTTTTGTCAACAAGAATTCATTCAAAAATATAGTCATTTCTGTGTCCACAAGTCCCGCACTCGAAACTGTTTCATTTTTATTTCAATACGTATTTTGTTTTTTTGTTCATTTCAATAAATATCGAAGCGTCTGTAATAATCTATGTATCAAGACTCGTTCTTGATACATGTTTCCGTACATATGATTTCACCCAAAAGTCCTTCATATCATTGCTTCAAATGTATTATCTCTGCGCATTGATATCTCCGTTGCCATTTTCCCGACACAATTTCATCTACTAATTAATTGGTATACATAGACAGATGTAATTTAGTTGTCAGTGCAGTAAAAAATATATATATATATATAAAACTCATTGAAAAATGAAGAGACAAAATAAATAAATACGAGAGATAGAGACAGAGATAGATATAAAAACCAAAATAACTTTGAGCGTTAATAAATATAGAAGGAGATGTTACAATATACAATGCAAATCAAATGGAATTAACTCATACTGAAAGAATAGTTGAAGTTTGGTTACATTTCAAAGAAATTGCAAAGTTTGTTTTTTTCTTTCTTCAAATTCCTGCAATTCACAAACATTCTTAATAGAATTGAGAAGTAATTTAAAATTGACATGTTGTTAGACGCGACGAAAAGAGCTCAAGTTTCGAAGCAATCAACCGTCTGAAGTGGTGACAACTTATTCAGTCTGAAAAATGTAAGAAATTCGGTGGAACTATTTTCTGTTCTCACGCTTTGTTTGGCACAATGAGAAACCATTCAAGTTCTTTTTCCATTTTTTTTTTCAACGATAAACTACGCCGAAGAAACGAGAAAGACGAAAGAAAAAAAACAAATAGTTGCCAATCCCTCGTTAGACGTTAAGGTGACTTCGAAATTATACGGCAATTTAATGAACGGCTGCCATTCCATTTTCTCATTTCGATTCGATAGGTTTTACGTTGTCTGCGTGTGCGTAAGCAGAGCGCTCGTCGCTAAAAATAAAACTTAATTAGGAAAATGAACGTTTTGGTGCCACACCGAGCGAAAATAAATGGAGAGAACGAGCGAGAGAATGAGAAAGAGAGAGAGGAGATGACTTCGACGAATTCCCACGTTCATGCTGTCGACGAAGCGCAAAGCCGATAATAGCAAAATCAATAAACGGATAAGTGGATGATAAATAGATGAAATATAATCGTACATGGGTAGAAATTAGTATTTCTTTATCTGTTGCCCGTTTCATTAAGGCGCAGAATGTTTGCGAGAAACGAGCCTTTTTCCCGTGTTTACTGCCGGTTTTCGGGGCGTGCGTTTTCAATGTCTAATACGTGTTCCTTATTAATACTGTCGAAACGGAAACATCTCTCTGCTCTTTTGTTGTATCATCGCCCACAATCGTTCTTCCATACCCGGCCGTTACAACGCAACGCAAGCGTGCGGGTGCTCAAACGTTCCAAAATTACAGCAAACTAGAAGTTTAATCAAATTTCAGTATTTATAATTAATTTGAAGAGCTGAATCCGAAGGAAAATTTAGCAAATGTCGACGATGATGACATTTTACAACATTTGACAGACGTGACAAGCTCAATATGACAACAACATCCGAATGTTGCTTCGGAAACCTGCTCCATACAATCGTCCACTTCATTGACTGACTCAACTGAATTTCAGTGGCTTGAAATGAATTCAAACGTCGTGCGTTATGCGTTTCAGAAAAAACAAAACAAATTTAACTCCATGTTTGTGTACCAAATTCAGAAATAATTTACTAAAATAACCAATTGATTGTGATGAAAACATCATATTTAAATGTTATTCAACAAGTTTGAGCTTCAT